CGATTGTCTTGACGTAGGCACTGTACGGGCTCTTGTCGGCGTCGTGGCCGGTCCAATTGGGCAGACCACCGGCCCAGACGACTGTGCCTGGGTCGCTGCTCTTGCTGACGGTCCAGATGCCGAGCTTGACTTGCATTGGGGTTTGAGGCCACTTGTAGGCCGGGATATCACCAACGTGCCACGACTTGCGAACGATGTTGTTGATGGAGAAGCTGAGATTTGTGGGGGTCCATTCGATGCTGTACTTCTGGATCGAGGCGAAGGAGGAGGCGTCGAGGTGATACGTTGTATTGTACGTGTTGAAGAGAGGCTGGCCGTCGTAAAAGTAGTTCGTCTGGGCTTGGTTTTCGTAGGCTCCGAGGAGTTCCTATTATTCTGGGAGTTGGCACCTTGATCTTGCTTGCTACATGGGAAATAGCGGAGAAGGACTCACCCAATCGATCTCGTCTCCGGAGTCAGACTTGAGGACAATAGCAGTAATGATGCCGGGACCTTTTACGGCTTGGAGTTCAACGCTGACTTTGCCAAAGAGTAAGTATTTGTTGCTGGTTAGAGTGGGCGCTTGACTGTCCTGCCAGATGTTAAAGGCAGCTCCTTTGTCATCGGTGTTGTTGAAAGTAAGCTGGCGTTTGTCTTGCGATGTAGAAGAATCGACGGACCAGAAGGAAGTGAATTGGTCGTCCCAGGTGGCTTTTGTAAAGTCAAAGGAGGTTTTGCTGGCGAAAGCAGGATCAGGAGGGCAATCTGTGGAAGTAACTTTGTTTTAGCTTGCTCTTTTTGTAGTTTTGGTGTGAGGTAATGGAGAGAAGCGATTTACGAGCATCTTTCTTGAGGGGATCGCAGTGAGATAGATCCTTTAGACTGGCTAGCACGGGAAGAGCTAGGTGGATGGACAGGATAAGGAGCCAGTGAAACATGTTGGAAAGTCAAAATTGGCGTAATGACTGCTTAGAAGGCATATGAGAGACGGTACTGAACGTAATTGGCGATAGCATAGGAGGAAGATTTACAACTCGATTGCGAGAAGAGAATGAGCTCTGTTTATGTTTATATATACCTAAGGAGAATTGGATGTGGGGTGACTGCTCCCACTCATTACTACAAGCTCCTTCCTTTTGGACAAGCTTCTCGGCAGTATTAAGGTGTAGCAGTTAATTCACATTGCACAGCATGTCTGGTGAGATGAAGCACAACTGACAACATGGGATGAGGATAGGAGGGAAAAAGGACCGGATTCTGGCTCTAGATATGAGACAGGGAAATGTCTGGCTACGAGGCTGGGCTGATAATGGTATTATGATAATATACGGGAGTAGGTGGTGTCACCGGGAGCATGATTGAATGAGTTGAATGACACTGATAATTCGATGCTGTGTTTTTTTATATGCATAAATATCACAACCCTGGTATATTTGAGGCTGTAATACAATACGCTGTTTCGGACATGTTTGACAGGTGACATCAAACAAATGCCGGGCTCCCCTTGAGCGATGCAGCTGTAACCTTCGACAGTCATTAATTCTCGGCTGCGGAACAAACGGATGGCTTCCACGTGATGCACTGTCCTCACAAAATTGATGGCCAACCGTAGAGATGCGCTGTTGCTCAAAAGAGGGCGATTTAGCCTCACTTTGGACATGTGGAAGAAAGGGAGATGTCGCGATAATTTCCTCTGCGGGCATCCGTACACGGAGGCACAAAGCACAACAACAGGGCAACACAAGCGAGAAAGGGACGTAGACGAAAAAAATGGTAAAAGGAGAACGAACATAATGGAGACAAGAGAGAATTATTTGCCATTATCAATCTAGCAAGTATCTAACATGCTGCTCAGAGCTGTCTTCTCGGCACTGGTGATTGTCAGCTTATAGAAGCTCTTGACATCAATCCACGACTTGGCGTAGGTGCAGTAGAAGCTGGTCAGAGGAGGCTTCCACTGGTCTGGGCTGCGGTCGCCCTTGGAGCGGTTTGCACTTGCGGAGACGGCCCAGAGTTGGGGACGGGAGACGTCGTTGGCGAGGGCTTCGCGTTGGGCTGTGGTCCAGCTTGAGGCACCGGACTGATGTGATATTCGTCCATGTTAGTGATGTGGCATGATATAGTATGGCAAAAGGTATGGAACGGAAATACGTAGTGAGGAAGGAGAAAACTCACGATCCAGGCATTCTTCAGAGGCACCATGTGGTCAATATCCAAGCTGGATGCCGTTGTGAAACTGGCGTTGTCATAAGGGCTGATCCAGGTGCCGGACTGAGCCTCACAAGCATTGTTGACTTGGACACCTTCACCATCTCGCTTCAACACATATTCGCTATTTGTACATCCAATATGTTAGCTTTTGCGCGGTACTTCCGAAGCTTAAAAGGTGCTGGGTTGTTGACATACCGAGCATTGCAGTTACCAGAGATGGCATCCCAAGTGGGAAACAGGTCGCGGGAGTAACCAGTTCCAGATCCAGCAACGGCAACAGTCAGACCGGCGAGTTGGGTTCTGGCGCTACTTTCAGTAGGAATACCGGGCTGTAATGAGTTGAAGCGTTAGCTAGTCTGATATATAGAGTTGAGATACAATATATGTCATGTTGCATTGATGCTACATACCGGTGTAGGCATAGGAGCCGGGGCGGCGAGAACCGCGATGGCCGAAGTAAGAGCAACAGAGATGGACAGCTTCATGATGACTACTTTATATAATATAACTTGATATAAAGTCTTCTGAATGTGAAGTCGAGAGACGCTTTCATATATCTCTTTGTCTGTCGCTTCCGCAGTTCACAACGCGACGATGCAGCAGGAAGTCCCAACGTCGAGTGAGTTCTGAGGGCAAGAAGAGCAATTTTATAGTCTACTCGACTTCTTACCTGCTTCCTTACTCGTCCTTCCGCCGCCTACTAATGCATACCAAGTCCGTAGGCTTGTTTCGGCGCCATCATGCCCCCATCACATAATATGTCTCAGCGTGTGCGACTCACCAAGAATAAGCCGCATGCAATATATCTGCTGCCATGAGTAGATGCTAATCACCCGCCGTATCCGACAGCTAGATAGATAGAGACGTAGTATCGCCAAAGACGCAGAGTATACTATATTCGACATTGCCGAGCAATGCCCTTCGACTAAGATCCAATTCTTCGGCTTTCAACCACCAACAAAGAAAGCCATATCAGGCTAATCCCAATCACAGCCAATGCCGCCACACGTGTTAATCGAGGCATCTCCACAGCGTCGCTTCAGCATTTCCTCTTCAGGAAGGTTGGTGATTTTCTTGCTTCCTAAGCTGCCCCTCTCTAGGTCGGGATCTGCAGCGGGGACCGGCCGGGGCCACAAATGAAGCGTACAAATAAGGGTCTTTTTAAACCCCGAGATCTCCAGATGAAGGAGGTGTTTCTTACGAGACATGTGATAGAGATGGGAGATGCAGACTGAATATAGATGCAAAAAAGATTTATTTTGCAATCAAGGAAAGCTGTGAACTAAGCTGATGGGATGGTATAAATGAGATTTAAAGACAGATACTTGAAGAGAAAAAGATGAAAGAAAGAAACAGCCGATCTTCGGAGCGGGCACCACGGGAAACTAGAGTATGCATATTTCGGTCTACATTTTGGGCCAAGAGGCTCCGTCGCGAGACTTGACTAGGATTAAAAGTTTCAACGGCAATTCAGTTCAGTTCATATAAGTGTCTCTAACTAGGTAGCTTTTTTCTCATCAATACAGGAGCTTGAGGGGTTACGCAATACCAGAGATTGCATCGAGTTTTAATGGCGTAACAAGATTCAGAGCGAGTACATGTACATGTATCTTTTGTTTATGGGCACTTTAGGTAGTTCTTCTAATATCTGGTATTGCCGCTTTCCCTACAACTCTCAAGGCTACTATCGCTGATTTTTTTTCTCGTACATGCTGCTATTGCTAACCACGTCGAACTTTGAAATCAGGGTGCTGGATGGTCACTTGCAAGACGAAAGTCGATGCGCCTACTATCCGCCAATTTGTAAAATGTATTTGATAGACAAGCTCTAGCAACGATGCGTTAACTTTTAATGCAAATGCAAACTTTTGATGTGAAAAGACTCCCAACGCAGATTCCAGCCGAACCTTCCCATACTGAATATCGGTTTATAAATGGCTTCAAACCACCATTGTTGAAGCAGACCCAAGCAATCTAATCCATCCTAATCTCCTTTCTTACAGAGTGATCTATTTCATAGCGTCTTCAAGAACCTCCTCCCAGTCTTTCTGTAAGAGCTCCTTATCGCCGCCCTGCTGCTCGGCCTCCTTCTTCATATTACCCCAAATAACTTCCACGTCGTGCAAAAAGAGCCTTAGAATTGGACAGTCTCTTTTCTTTCGAAGATCGTACAGCTTCTGCAACGGCGTCTTGCCCTGAGAGTCCTTACCTTTAAGAGATGCGTCTCTGCAAAGCACATTATAAGCATCGATTCTGGCATCTATGTCCTTGTACTTCGGATATTTCTCCAACCTGTCCACAATTGAATGCAACAGGCTGTTCCCGTTGCAGTGGATATAACGACCGTTGAAACACTCTAGTTCCAAAGCAAAGTCGAACGGCTTGGAGTAATTTTCCAAAGTAAGAAGAGCCTCGGAAGCCACCCTTTCTGCTATGGTAGTGTATGGGAAATGCTCCTGCAAAAGTCTGAAAAGCTTATCGTCTTCGGCGAACGCGGTCTCATAAAGTGCATCAATAGCAGATTGAGTAATATGGTCCTTATACTGTACCATATCGAAGGGCTTGGGAAAGCCGTAAGACGCTGCCCACTCCGCGAATACAGCGCCGACCTCCTGGGCCACGAGTGACGCATCTAGTTTTAGGAGAAGATTGTAAAATTTGGTGGGCTTACGATGATACTTGACTATGCAAGTTCCCAGAATAGATCGGGCATTATGAGAAGGGATGTTGGGGTTCGCACCCTTCTCCACGAGGGTGTTAAAGAGACCAAGGAACGGTCCAGGTTGCTTAGTGTTGCATATGGCCTCGCAAAGGACATGGAGCAAGGTGAATCCCGTGTTTGATAGCTCATTAATGTCTGCCCCATGGTCAATAAGTAGTTTGACCATCTCATCAACGTTGCGGATTATATATTTCCAATCCACGGGGAGAGGCGTTGGAATTGCCTTAATGGCACAGATCAACGGTGTCTCCAGCACGTTAGCGTCGTTAAGATTGCCAACTTTGGCGTTGCAAGTCTCAATCATATGCTCAATAATTTCCTTATACCTCTCTTGCAACTCTTCGTCCTCACTGCTGCAGTAGTGTATGATGGCCTGCATCAACGGAGTTCTTCCCGTCTGGTTCACATTCTCAATGTTGCCGCCGTTGGCCATGATCTCTTTGAAAGCGATTTCGTTGCCACACTCGAGCGAGAAAAATAAAGGCGTCAATCCTGCCATCATAGGAACGTTGATAAGCTCAGGGTAATCTCTGAAGTATAACCTTAGTTTGGCATCATTGGTAAACTCTTCTCTTTGACGGGCTGAAAGAACGTGTAAAAGATTAATGGTGCCTGGAGCAACTGCAGATGCTGTAGTGTCCTCAATAGGAACAGTAAGTACAGGTGAGGCACCATATTTCAGGAGAAGGCGGATCATCTTCTTATCCTCGTTGAGAAACGGAATAAATAGGGGGCGCCACTTGGAGTAACGAGAAACAATGGTTATCGAATTGTTTGGCATTCTCGACTCGAATTCCTTACGGCCCTGTGAAAACAGTGGATTGTAGAGCAGATGCTTCCCTAAGGCATTAGGATTAGCCCCTAGTTGTAAGAGCTTTTCAACTGCCACTCTATTCCCCTTGGCAGCAGCCAAATGGAGAGGCGTGAAGCTCCCAGAATCGCGCCGCCGATAAACCCGATTCACATCACCGCCATATGTCACGGCGAGATCCAACATTTTTATGACAAATTTCTCAGTAGCTTCTGTAGTAGTGACATATAATGCTGCCGAAAGTATGGACATCGGCCACTTGCTGCGGGCGTCTTCCTTGTAGAGAGCTGGAGTAGCAAGTCCGTAGAAGAATCGAGAAAGCTGAGCCACCCGTCCAAGAGTATGGACGGGTAATAATTGGATGATTTTGGCCAGAAATTCAGAAGGGAGAGTGCTGAGATAGTCTCGTTTCGTTGCATCTTCAGGTATACCCCACGGAAGAAATTTTTGGGCAAGGTAGGCCATGATGTCGGGTTTAACCGAAAAGCGGTGCTGAGCTATGCACTTCTTGATAAGAATGATTGATGATGGCTTAAAATGTAGACGTTTGAGAAGTTGAATAGTATTGACTGATTCCACCACGATGTCTGTTCAGAATGGCCGATGGAGCTGAGTGAGAAAAAAGAGAGAGGAAGCAGGTGGCGGCTTATTCCTACGAATTGGTAGAATTCCAATGAGAAAAAAAAGGAGAGATTATAGAAATAAATAGAAAGCTTTTGGTCTCTCAAACGGAGCGAGTAGGGGATTTCGCAACGTTGGACAGTGGTTGAAGTGAAAGAAATGAAGAAGTTGAGGGATGGGAGCTGGCTGTGAAAACTGTATTTGAAGAGCGGGAGCGGTGAGTTGTGGTTGAGGCTGTCAGGCAGAAAACTGAGGTTTGGCAGCTTTGATTCGAAAAGCGGTAAATCACATGGGCTTTGTATTTAATCTCCTGCTCTGGATAGTAGAATGATGTTGATGGTAGGATTGACAGCTGGCGCAGGTGGAAGAGCTGATCCACAGCCTGGTGCATCAAAGAGTCGCAAGTTGGCATGGAAACTTCAGACATACAAATCTCCTTTGGACTCGAGAATGTGTGATCCGGAAGTCAAGATGACCTTTTCATTAACCCTTTAAGCACCTGGCCTGTATCCCTTGATATCCTGTAGTATTGGCGTCGACCGGCCTCCAAGGCAACCACTGCGAATTATTAAGCAATATTAGGTGTATCTTAGTTCCATTGTAAGATTCTTGTATACATTAGTCTCAAATGGCTGACAGCGCAATGAGTTGCTATGGATATTAGATTAATCTTCAGAGCTGAATGCATGGCATTATTCTATCCTAAACACCTGTTGTTTGTTCTACCTTGTTGCACTATTCACAACTATCGGATTGCGATATGTAATGCCAATGGAAATTCATTCTCTGTTTTATGTTTGTATTAAATAAATTGGGTATCAAAAAAATGTATCTCTCGTCACTTATTTTGGAGGTGTCTACTAGGTATTAATCATCTCCGTGGAGGTGCCTGATATTGTAATCCCTGGCAATATCTGTGGCATCTGCTATTGGTCATGTCTGTCCAACGTACATTTAGAGCATTGACTACCCCAACATATTATTATTATTATAAAATCTTCTTTATATCTTTTATAGTACCTATTCGAGCGTCCAATTAAAGTTCACATGTTGCCCAAGTCACAAACAAGTCCCCATAAGCTTAACTCGAAGCCTGTGCCGCAGTCTAATAGACATACTCCGTGTATATTATCTATATTATCCAACGTACCTATTCATACCAGATACTGTCACTACTCTATTCAAATACCTTGGACACAAAAACACCAATCTGTCCATATATTAAGTAGCTACTCTTCTTATTTTAGTTATTAGTCATATACTCCTGGTGCAACAAAACACCTATTAGTAGATGTTCCTGCAGTGACGCCTCAATCACAAGCACAAAGTGCTGAGTCAGCACGCATCTGCCGTCAAAACGTCAGAGCATTCCTGAGATAAGCTACGCACTGCCGTCACTGCTAAACCTCGTCGCGGGGGAGCTACAGAGGCACAACAAACGGCTTCGAGCAAACGAGGCTGCGTCAGCCCGGTGACTTTTTAGGCCTTTCAACAGCGCACTCGGGCCACGAACGCTGGTCGCCACTGCGTACGCAAGCAATTACACACGCCCGTTTGCCCTCTCTCCAGCATCTCTTCTTTGTCCTGAGGTTTGTCATCGACCGGAACGTCCCTTTTTGCGATCCCCGCGGCTGACCTGCTTCAAAACCAGCTGCAGCCGCCTGTCGAGTCCTCGATGCCCTGTCCCAGCTTTCTTCAGCTCGAAAATCCCACAGGGAGCATCTGAAGCGACTCCGGACCTGCAGCTCGCCACCTCTTTCATTGTATAGATTCCTGCATCAACAGCTTCATCGATCAACATTATACAGCGGCATCGGGCCACCCTCGCCTTTGGCATCTTGGGTGACAGCTCCCTGCTACCCCTCCATTTCGATTTGCGATACCCAAGCAAACGCCTTCTCGCGCTCATCAGCCTTTCACGCATCTTACACCATGGGCACCAGATACGACTTGCGGTCGCAAGACCCGGAGCCCAACGTCTATGCCGCGCTACCGGGAACAATGCAATCCGACTTTGTTCCACATAATCTGACGCCTATGAAGTCTGCTCTTGTTGGACGAGAAGTACTAGGTACGCTGCTAACGCTTCGTATGTGCTGGGTCCAACTTTAACTAATTTTGTTGTATAGGATGTCACCCCAGTCGGTGGATATACGAGTTAATCAACAACAACTTCACCGCATGCGACCTGTTCGAACGAGCTCGACGTACCGACCTGGATAGCCACTACAATTGGGAACACCCTCACCAGCTCGTCATCAATGGCAACCAGTCCTATTCAACTTCGTCGTGCAAGGTGCTGTCCGCTATTTGCCTAGAGTGCCATTTCCACTTCATGTTCCGTGTTGAATGGGAAGATGCACAGTCAGACTTCTCGTGTCACCAAAGCCACAGCCAGTGGCCCATAGGAGACACTCAGTTTCCTTGGCATCACTTGGCTTGGGTTTGCTCAGATGAAGAGGCTAACATTCAATCTGATCGCTCAAAGTACTACCCACTATTGGCTCGAGAATATTTTGTCTGCTCAGCGCTGCCGTGTACGCTTCAGGTTACACTCGAAGTTTCGGAGCCCCGAATGCCGCCTTGGTGGGTTAATCTCTTGCTGGACCACGATACGATTCTTCAGCAGTTAGAGACTGCGAGGAAAGATGAACCAACGCGATATGAAACTGCGACCGATGACTGGGCTCATCAAGCACCATCTAATCTCAACACGTACCTTAAGAATCTCCTGGAAACGACTTCTGATGCGGCCAGGAGTATATCCAAGAGAAACAAGAGATTTGCTGTACTGTTTGGTCCGCGCTGTTTCTCAATATTTCGAGACCTTGAGTTCAAAGAGCAGATTGATATCCAGGATGGGGTCGACGAGGGTTCATTTACCCCAACAGCTCCCCCGGCGGCAGAAGGTCCCTCTGGGAGTACGGAAATTGGCACCTACCGCGCATACCTCGAGGATGTACGCTCCGAAGTACAGAATCTCATATTCAAATCTGGGAGTACTGCAGAGCGCCCGACGTTCTGCGTGACTGCCCTGCATAATCATCTAGGCTGCATTGAAGTCCCCAATGTTAGTACAGATGCGCTGGTTAATCTGGAACGATATAAACTCTTGGGAGTTCTACCGTCCCAATCCAAAGAGATCATTGTGAACGCATATAAACGACAATGGGAGCTTGTCCCTTCAAGGAGGAGAGATCTGGTTGAGAAATTGATGGCAATTGCAAATGATGCCAATGATGAGCTACTGTCCGATTATGCAATTACCCAATCCTCTGTCTTCGAGAGCCAGCTCCAAAGGCACGGCGGCACTGACGATGACGGGCTTGTCTCCCAAGCACTGGAATACTTTGGGCTGAGTCCACCAAATACCTATAGCGCGGAGGCCTTGATCAAAGCATTTAGGGAAAAAATAGCCCGAGACCCAGCTGACGCCAGCACTGCCAGGAACATGCTTTTAGTCATTGCTCGAGCCACGGATGATGATTCTTACCAGACTACTATTCTAATGGAAGCCGATAACAAAATGTCGCTACTGACATCATTGACGATACTCGGTTTAAAGAATGGGCAAGAAGCGGATGCCGTGAACGCCACGAAAGCAAAGGTAAGTTGGCGGGTCTAAACACTGCAAATTGGGAAAGGAAAATAAATCTCCCAATCACTCATGGAAAACATCAAGTACATTTGCTGACTGCATACATTTTTAGCTAGCTGAGGCTGTATCTGATGAGGCCAAAGGCGTATATCTTGATGCTTTAGATTCTATTGCAGAGCACACAGTTTCACCATCTATTAAGCAAGCTGTGATTGAACTTCGCTTTGATCAGGGCTTCAATACTTCTGACCTTGATGCTGGTAATTCAAGCGATCCCAGAGCAAACAACCTCGACCTTCCCGTAGGACTGCATAACATTGGCAACACTTGCTACTTGAATAGTCTACTTCAATATTTATTTACCGTCAAACCTATTCGAGACATTGTATTCAATTACGACAGTTTACGGCTAGACCTGAATGACGAGAGCATTCAAGAACGCCGCCTGGGTGGAAACAAAATGCATATGGATAGGGGAGAGGCCGTCGTTGCGCAAGCATGTAAGTGTAGCAAATTCACGGGACATCCAAGTCTTCATAACCAAAATGGCTGACATCAATCTATAGTTGCGGAAGAAATGGCTACTTTGTTTGAAAATCTTCGAACCTCTGACAGAACTGCCACTCGACCTTCTCAGAGACTCGCAAATGCGGTTTTATTGTCAACACATACGCTGCTCTCTGGTCCAAAACAGCCTTCCGAAACGCCCACGGCTCCGAATCCCCCACCATTACCTGCCCGTCCATCACCTGCTCCCCCAACGGATAGCCATGATGACGTGAATATGGTTAGCGTCTCGGTTCAGGCTGTGTCCGACCCGCTTGAAACGCAAAGTAGCTCTAGCACTCAAACGCTAGTTGGCCAAGATGATGCACTGTCTGACCACTCATATGAGAAAGTAGAGACGGTAGTAGAGGATAGGGGTGGCCAACCTCAGCCTGCCTTAACAGTTGTGGGGGAACCAGAAGACGACACTCTCATGGCAGAGGTTGCACTGGATGACAAGAAGCCGGCAGCCCCTGAGAATCTGGACGAAGCTAATGAGGCCCCTGTTAGCACGGACAACCGTGATGTCGATATGGTTGACGTAGAGAAGCCTGAAACGGTTGATCAAAAAGTCCTCAATGCTCTTGAACACCAAAAGAGGTCTTCAGGAACAGACCAACAAGATGTCGAAGAGGTCATGGGCAGCATTATCAATCGCCTCCAGGCAGCGATTCGCCCAACCTCGACAGATAGCACAACAGGCATTCAACTGGAAAAAATCATGGAGACGTTCTTCGTAACAACAGTCAATTATACCAAGAAATTTGACGAACAGGAATACCAACATGAAATTAGCTTTGATAGGTCGATAACGGCATTCCCAGCTGCCGAAGGTCCTTGTTCATTATACGACGCCCTCGGAAGAAACTTTGACCAGCAGATCTTGGAAGACAGCAAGCTTTCGCGATACACCGCCATCAAGACACTTCCGCCCGTGCTGCACGTTCTAATTCAGCGCTCACAGTCAATGGGTAGCAAGAATGGCAACCCAGTTGTAATCCCTGAGACGCTGTACCTCGACCGATACATGGACGCCCCTCACGATTCGCCTCTTTTCCGGCAAAGGGTTCAGGACTGGATAACAGCAGAACGAATTCTTGATTTGAAATCTCAACTGGCAAAAATTGAGGCCAATCCCAGCTATATGACGTTCCTTCAGACTTATGAGGGCGAAGTTGGAGCACCCGAAGACACGGCAAACCAGCCCTCGGATGGATCCAATGAGCCAACGAAGCAAGAGGAATCTGCCGAGAATTGGGATTTTGACGGGCCCGTAGAGGATGACTTTTTGCTCATCACGACAGGAAATACTAGTAAAGTGTCTGCAACTGGGAAATCAAGCAACAAGCTAGACAATATCCAGAAAACACATGCTGCAGTGTTGGAAATGATGGAAAAGGAATTACAACAGCGGCAAGAGATGCTGGAGGAAAGTCTGAGCAGCCAGAAGCAAATCTCGTACCGGCTTCATGCTGTCATCTGCCATCGCGGCCACCTAACGTCTGGTCACTATTGGGTGTGGATTCACGATTTCGAGGCCAATGTTTGGAGGTGGTACAACGACGCAGACGTTAGGGAGAATAAAGACACGGCAGAAGTGCTCCGGACTCTGAGCACTAGCGGAGAGCCGTACTTCCTCTGCTATGTTCGCGACGAAGACAAGGACCAATACGTCAGCGTTCCCAAGAGGGAACCTCCAGTTCAGGAAGACGGAGACAAAGTGCAAGACGAACAGGGAAACCAAGCAGGGCAAGACACAAAAGAAACCGAAGGGCAAGAGCCAGCTGATGAGGCTGTGTTGGTGCCCTCGGTGGCCGCAGACAAGGATGGAGATGTTGAACTCAACGATGCGAAGCCGGAAAGTGACCTGGAGGCCACTCCTACGGTGGATGCGGTATCACAAGAGTCAGAAGAAAAATCTTAGAAAAATGCTGTCATGGAGGATACACATCAACCTATAATGGAAGGGGAGCCTGTTCATGGACTCGTTGATACGACAACCGCTAATATGAGGAGTCCAGGTCCCCGGCACAAGACGAAGAGAGGAAGCAGCCAAAGGAGAAGAGATAGGGCGAGGAGTACTGCGGCAAGACTCAGAGAGAATCACCGGGGAAGACTCAGAGAGAATGAGTTCCGTACCAGGTGTTGTCGTTAAGCTAGCATTATGATGAGATGATGAAAGATGTCGAAAATGTGGCATTAGAAGTCCCGAGGATTATGTATATTAGAGAGCAAGACATAGAGGGAATTTGGTATATCTCCAATTCCCGCGATTAGTATCTGCATTGTTATTGTTTACTCCGTTTGGACTTTGTCTTGCTTGTGTATTTTGTTCTCGCTTTTAATTTGATTTTTCTACTCTGTCCCCAGATTACCGTCCCTTGAAGACAGGCTTTCGCTTGTCCTGGAATGCTCTCAGGGCTTCGTTTCTGTCCTCGGTGTTGACAACCCTCTTGTACATTTCATTTTCCTTCTCTTCCCTAGCCCAGGCGACGGCCTGCAATCCAGCGCGGATAGCAATGGGGCCTCCCTCGCAGATTTCCTGCGCCAGCCTGACGGCCTCTGAGAGCGCAGACTTGCGGGCCGTCTGCAAGATATCAGCGCCATCCCGCTCGTCCTCGGGCAGAACCTCGACGAGGCGATCAGCAATGCCGAGGAAGTAAGCCTCCGGAGCGGCGACACGGCGGCCGGTGAGGATGAGGTCGCGGGCGCGGGAGAGGCCGACGATGGCGGGCAGGCGAAAGGTGCCGCCGGCGCCGGGGATGATGCCGAGCCTGGTTTCTGGGAGACCGACGGTGGCGTTGGAGGAGAGGACGCGGAAGTGGGTGGAGAGAGCGAGCTCGAGGCCACCGCCGAGGGCGAGGGAGGAGATTGCGGAGATTGTGGGAATTTGGAGGTTGGAGAGGTCGGTGAAGGCGCCTCGCAGGTCGGAGAGGAACTTGGCGGTTCTGAGATGCTGTCAGTATAGTAGTATAACATGAGGTCGAAGGAGGGGAGAATGTAGAGAGAAGCAAAGGAGAGGAGAAGGAAGAAGAAGTAAAGACGAATTGGGACAGGTGAAGCATATCGCATAGCTAGACGCACTCTTCCTGGGTAAAGCCTCGTCGCTCCTTCAAGTCGGCACCCGCGCAGAAGCACGTATCGACAGCACTGGCGATAATCAGAGCTCTCGTAGGGCCCTTCTCGTCCACGCCAGCCGCTCCGCCGAAGCGCTGTGGGGGAGCAACCTCCTCCCCATCGGGGCCGTACTGGCCCTGCACGTCGTGGATCTCCGCGCGTAGAGAGGCTAGCAGATCCTTGGAGATTGCGTTTCGGGCCTTGGGCCGGTTGAGCTCGAGGATGCGGATGTGGCCGCTTGAAGCTGCGGGAAGGTTGGTGACGCGGATGAGGGGCTCCGCGGTGGAATAGAGGCGGCGGAGGGTGAAGGAGGGAGAGGAGGAGATTGCGAAGCGGAATCGAGGAGGCATTTCGGCGGTGATTTCTGGGGGGAGATTGGAACTGGGGAGAACTCAATTGGGGGAATTTGAAAGAGCTGGCGGGAGAAGGATGATTGAAAGTAGCTTGGAGGTTTTGGTGTTGACGGCTTCGGCTTAAAGGTGACGTCGATGCGAATGAGCCGAGCTTAATTTTCTAGCGCGGCTTGTGTCGGTGGTTGTTCCATTTGGCAGGGGAGTCGGCATTAATTGAGATTGAGTGTGTTGCTCCAGTGAATGAAGGGTTTATTTATTTTATTCTTGTGTCTCATTAACAAATAGTTTTGGAAGTCGAAAAAGGATGAAATGACAATATCTCCAGAGCTATGCAAATATAGGATCAACCATGAGAGTTCCCATCCAAGTTTGTATCCGCTCCAGTGCTTATCTTGGCCTCTGTTTTCAGTCTGTGCATATAGCCCTTCAACGTCAAATTTGTGAAGGGAAAAGTCGGCATTCGGCATATTGATCACGAATAAATAAATTCACTACATGTATCTAATTATACTTAGACCATCTGAGACCGGCAGCTCTTGGTGAAAGCGGGCTGCTCCGAAAATACATACCTAGTAGACGCCATGCTCCGATAGTACGACCTACCGAGCTATCACTAATAAATAATGAATAATAAATATAAATCTTGCCCACATATATCTGAGGGTGCAAAATGTAGAAATAAAAGAATTCAAGTTAATTGAGGAACGCAGTTGCATCTGCTGCTTAGATGAGATCCTATATCGTACATCTCTTAACATGCTGTGTGCTCCCCTCACCTATCGAGATCGCTGGACTGATACTTTTGGTGACACAATCTGGAGCTCATCGTTGGTATATGTAGTATCGGTTACTCTAAAATCAGCTCATCAACAAGACAAGAAATCTCTCATAGCCCTCCCATCAATCATACCTAGCTGCTGCAGTGCTAATCGTTATACCCCGCTGCCCCTCTCCGCAATCGGGAAGCCGATCCTTCCATGGTACTCTGCTCCGGTAGAAGGTGATGTAAGTGCCAATCCCATCTTATCTGATCCTCTGATAAGAACTCCAGATCCTCCTTTCATCATTCCATCAATGCGCTCGAAAGGCGTTTGTCTACCTACTATCGTGTAAATATACAGTACAGCCATGCCCTCTGCAAATACCTCCAGACACCTCCGCATAGGAGTCGACGTCGGCGGCACCAACACAGACGGCGTCATTCTTGATCCCCTCCAGGGGTCGTCTCCGGGCAAAGGCATCCTAGCATGGCACAAGGCTCCCACAACGACAAATCCAAGCATTGGAATCAACGATGCAATCACTGCCATGTTCAAATCCGCTGCCATCAGCCCGTCCGAAGTTGAGAGTGTAACCATTGGCACTACTCATTTCGTCAATGCTGTTGTTGAACGTGATGCTTCACGACTGTCTACCGTGGCGGTTATCCGACTCTGTGGACCTTTTTCAAAGCATGCTCCCCCTTGCGTGGATTGGCCGGATGATATGAGGCAAATGATTCTGGGCCACTATGCATTGCTCAAAGGCGGCTTGGAGGTGGACGGAAACCTCATCTCAGATATTGATACGCGAGAGATTAAAGAGCAGTGTGCCATTATTCGCGATAAGGGTATCAGAAATGTTGTAGTCAATGGAGTGTTCAGCCCCATAGACACTATAGAAAAACAAGAGGAACGAGCTGCGGACATTATCAAAGCAGAATTGCCCGAGTGCGATGTTCTTTGTTCCAAAGACATCGCTAATCTAGGATTCTTGGAGCGTGAGAATGCGGCCATTCTGAACGCTTCTATCCTTTCTTTCGCTAGGAAAACCATCAGGTCTTTTCAAGAGCCAATCAAACGCCTCGGCTTACACTGTCCCGTTTTCATCACCCAGAATGACGGTACTGTCTTATCAGGGGACATGGCAGCGAAGTTACCCATCAGAACCTTTTCAAGTGGCCCAACAAACAGCATGAGGGGTGCGGCATTCCTTGCACAGGGCGAGATATCCGAAGCAGTCATGGTCGTTGACATTGGGGGCACAACGACAGATGTTGGGCTGCTGTATGCAAATGGGTTTCCTCGGCAGCAGGCTGCTTACAGCGATCTGGCGGGCATCAGAGTCAACTTTTCCTGTCCGGATATCAAGAGCATCGGTCTTGGAGGAGGATCGATTGTCAGAACTGACAACGGCCTAACTGTCGGACCAGACAGTGTTGGGCATAAGCTTCAGCAAGAGTCGGTTGTTTTCGGTGGCAAAATCATCACCGCGACTGACTGTATAGTGCAAGCGAATCCTGATTTAAGCATAGGCAATACAGACCTTGTGAGAGCTGTACTTACTGATGAACAGCTGAACCTTTTCAAGGCCGCCCTCAAAGACAAGATTGAGAAGGCAATTGACAAGATGAAAACTTCTCCGGAAGACATCCCAGTGCTGCTTGTTGGCGGTGGAGCTATACTGTCGCCTAATGAGCTCAAAGGTGCGAGCCGAGTGATCAAGCCGGAATGGTCGCAAGTTGCAAACGCAATCGGAGCAGCAATGGCAAGAGTCAGTGCAGTTGTGGATACTGTCAAATCCACCGAGTCCAAAACCAGCGCTCAGTTGCTGGAAGAGATTGGCCAAGAAGCAATTGCAAAGACTATATCTGCTGGGGCGTCTCCTGCGTCCGTGGAGATTGTCGAAAAAGAGACCCTCCCACTCCAAGTAAGAGCCGCAAAGTGGAAATCGAGAACGAACAGCCGTGACTAATTCGATATTGTGTGTAGTACATTGCTCATAAAACAAGATTCATCGTCCGTGCAGCGGGGGATTTCGATTTGGGGAGCGTCCAAGTCCACGCCGCTCCAGAAGCGGATGACGAGAAAAATGATACTGATATGAGCCAATATGAGAAGCTATCAAAGCGACCAGAATCCACATCTAAAGAGCAAATAGACAAGGATATCGACATTACTTTATATAAACCAACAGTCAAAAATCGCGTTTGGTATATATCGGAAACGGACGCTGATTGGATTGCCACCGGCTGCTACATCCTTGGAACGGGCGGTGGAGGATCCCCTTATTCCCATCTAGTGCGTCTAAAGCAAGAGCTCCGTAAGGGTGCAATTGTGAGGGTTATAAACCCACATGATCTTGCCGACGACGATCAGATTGGTTGTGGAGGAGGTGTGGGCAGTCCTACAGTCGGAATCGAGAAGCTGCCTGCCGACGAGCTATTGGAAGCTCAACAAGAATTATTCAAGGTCTGTCCTAACCCTGCCACTCACATGATCTCCATCGAAATTGGAGGTGGCAACGGCCTCCAAGCGATGATATTGGGCGCCAGCACGAATATGGATCTACCAGCTGTGGATGGCGACTGGATGGGACGGGCTTATCCAACAAAATGGCAGACAACCCCTGTTGTTTTTAATGAAAGGTCTCCTATCTGGTCTCCCATCGCCATGTCTGATGGCAATGGTAATGTCGTTGTCATGCCGAAAGCGACCTCTGACCTTGCTGTTGAGCGCATTCTGCGAGCGGCTCTGACACAGATGGGATCACACACAGGTTGTGCTGAGTCCCCGGTGACAGGAGCAGAAACGAAGCGATGGGTAGTAGAGCACACTATTTCTCAAGCTTGGAGAATCGGACGCGGCGTTGCTCGTGCTCGGAAGGAGAATAGAGTCGACAACGTAGCCGAGTCCATCATTGAGGAATGCGGCGGAAAAGCAGCTGGTAAAGTGCTCTGGAAGGGTAAGATTGTCGGTGTTGAGAGGACACTGAGAGGAGGATATGTCTATGGCGAATGCTTCATCGAAGGAGTTGATGTACGACAAGACAGCGACGGCTTACAGCAAGATGTCACCAACCCATCGTCGTTCCGGGGGACCATCAAGATCCCTTTTAAGAACGAAAACATTGCAGCTCTCAAAGTCCGAGATGATGGGAAAGAAGAGCAACAGGAGGACGTCCTAGCCATTGCCCCAGACTTGATCACCGTGATTGATGCACAGAGCGGTGAAGCTATCGGCACTCCAGAGTACAGGTATGGGCTACTAGTAGTAGTGCTGGGGCTGGCCGCCAGTGATAAATGGACGGGAAGCCAGAGAGGAATCGAACTTGGCGGGCCAGTGGGATTCGGGATAGACCACCTGAAATTTACTCCGCTGGGAGCGTTTGTCAAGCCGAGGAGCGTTATTGACGAGTTTGATGGCATTGTTGAATAGGTAGACAAGATAAGATTTCCTTAGCATCATCATCAAACATTACAGGTCAAGATGGCTGAAATTAAGGTATAGAACCATCCCCGCACTAGGCCAGCCGCACCTTCCTTTGACCTCGACATGGCTTCACCTTGTTATTAGTCATGATTGATGCATGTAGTTCAGATGCTTAGATCCGCATCTTCTAGAAACCATCCACGACTTCCAAAAGACTGTCTCATGTTGCATCAATGCAAATCCTCAAGGCACTAAAGCCCTCAAGGGGGCGCTCGATCCTCCACGCCGCTCCGCCGCTAGCTGCCATTGGCACACTCAGTCATGCACTGCAATTATTACCGCGTGCTTTAATCTGGGGGAGGCGCAGCACTGCAGCATCGTGTCAGCCGCTGGTTAAGGCAACCCTGCAGAAGCTATGTCTATCTGCTTTGTCAACCCCCGGCTCGATTGTGTCTGAGATGATGTGCAGACGACAGCGTGGTTCGCAGCGGCCGCCAGTATGCTGATCTCGCCAGTCAGGCCCAATATCGACTTGCTACCTGCTGGATTCCGGGGCCCAACTTGCCAAGCTCGCCATCGACATGATGCCTGCTTCTCTTGAGAGACTCGATTGGCCAAAACGGACATGGTCGCGTATCGACCCACTACTGGACGGATGACAGCAAATCACTTTCTTATCCGTCATCAGGGAATATTTGTCAGAGGCGATATAAAGAACCACCGAAACGACGGCGCCCTGCCAGCCTCACCGACTTCGTCTTCCTTGTACCACTTTGGCTTGGGAGATGACTCTTGTTGCAGGCCATTAAGCAGATCTGGGCGGGCTCCTGGCTGTTGGCGCAACTCTAGCAAGACCACTGATTAAGCAGGCCAAACTGTCGCTCAAGGCATCGGTAGGGCGTCTATGCTTTTGGCATTTGTACCTAATCGTCGCTGGGGACCGACGCGCGGTCTTTGAGGGGAGCCATGGCAGTGACTAGTACTCTATCTCCATCTTTTGTTGTTTCCACCGCGATTACTGCGGCGCCCGTTGCGTCTTCTCTGCCACTCACAATCGTCATCGAGCCTGATATTGGAGGAACACTGGATTTTTTCCCCTTTCGCGACCTTGCCAATATCGGAAACCCGGACGATGATGCCTTCAGTTTCAAGAATCTCATCAAATCAAGCATTGATGGTGACCAGAGCATTTTGCTCTTCAGCACCGGTTGCGAGATTGACGGCGTCGAGGACTGCACCCGTGCCTGCAACCGCACTGACACCTTCTTCGGCTCTCTCGAGACATTCTATAATTGCATCGCGCTGTCTTCCATTTCCCACTGGACTCATGATACTCAGAGCTATTACATCACTCCTGAGGCGGAGCAAAATGCCAGCAGCATCATGGGCTCTGGCAGCCTCGCCGAATTCGATTATAAACCTACTCTCGACTCGTTTATAACTTGCGCCCAGGCAGCATGTGGAAGTGACTTGTTAAGCGTATCATGCGACCCCTCGATCAAGGCACTCTCTAGAGACAAATCGAGTGCTGATCAAATATTCGAAGCAATGGATACCTTTTGCCCAGATATTCCTGCTAATATTGATCCTGACATCTTTGGGCCTGGAGTAAGACTACCATACCGCCGATTACCTCGTCAATACCCAAAACGACTTGTAGAACAAAGGTGACACTAACTAACCTTGCTCGGACAGGTGCTGATCTCCTATGTGCTTCAAGTATGCTTTTCAGGATCGCTGTATTTGGCTGTCCAGGCATTTACCATCTGGGCACGCCACACTGAGAAGAAGCGAGAGCCCTTTAGTCTCACCCGTGCCCAGTCACTAGTCTGGAGAGATACATCTACTCTATCACGAACCAGTGTGGCCATGGCCACCACTCTCGTCGAGTTTCAAGAAGCTCAGTGCTGGTTTGTATTTGCGTTGCAGATCGCCTCTATCCTTGCCATTGTCATCAACTCTCAGGAAGGCACCTTCTGGGGCGAAATTATCGTCAACGGCGCCGTTGCCTTCCACGTCAGTCTCAACGGTGTTCTCCCTATGTTTCTAGTTCAAGTGTGTCTTCACAACGAAGGAATTCGCAATTGGCATACGTTTCTGGGCTTTTGCGCCGAATATTTATTGGCAATCATTGCAGCGACACAGAAAATTAGCTTTGCATCTACCTTTGACCTGTTCAAGCAGCAGCACAGCATTGCTGAATGCGGCGGCAACCCGAGCCCCCGGACATATTGTGCGGCCACGCATGGCGTCTCTGGACTGCACTTGACATTTTTCCCGCACCCACTTCTCTATAAGATTGTGTTTTTGGGTCTGGACAGTATTGCTTTCATTGCGCTTGTAGTTGATCAGCTAAGCTGGACACTGCGAAAACATAGACGGACGAAACACTTGAGATTTGGTAGCTGGACACCTGGTCGATGGCCTGAGAACAGTTTCCGGCGCCACTGGAAGACAATTACCATATATTTCTGGAGAGGCTTGGAAATAGCCTACTTTATCATCAATATTCTATATATGGTTTCTCTCGTCACTGTCATTAGCGCAAAGAGCTTCGAAGCCAACAAATGGTCATATGGGCAGATCATTGCCATCACTTGTTGGGGTCCCGTCATTGTCAAGCTGATAGACCTCATCATATGTAAGTCTAGTCCTTCCTCATTGAAACAACCTCATCGAAACCACCCATCCTATTGTTGTATCTTCTTTTCTAACAAGTCTATAGCCGGGCCGCCAAAGAACGGCGAGCGACTCAATTCTGGACCACCGCGATTACGTATAGACAACATCATTAATCATAGACTGATATCAGAATACGACGATGAAATCACGCTTCGGCCTGACGAGCCGCTTACGCTCAGGCCTGATTTGAAGACTTCGGGAACGGCCTACTCCCGACCGGAGACGATATTCTTCGAGCCTGGAGACAGATATGTCTCAGGTGGACGAGATTGAAATGATGTTTTCGCTTTTCTTTTTCCTTTTTTTACGATTGTATGAGTTGCTGGATAATGACTAACGCCGTCATGATGAATGTAACATCACCTTACTTTTAATTCTCGGTATGTAGTAGACCATCAGTAAATAGATTAGCTAGTATATCGTTGAGCGATGGTTAGATTGGAAAGATTTCATAATATCATAATCTATAATGGTACACAGGATTTGGTCACTGAACATGGACCTCTCCTTTTGCTAAGACTCAAGATCTCTGACTCGATCAAACTCGACAATCTAGGATGGTCTAGGGCGGTCGGTTGTCTCGTATTTGCTCGGCACAAACTGGAAATTGACGTTTTCGCGTTCTTTCAAGAAGTAGTCAACTCTCTCGTCCTTGCTGAGCCCGGCCACCGCCGTTCCATTCCTTCGCAGCCGACCTCCAATCTCAGCGCTGTGATCGGCTGCCCACCCAACGTACTGCGCGCCGCTTGACTCGGCACGATTGGTCTGCGCCATAGCCCCAACAAGACACATGAGCACCAAGATGGATGCGAATGCACCATGCGACATGTACACAGGTTCACTCGATTTCCCTTCCTGGGCATCCCGCCATCGTTCCCAATCTTCCCATGTGGCGTTGTTCGCGGCGGTACCTTCTTGGTGGCGCCAGTTCTTGTCAATGTCGCGCAGAGACGCGGCGCGGTCGCCGTGCGACCATCCTAAGCCGTAGCTATCGTACATGCGACGCTTAGAAGTGTTGCTGAGAAGTTCGTTGGCGGCAACAATCATGCGATACCGCTCGAGGCGGGTAGCGTGGGGAAGATTTTTGATATGTAAAGGTGAAGATGATACGGATGCATGATGATGGTTGTGGTCATGCGTGTCTGGATGATACAGTTTGACGAGATGATAGAAGCGTCGCTTGTCGTAGACGGCGCCCTTGGAAACGCCGAGCACTTCGTATGGCGTGGGCCGTGGCGACTTTGGCCATTCGTGAGTGATATCCTCCGGAGAGGGCTTCCAGTCGGACCATTTTTTCTCGCTGGCGTCTTGTATGGTGGCATATTGTCTTTTAAAGCGTTTACATAATGGGGAGGAGGAAGATCGGGTGCAGTGGGTGAGATAATGTGAGCTGCAGAGGGGAGAGACGAGGGATGGGAGGACGGCGACGGATGGTTTGATGGCCATGATTGGGAGTTTATGAGAGAGAAGGAAGTAGCTATGAGGAGAGCATGTGAGAGGTCATCTCGGTTGAACCGGCTATCCAGTAGTGGTGAATTTGGGGGCGATTGGGATAGAATTGATGCAAGACTTAGATGCAGTGTACTATGCAAAGGTATGAATGATGTCGTCGCAAATCGTGCTCACGAGACAGAGCTCCAAGTATGAAGTCACGCTATCCCCGCTATTGTCCAGGTGGCTGTGGGGGCGTTTGGGCTACTACCCACCTTAGTAATCTGTCACATTGATCCGTAAAGACCCAAACACGATCATCTCAGCTACTTATCGGTAGGCTATTGTTAGCGATTTCATTCATCTGGTCTTTATATGGAAAATTCCGGTGAGCTACATTTAATCATCAGGCTTACGTCTCAAGCGTTGGGCACAATTGCTCGCAGTTTCTTAGTTAATAAAGGGGAGCAGCTATCCAATATCCTTCGTTCTAACTTACATGTAATACATGGTGTATGGGGGAACCACAATACGGTACCGATAACCCAAAAACGATAGGCTACCTATGCTTTCTTGAGGCAGTTGGGTTTGAATCAAGCCGCTGGCTCGCTCGAATTTGAAATTGATCCCGAAAACTGCCTGCTTCAGTATCATCCTGGCTAGATCCGGCCGCTACGGGTAGAGGCATCATTTGACCCCTGTTGGTCTTGCTACCTCTATTGCCATGAGGCCAAGGCGTCCGTGAGGAGAAACAGCATCCATTTCTGACATGCATTAGGCACCTGCTACTACCATTTTCCTGTAGGTATGGAGGTAGTTTTGTCTATCACCAGCTTGAAATTATAGCTCCTTCGGCAAATTTTTTTTTTTTAGTCGCCTTTTTTTTATTCTAAGCTCATGCTACTCTCTTTCTACGATGCCCAGTACTATTGACCTTTCATGTTTTATCCACTTGCCTTCTAAATCCATCCAAAAATAAAAGACAGTCCAGGGCCCACGAGTGTGTACGGGTACGTGGATGAGTTTGGCAGCCTCCCAGTAAGCACAGTGGTTCAGTCCGCGGGTCCGTCCGCGGGCCAGTCCCTGCAAGAGTCGGCCTGTGCTCTTACTTGTATGACCACCCTGCAGCAGCTCCCTCTACTTGATCTGTCACATTCTGCGGCCGTTTGAGCACCGATTCTACCACTAGCATCACGATCGCACTATGTTGTTGGTTCTCGTCTTCTTTTATATTACAAATCCATCACTCTGTGGTCCCGATCGTTTGGGTCCTTGGCTCAGCTGTGCCAAAATTGTAATCTGCCAACTCTAATTACATGTATACAATGTGGGCTCCTCATTTGAAACCGCATTACCGGGAAGGGGTTGTAAACTCCATGGGTCAGATTCAGCACACCAATATGGGGTACTGTCATCTCTGCTTCCCTCCGGATTTAATAGAACAGATGGTGGGTTTTGAGCCTCCCCTCCTTTGTAGCACAGCCGATGCAGCGCAGGTAGGATGACACCACAAAAAGCTCTAGATAACTCCGGCTAGCCCACTTACTATATTCTTTCTTGTCCTTGTGTGTAACGCGCAACCTGATAACTCGGGATCCGGCAACCTCTCGATAAGAGCTCATTTGGTTCACCGATGACAGAGACGGCACCCTGTGGGATGGCTTTCCCCCTTGTGAATATCGCCTCATGGTTGGCAGACTATAGCCTGCCTATAGTGTAAAGGAGCATCCTCTATATTGAAGCATATGTATGGCATGGGTGACACGATAAGCTAGGAGATGTCATCCCAAAGCCGGGGTCGCGACCGCTTTCAGGGCCAGCCCCCGAGGGAATATTTGAGCCATGCTGTATGCCGGTCCGGGGTACCAGTATGTCAGCGAAGCCTTTAGAAGTTAAGGGAGGGGTCCGAACCTATTGCTGGCCTTTGTCTGCCTCTGTCTGTCTTGGCAAAGGCCATCCCCGTGTTCCTCGTTACAGCATGATCTCTCTTAAAATACCATTTCTCCAAACCCCTTGGCGTTTATGCTTGTTTAAAATCCCCTGACCAGCCTTTCCAATCAAGTCATTTTCCCTATCACTAGGCTCTCTTCTATTTGCTTGACTACTTGGTGAATATACATAATGCGTGTTGCAATTATCGGTGGCGGTCCCTCGGGTATCGTACAACTCAAAGTACTAACCGAGGCACATCGACGCTTTTCCATACCACATCTTGAGCTCAGGCTTTTTGAATCACATAATAGGCTTGGAGGCATCTTCTCACATCATTCTTACGAAGATGCAGAGCTCGTCTCGTCGAAATATCTTACAGCTTTTTCTGACTTCCGCCCCCGTCGTGATGATCCGGATTTCTTCAGCTCCGATCGCTATCTCGAGTATTTCGATGAATATGCTACGCATTTTGAGCTGTGGCCGTACATCAACTTGAACACGTGGGTCAAGTCAATTCGACGAGGAGACTCTAGTGAACATGTCGTCACTTACCGGACAGCATCGGGAGAAGAAATCGAGTGGGAGTGTGACGCTATTGCGATATGTTCCGGCGTGCATGCCATGCCCAATGTACCAAATCTGCCAGGCATTGAACATGTCCCTGTCGTCATGCATTCGGCAGATTTCAAGTCTCGAAAGCAATTTGGCAAAGGTAAGACTGTCATGGTTATTGGCAGCGGCGAAACTGGCGCAGACATTTGTTACTTGGCAGTGACAGGAGACACGGATAGGGTCATCCTATGCCATCGCGATGGTTGGCTCGGCGCACCCAAGGCATGTCTCAGTCATCTCATGTTCATGCAATGGCACCGCTTCCACAGAGTTACTTACACAACGTGTAGAGAGTTCCTGGACAGAAATTCCTGCCTTGGCTGTTTGGCTCCGAGCCGTACGATTACCCGCAGCTTCCTCTCGACGTATCTCAAGTCACATTATTCGACTCTATGTATGTCCACCCTATTGTGAGAGACAGCATGATCGTTTGGAACTTTTATCATTTTGTGGGAATATCCGCCGGAGGCTGGCTCTGCGGCGACTCCATATACGGAATTGACCAATTTGTTGGTCAAATTTATAGTGAGCGTTTTCACGCATCACGAGGTATGAGCAACGCTCTCTTCAGGCGACAGAAGCAATATTACATGCTACTAACTCAATGAAACATTCGATATAGTTTTCTTCAACAAGGCTTGGCAGCGTATCAGCAACCATGTTTCCGCACCTTGGCGACCAACCAAGTGGCCCCTTGCCAGTCGCATCCGTCGTTTCTTCTTTAACACTGATATCCCTTCGGTTTCACGAATAATAGAGGTTGCACCAAACCCTTCGCATATCTCTGAGGATGGCGTGGCTCACTTTCCTCTCAACGGTCGCCCGGAATCTGAGCGTATCAATGAAACTACTGTGAAGCCAGACGTTGTCATATTCGCCACCGGCTATCTTCCAGCATTTCCTTACCTCAACACTCCAGAGAACGCTGGACGGAAGCCTTATCCTGTAGCATTTGACGCCGATGTGAGGCAAATTTGGAACTCAGATGACCCAACTGTCGGCTTCATTGGCTTTGTCCGTCCAGGCTTTGGTGCTATCCCACCTCTCGCTGAGATGCAGGCAATGCTCTTTACAATGAACCTGATTAATCAAATCCCTAGACCACTAGACCCGGAGGATGAGTGGCATTACCGCATTATCCACACCCCTGATGCTCGTGTCAGTTACGGCGTTGAGCATGACAGTTACGCATATCAGCTAGCCAAGGATATTGATGGAGCGCCAACATTCTCAGAAGTGCTCAAAATGGCGTTCAGAACCAAGAACGGCTGGAGACTGCCGTACATATGGGCCGCAGGAGCGAGCTTCAATACGAAATTCCGTATGAGGGGCCCATGGAAATGGGAGGGAGCTTGCGAAGTCATGACTGGCGAATTGTGGGAGACAATTTCGCGCCGTGAAGGTCTTTTTGGTAAGAATTTCGTCTCTTTCTCTACAATGCCAACCCCGTATATCTTCGACTCTGTAGTATCTTACTTACATGATGCGTAACTCAAGGCAACGTTCCCCTTTCTGTTATCCCAATGGTTTATCTTGGCAGCATCAATCTCTTTTACCTTTTTTATGCAGGCTTTTGGAATCTTTTGGCCAAATTACGTCTAGCACGCCCAATAACAATACAGAATGAGCCAAAGCGAATTATGCAAGAGATGGAGCGGGCATGCAACTCAAAGAAGGGTAGTAAGTTACAGGCTGAGCATCATCTGAGCGCCAGGTCTGAAGTCATGTAACTTTCACCATTTCTACCTCTACTCTTTGCTGGCTAAATACTCTTTTTTTCTACGATGATACCAAATGTTTATTCAAACTCCATGACCATTCTTTGGCGGTGATTTATAATAATGGCGGGCCTTGCCCTTTGCACTGTTGACTTTGAGTGAAGTTGAGGCTTTCAGTACAGCAGCGTTTGCTTACCTCATAGTATGAAATAGTTTCCATGGGAAATCATACGGCGAGATGGCCGAGTTGGTTATGGCGTCAGGTTAAGGCTACCTTAACAGCAATTCCTGGTGGAGCAATCCGCGTGGGTTCGAGTCCCACTCTCGTCAGATTTCTCTTTTTGCACTTTGGTTCTCAAAATGAGGCGATACGGAGAATAAATCTTCATCTGCTTTTTTTTCTTGTTCTTTTGGAGCGTCAGTGTGGACAAATCGAATGGCTTCGTCATGGAGCCGCGATTCATCATGTAATTCGTTGATCCAGGTGCTTTCTTGTAGTATCTAACGATGACTGGCCGATTTCAAGAGGATTTGCGGCTGCAGAGAATCAGACACGCCATCATCCATAGAAATAGTCGAGGCTGCTGATGAAGGATCCGTGGCGGCGGCTGTAATAAGAAGAGGGGGGTCTTTTTTGCCAGTTGGGGCTGAGGCTGGTGACGATCCATTCTGCATACATTGTATTGTGGGATGAGTAGTGCTGCTTCTGTTTAGTTCACTGTCGGCTGAGATGTACTTGATGTCGATTTGTTGTGGTGGTGACTTGACTTCCATCGTGTCTATTTTACATCAACTGTCCAAGTTGATAAGATGGATGTTCCGGTGCTCTACTGTACTGAGGAACAAGGATGTACGGGACCTGTTGATTGCACAGGCCATCTCCCCGCTAAGTTTTCAGGGGAGCAGCCCCCACGATCCCGACATGGAGGTCATCCTGATCGTCTGCCCGAACCACACAAGACACTCAAATCACCAACTGCCGGTTTTGTCTTGAATTCGTCTTTCCAATAGTCAGGCAGTTATTGCTGCTCATGCGCCGAGCTTGAAACAGAAGCACGAGACTCAGTTCCTTTTCTAGCCAAGTCACGCTTGCGACTGTCAGTTGCTAATAGTGCATCGCTTGACTGAGACACACTGCGAGATACACCACATCTAACCCATGTGCCTTTTAGTACTACCGTAGTCTCAAGTTACCGTCCTTTCAGCTACCTAGCCGTATACCGTTTGTTCCTTATTTCGACAACAAAACATCCCCCAATCATTCATCTTTTGATACCTCAAATTCCATCCTCTCTCGTTATTTTAGTTTGGTGGCGTCGGCTTCCCCTGTCTGCCTTTGACTCCCCCCTGCCAAAAGCCAAGAGTTGGCATCAATGCCGAGATGCTAAGTTTCGCATCTGCAGGTCTGCTGACGCTCCTCCACACCACAGGCAATGCAGCTGATCCCGCTCAGCCTTGCTAACGCCCTGCTGGCTGTGGTTTTTTCTCCTACCGGCGTCACCAAAGACTTTAGCCAGACGATGCGTCAGAAATGCGGTCTGACTTGCTCTCTCGCCCGCTGAGACGTGTCCACTGCTCTGTCGTAGCAACGTAGCCGAACATGTGATGGCTGTCGTATTCTCGTGGAATTTTTTCCCCGGGTGCCTGCAGCTGCAGCTACTGCTTAGCCTTCGCGAGGTGTCAGGGATGAGTCGAGCAGAAAAACTATATGTTTACCAGCATGTCGTTTAGCTCACCACCATCGTCTAGAGCTGCAGCATCTGCAGCTTGTTTCAGCCCTGCTTTGTTGGTAGGCTTTCGTTCTTTGTTCCTTTGAAACCTTGATGCCCGTACTCTAGTCTAGGTAGCGGCTGTATTATTGGCTCGTTCCACGTGCTATATTATGCCGCCAGTTTCCCCTTCTCCCACCTTGGCCATGAAGCCTCCAAAGCGCCCAAATGGTGCCTCATCAAAGTCCTTCATCATGAGCTCAGTCACCGAGTTCTACCGCTCACAAATCGGCGGCGAGTCTGTCATCAACTACGCCTACACCGACTTCCCCTGGCGGCTCCTTGCCAAAGACGTCTATTACTTCTTTGCCTACTGCTGGGCTTTGCCCTGGGTTTTGTTTCCTATCCGCACCTTTGGCTCGGACGAGCTTGATGAGCTGTATCCATCATGGATGAACATGTTCTGTCTTGCGGTCCACATCTTCTTGTTCATCTTTCAGCTCATATATCTTGTCACCTTGCCATTAGCCATCATTTTCCCTGCATGGATGGGAATTGCTGGTATTGTGGCATTTCATTTTCTAAACAGATTCGTTTGCATGCTGCTGAATGGCACGGAGATCATCTTTCACTCTGACGAAAAGTACGCAAAGTCACGACCAGAGCATGAAAGCGAGCAATGGGTATTTCTGAACGGCGTCTCCGTCGGGTAAGTGTATCATCAGGATACTGATAATTTTTGTGTCATTGGTTCGCTTTCTGATATAAATAAATAATGCAGCCAACACTGGATGAAAATGAATCTTAATCGTCTAGCTCTCACATTTGGACGCCCAATTCTCGGCATCCACAATCGGACTTCTGGTGTTATTTTCGACGTTATCGAGTGTCTTATACAGCGCAACTTCTCATACGCAACTACCGATATTCGTGTCTGCTATAGGCATCTCAAGGATATTCTCTATGACCCGAAAAAGTCAAAGGTCGTCTTCATCATGCATTCCCAGGGAGCTATAGAAGGCGGCATGGTTCTGGATTGGCTCCTTCAGGAGATGCCCCAAGATCTACTGGCAAAGCTCGAAGTATATACCTTTGGTAGTGCCGCCAACCATTTCAATAATCCGCACCGCCATGTCATTTCGCAAGATTTAACCCGGTCAAGACCCCTTGAAGCGATGCAGACGCTCGTCTCCGAGGCCGCCTACGAGACTCCAGTCACCACTCCGCTCGAGGTCAAGAAGGATCCTATGATCACTGCTTCCATGCTACGAAGGTCGTCTTCTTTGGCTTCTTACCACACCGCATCTGCTGCCAAGGATAGAGCTATTGGCCATATCGAGCATTATACTCACAACACCGACTTTGTCGCCATATGGGGCATTCTCCATTTTGCCACGAACAAAATGGCCTGCTTACAGTTGCCTCGATTCCTTGGCCGTCTCTTCAACCGGTCTAATGGTCACGGCGGACATCTTCTCGTCCAGCATTACCTGGACGGCATGTTCCCTCTGAAGCGCGACCCGGAAACCGGTGAGTTTACAGGAGCCGACGAAGAAAACGAGTTTATGGAAGAGGTCATCAAGTTTGGTGTCGAGGGTACCGCCATGGAGAACGCACGAGAAGCCTTTGAGATTAGTTATGGAGGCACAGGAGGGTTCGGAACGGGCGAGATAACGACCCCCATCGAGGTTTACGACCAGTTTTCTTCACGCAAGAGACATAAAAAGGACGTCAAAGTCAAAGAACTTAGCAGGCTTTGGATGTACAGGAACGGATTGAGCCCGCCTGAAACATCGCAAGTCTTCCCGGCCGAGTTGGTGGGTATAGCGAGGAACTTTTCGATCTGAAAGGGTCCATCAGTGGTGTATGGGGCGTATCAAGGATTTCTCACCGCAGAGTTGACTTTACGGCGTGAGCATGTATGAGCATGATTTAGGCATCATCTGGCAAGTTAATCTTATCTTGCTTTTTTTTTTTTTTTTTTGCATTTTCTTTTCATATAGATTGAGCTAGATACCTGAGGGCATATGTGTGGGCTGGGGATCCTCCCCGCCCCCCTTTTCATGGAATTTTGAGTGCTTTTGAGACCAAATCCGAGTCATTATACCAAATTTGAGTCAATAGGAATTAGTACTTGAATCCACAAACAAATCACGAAAGCAAAAAGAAGTAAAAGAGACAAAAAGAAAAAAGATATGACGAGAGTGGGACTCGAACCCACGCGGATTGCTCCACCAGGAATTGCTGTTAAGGTAGCCTTAACCTGACGCCATAACCAACTCGGCCATCTCGCCAATCACATCGGTTGAAACTCGGGGCGCGTAATGCACACTATCAAGGTGCAGCACCGAGCTTCTGATCTGATCATACAGAACAAACTGTTGTCATGGATGCCTACCCTAGGACTCAGCGGTGAAGGGTGATACAAAGTCATGATGTGCCAGGATACAGGCAAATTCTGTGAATGAATGCATATAATATTGTACGCTTAATATAATTTTCCAAACAGATAGGCAACAAATATGGTCAAAGTGAAATTGCCTTAACTTTATCGCGGGTAGCCATAGAATGGATGTTAGTGCGAGAGGCTAACGATAGTATGAAGACATTATGCTACGTCAAGTGCAGTGATACCAAGACAGCCAACATGTTAGCAGATAATGAGCTTTGGGTCAAGATTGTTCAAGTACCCGGTACGTGTCCGTGAATATGTTCACGCTTATTCTCGCTGTCGAAGTACCCTCAGCCTCGTTGACTAAATTCACGATTGGGGAGCAAATCAAGGCTGCAGCAGGCAAGCAGGCAGGACGTGGCGAAATGTGGCGACCTTGGGAGTGGTCTAAAGCGCAGCCAGCGAATCCAATCGCCCGCCTACCCCTCCATCCCATCTGCCATATGGCGGATGCAGCACCAGCGCAAGTCGGAATTCCATCATTGCGAGTCTCTGCCTAGCGGAAGCTTGTTTGCGATGACGCACTGAGTCTCGAATGCAAGACTTGGACCCCTAGTTTAAAGTATTTTTGCCCTGTTTAGTTCTTGAAACCACCAAAAACCACTCAATCTTTCTCTCTTTCTCTCTCTCCTCTTCCTTCAAGCGTTGCGCCCCGTCGGTGTGCCGCTATTAATACCTGCAGGATTTACTGGCCTCCTCACTTATACTAGGCCCTTTTCCGTCCTGACGACCGTTGCTACGAGGCTTTGTTTTTTTCTTGTCTCTCTAACCCCACCCATTTTCCAACTACCGTCAACACTTTCTTCGCCTTCTTTCTTTTCCCCCTCCGTCATTGAGACATCGCAGCCGCAGAAAGCAGCAACGACGACTACAGGAGAGCAAAGGCATATCTACCTGCCAGTATGTTCGTCCTTAGAAACGGTATGTGAAGACTTGAATGCAGCATGCAGCCTGCGCGACTCCGCCGATGCGCTGCCCTATCTATATAAGCCCCGCGATTTCCCTCTTTCTTTGTTTCACGCCCTTTCTTCCTGGCTTGCCTCCATCTCTTGTTTTCCTGCACACATAACGTCGCTCCCACTAACAGTCATATCCTCCTAGTTGGCAAGCTGATCTTCGGCTCAACTACACAAGAATCCCTAATTGAGCTCCCTCAAGGCCAGCTCTACCTCGTCCGGCCCCTCTCACCCAAGGGCTACTCAGAGCTCATCTTCAAGGACTCTGCCATCCGTATCCGTCGAACCAACCAAGACTTCCAGTACCAGCTCGTTGTGCAGCGTGTGTTTGAGGAAGGAGAAGCTGAACTGCTCGCCGACGAGGAAGGTGAAGACGCAGAGATCGACGCTCTGGTAGGCGAACGCGACGAAAAGACCTTTCTGCTCGACGAGGCTCTACACTTTCGCATCGAGATCAGAGAGGGCGGCGACGAAACTGTTCTCGCCTGGAAAGATTTGAGCGGAGACAACGGCGATCTCTACGAATTTGTGTGCGACAGCGTTGTCACACCTACAGAAGTGAAGCGTTTTCTTCAGACGGCACAGGAGTGTCAATACGAGCGAAAGTACCGCAAGCCGCACACGACAGCCTCGGACGAGGATCTTGAACAATTTGAGTTCCCCGAGGAGCAACCCATCCCTCCCGCCAGCCCCATTCATAGCCCGACTCTCACCAGGTCCATCGACTCTATCGACGACATGTTCGCCAAGAGGACTGTCAAGCGGGAACCCGCGGCAGAGGAGCCCTTAGAGGAGCCCCAAGAAGTTGAAATTGAGGCTCCTCAGAAGGCATCGGGACCAAATGCTGCGCCGAAGCCTCTTGAGATTTATGCTGCTGTATCTGGCGAATTGCATCTCTACGACCCACAAGCAGGGCACTTTTCCCAGGTTGAAGATTCCGTTATTGCTGCGGTGTCTGAAGTGGGGAAATGGGAGTATTGGTTGCAGCTTGATGCTGCAGGAAAGTCTATTCTCGGAACCTTTGTTACTCCCGAAATCAACCCTGTATTCGACTTTGAGCATCTATCCTTCATTTTCAACCACTGGTCGGAAGATGGAACTGGAAGATCTTGGCTGCTCCGATTTAAGGATCAGCCAACCCTAGAGAAGTTCCAGGAAGGAGTGATGCAGGCCATTTGGGAGAAGCTTAATGAAACCAAATGGAAGAAGATTCAGGAGAAGGAGCGTGAATATGTCTTGGATGCATTCAACGACCTCGCCATGGAGGATGCCCCGACAGAGGAAGAAGAGGAGGAGGAGGAGGTCGAGGAAGAACCTGAGGAATATGAAGAAGATGAGGATGAGGATGAGCGACAAGAGTCGTCTGATGGAGAAGTCAACTCCCAGCTTGCCGTGGGCTACAAACACGACCGCTCCTTTGTTGTTCGCGGCTCCAAGATTGGAGTCTTTACCCACACTCCGGATAATCACCTCAAGTTCTCCACCAATATTTCCAAGGTGACCACTCCTGGAGGTAAATTGATGAACCCCAAGAAGGTCATGCTTCACAAGGAGGATAGAGATATGATCATGCAAAACGACGTGGACCCGAACAAGCTCTATCGCATGGACATTGAGTATGGCAAGGTCGTCGATGAGTGGAATGTCCATGATGACATACCTGTCACAACATTTGCTCCGGAGAACAAGTTTGCGCAGATGACCGGAGAACAGACGTTCCTGGGTATCTCTCACAATGCCCTTTTCCGAGTCGACCCTCGCCAAGCGGACAACAAGATTGTCGAATCAGAACTGAAGCAGTATGTATCGAAGAACGATTTCTCTTCTATTGCTACTACCGGGAAGGGTTACATCGCTGTGGCAAGCAACAAGGGTGATATTCGCCTGTTTGACCGTCTCGGAATCCGAGCCAAGACGCAGCTTCCTGCCCTTGGTGATCCTATTACTGGTATGGACGTTTCGGCTGACGGCAGATGGATCTTGGGAACTACCAAGAACTACATCCTCCTCGTCGACGCCCAACAGCATGGTGGAAAGAATGAGGGAAAGCTTGGCTTCGAAAAGCCATTCGCTGCCGACTCGAAGCCCCGTCCTCGTCGTCTGGCTCTTTCACCGGAGCACGTTGCTCAGTTTTACCACGAAACTGGCCAGCCCGTGTCTTTCACACCTGCCAAATTCAACACTGGTGAGGGTGCAGAGGAGACGAGTATCATTACCGCCTCTGGACCGTATATCATCGAGTGGAACCTCAAGCGGGTTATTCGTGGCCAGAAGACGCCATACAAGATTAAGCGATACGAAGAGAAGGTTATGGCTGACGACTTCAAATTTGGCTCCGACAAGAATGTCATTGTTGCTCTGCCCAATGAAGTCAACATGGTTGCCAAACAAAGTCTCAAGATGCCTACCCGAGAAAGCATCATCGGTGACGTCCGACTGCTTGGTAGTGGACGGAGATCTTCGGGACGAATTGGCAATGCTAAGAGCGGCCAGTATAAGCTCGGAAGGGATGACATTGTGGAGTCAGCTTATTAGAGCGCTGGCGTATATACCAAGTCTTTGATCATATTCAAAGTATATGAGGTGGAATATGGAAGGAATAGGAGGTAGAAAAGGAAAGGGACAAGATCAGATGATATGATGATGATGATGGGATACCATAAGTTGCTTTACATAACGCGGTTAGGGTGGGAGAAGGGAGTTTCCTGGGCTCATGATGCTTTTCACGTTTATTATATTCCCGCTTAGATACCTGTGTGTCTGCGTAGTGCATTTTTGACCGACGAGTAATGCCAAGGACGTTTACCTCGAATTTTGTCAATATTGGCTGCGGATGCACATGTGATGATGCCAGGGATACTAGATAGCCTCAATACAAACATGTTTCTTCACAAGATATCGGAAAAACAATGGAAGAAGAGGAAATTAAATCATTGTTCAAGAATAACTCATACATACACATTTTTTTTCGCTAACCCAGCGTAAACAAAGAAAAAAGAACCAAACATCCCTCGGGCTACCATAACACAATAATTAGAAGAAGAAGGCACCCCCCGTAGAAGAAATATAGCAACATCAGCTATCAACCTATTCAGACGATTCTGGCTGCTCGGAAGGGGGCTGCTCGGTGCCTGTTACCAGGTCCTTGGCATCCTGGGCCACCTGCTTCACCTGTTGACCAAGCCCGACGACGGCGCCCGCAACATTTCGTAGCGTCTTTGTCTGCGCATTTTCCGAACTGAGGCGAGTCATCTCCGCCACGAAGCTGGCTCCCCACCAGGCACTCGTGTACTTGAACACGTAGCGTTCGAGCTTACGGTAATTGGCCTCCCGCTGCTCGGGGCTCATCGTAACGGCATCGTGAATAGCATTGGCGAGTTCTTCAGTGTTCCAGGGGTTGACGATGAGGCTTCCGTTAAGAGATTGAGCGGCACCCGTAAACTCACTGAGAATCATGACGCCGTGGTTTTCGCGCTGAGTAGCGATATATTCGTATGACACAAGGTTCATGCCGTCACGCGTAGATGAGACCAAGCACACATCTGAGACGGCATATAGAGCTGTGAGCTCTTCAAAGGAGACAGACTGATGGAGGAAGTGGATGGGCATGAATTCGATGGTGCCAAACTTGCCATTGATACGGCCGACAAGTTCGTTGACAACGGCCCGGAGGTTCTGGTACTCCTCCACATCTTGTCGGGATGGAACGGCGACCTGGACAAGAACGATTTTGCCGATCCACTCGGGGTGCTCTGTCAAGAAAACTTCGAGAGCGTGCAGCTTCTGGGGCACACCCTTGATGTAATCGAGACGATCGACACCAACAATCAGTTTTACACCCTCAAACTTGCGGCTGAGGGTGGCAATACGCTCTTGGACCTTGGGTCTCTGGAGGCCTTCGACAAACTTCTCTGGGTCGATGCCGATAGGGAAAGCACCAACGGTAACAAAGCGGCCGTTCCAATCAACACCGTTGGGGGTAGTAGGGGTATCAAGAATTCGGGAGCAACTGCTGAGGAAATGGCGAGCATAGTCGTATGTGTGGAAGCCAATGAGATCACAGTCAAGGAGGCCGGTGAGAAGGGCCTCTCGCACGGGCAGAATGCGATAGATCTCGCTGCTGGGGAAAGGAGTGTGCAGGAAGAAGCCAATCTTGACATCCTTCTTGGTGTCGCCGATCTCCTCTCGCAGCATTTGAGGCAGCAGCATCAAGTGGTAGTCGTGGACCCAGATAAGATCGCCGTCTTGTACGTCCTTGATAACGGTCCTCGCGAAGAGGCGGTTGACTTCCTGGTACGCAGCCCATGCGGACTCGTCAAAAGTAATTTCGCCGGGGTGGTAGTGGAAGAGTGGCCACAGGATCGAATCTAAGCAGAGAAGAAGATATATATGTCAGCATCGCTATGAACGCTTAGGATAGGGAATTGAGCGGAACCTACTGGCAAAGCCATTGTAATGTCTGTCTGCTAATTCGTCGTCGATGAAGACGGGGTGAGCGCCATATTCGTCCTTGAGGCGCTTCTTCATGCCTTCGACTTCGTTCTCGGGGACTTCGAGACCCGGCCATCCATACCACTGGAAACTGGTCGTTTTGCTGAGGCCGCTGAGACCAGTGACTAGTCCACCGGAGGACATGGAAAAGCTGTAGCTTCCATCGTCGGAGCGCTTGATGGTGATGGGAAGACGGTTTGAGAGGAGAAGGAGACGGCCCGGGTTAACACCCTCTCCGCCTGATCCAACAGCAGCAGGCATTGTGTTGATTTATCTGCCGAAGTTCTTAATCGTAGCTCGTCGGTCGAGATCCAGCTGCTTGATCAGCTGGGCGAAAGGATTCGAAGTGAAACTATTCGGTACGACAACAGTGGTTGCGACTAAGCGATTGGCTAGGGCAGGCGTGGCAACTGATCGATGGTTCGGGATGACGTTGATTCGAGTCGTAGCTTGAGACTGCGCTCAGGTAAAAAAGCTTCGGGAGGCGCACGGCCAGGCGGCCTTTTGGGAGAATAGTCGCTATCGCGTGAAGGCACTCGCAACCATCCGGCGCTTAGCAGGGCAGACGAGTGAATTTGCCACGATCCTACGCTTGGGAGCAGAAGACGGAGGGGAATCTAGTTGCGCGTATGGCTGTGTTAAAGCTTATGTCGCATCAATCCATTCTTATATAAAGCTTCGAGGAGGGGCAGCGCGGCACAGGCTTTGCCTTTAGCAGGGAGGGGGAGGGGGAGGGGCAGCTTTGGGTCCCATGTTAGCGGCCATTGCCCGTATTAGCACAGCTAGAGGCCTAAAAGCAGGTTGCATTACAGCTACCTGACGCAGTCACACATACCAAGCACAGCGAGATTGGTGTTGTTTGCAACCGTGATGAGGGATATTCTTTTCTTTTGTCTACTTAGGGATCAATGCTGGTACTATGACAAAGTCCTGCAAGGACCGGAGAGAAGCTTGTGCTCGTCAGCTGGAACATGGCCATCTTTTGCGCATGTGAGAGTTCGGAGCAAACAGTCCGTTTTGCCATGTTGGGGCTCAGCGATCAGCGATCCACGATCGAGGCGGGAAAAATAAGGTAATATTAAGACATACGATAGCCACCTAGGTATTATGCAACGTCGACTTAACTCTGATGCTGACGCTATACAAGATTGAAGTAATTGATAATACTACAGCATCTATTGACGTCAACCTACGGGGCTGGCAGAACAGCCCGGAAAATTCTACCGTAGCCCAGGTAACGTGTAAGATGGGGTGCGCCAAATTCAGTTCCTGAGGGCGTTGGCCAATGGCTGGCCAATGACTGGTAGCAGCATGGCCATGCATGACATTGGCTTGCGCAAATACTTTGACGGGGTTATTCAACCGGGCCGAAGAAGATTGATCTTGGGTGGCATCCAAGTAGTGCCGATATGAGAGAGGGCGAGATAAAGGCTTCGCTTGAATTTCAAATCCGTGTTTGCATGGGATTGTTCTGATTCCTTTGCCTCTTTAGATGGCTTACTTGGATGCTGCTATGTGGTACAAACCAGCCACATGATGCTCTCTGCCGGATAATTGCGTGCGACATTTACTGCTCCAGCTTTCTTGGCTGAGGTTAGGTAGGCAGACAGAATGCTGCCGTATGTGCTGTCAGCTATACTCAGGCTATTGCGAAATGAAGGCTAGAGGCTCAAGGGGATAGGTATTGCGATGCAAGCTTGCAAGGTAAGAGGAAGCAGCTGAGACTCTATACTGCTTTAGCTATCTGTAGGTACTGGGTACCTTGAAACTTGGGTTTGTTATTGATGTTCGCCACATAATTAGTAGCAAAGACGTACGGAGTACGGAGTAACAAGTACTCATACCCAGAGGTGTCCACTCTTCTATACGCTTGCAAAACTTTAGACGCATGGGCGGACACGACCCGTTCAACTTTTGTTATCGATAAGCGTCTTCCCTGTGGCAAGGACCTTTTTTTGCTCTTTTGATGCCAATCGCGGCGACGACGAGCTTCATCACCCTCGCGCCTTGGGGGAGCCGCGCATCGCCATGGAATCGTCGCAAGATTTCAATTCTCTCCAGGAGGAGATCCAAAAGTCTCTCATCTCGACCATCAAGTCGGCCAATCGCATCGCATCGCATGACCTGAGCTTCCAGCGCACTGTCAATCCAGATGTTGCCGAAGAGCTCGACGATAAGACATCGCGCATTCTCGATCTCTCGACGCGGCTTCTGAACTCGGCGGCTCGAGCCTGTGGCCTGAAGCCGCCAAAGTTGGAAGACCCTGAAGATGTGGACATGAATTGGCGCAAGGTGGTGGATGTGGTGGACTCTGTTCTGGAAAAGGCAGATCGGGCTATCGATGAGTATACGGGACTGGTCAAACAGAGAGAGAATGGAGATTCAGATTCCGTGAGTCCACTCCAATTAAATCATGTGGAATATAGCTCTAACACTTCATCGCCAAACAAGAACTCAAAGCCAAAGCAAACCAAGTCGACCAATAAAGTCATCCGCAACGCCAACGTGAAGAAGCCACAGCTGGACTTTGAAATCAAACCGAATAACTTTCCGGACGGGCCATGGAAGCCCCTGTTGACGGAGAAACCGCACGCAGAGGTATCTCTAGATGACAGCCTTGTCACCTTTACCGGGGACAATGGAGCGCCTCAGTATGTTTGCATCAATATCGTTCAGCGCATATCGCTCTCCTCACTAACGACTCTCTCTTTCACTCTAGGTTTAAACACCCATATGAACCAGAGATATCGAGTATGCAGTACCCCGATCGAGTATTCCAGATCCTGGACCCGATACCACCTCAACCAATCGAGTCAACCGCAGCCACGTGGGTAGATACGTACGAGGGTGTTGTCGAGATGCTCCAGGAGTTGAAAGAAGCGAAAGAAATTGCGGTCGATTTAGAGCATCACGATTTTAGGACATACGTTGGGCTCGTCTCCTTGTTGCAGATTAGCACTAGAGAAAAGGACTGGATTGTTGATACGTTGAAACCTTGGCGGCATAAGCTCCAAGTTCTCAACGAGGTCTTCGCTGATCCTACCATCGTCAAAGTAAGAATTCCCTCCACTATTCATTTTAGTTGTCACTAATCATCTCTATTAGGTCTTTCACGGTGCATATATGGACATGGTTTGGCTTCAGCGAGATCTTGGGCTCTATGTTAATGGCCTCTTCGACACATTCTTCGCAAGTGATGCTTTACATTATTCCAGCAAGAGCTTGGCATTTCTCCTCTCCAAGTTTGTCAATTTCGAGGCCGACAAGCGATATCAGTTGGCTGATTGGAGGATGCGGTAAGTTACAAGAACTTAACCCCTGTGTTATTATGATATTTATTAATGCCTTTTAGGCCGCTCCCTGAAGAGATGATGTATTACGCTCGCTCAGATACCCACTACCTTCTCTACATTTATGACAGAATTCGAAACGATCTGGTCCAGTTGTCGGATCGAAGCAACCCCGAGAAAGATCTTATCAGCATTGTTCTGAAAAAATCGCGAGAACTTTCACTTTCACGCCATGAGAACCTTGAATTTAATGCAGAAACTGGCGAGGGGTCTAGGGGCTGGTTTAACTTTGTCTTAAAGAATTCGCATCTTGGCTACAAGAGCGATCAGTTCGCTGTTTTCAGGACTCTTTGGAAATGGAGAGATGTGACTGCGCGCACAGAAGACGAGAATCCCAACTTTGTACTTGGCACCAACAGTCTGACCGAGATTGCACGGGCCAACCCTCCGGATGCCAAGGCCCTTCACAGCCTACTACCGCTTACTGCTCCCCTAGCCCGATCCAAGGTGAATGAGATTTGGAGTCAGATACAAGAGGAAAAGGCAAAGGGAGGACCAACTCTTCTGCAATTTTTTATTGCCCGAGATCCGTCATCACAGCAAAGGGGCGGAATTCCCAGAGTAACAAAGGCCCAAAGTCAAACCACAAAATTGGAAGGAGCTGCCACGGCCACAAAGCTGCAACGCTCGCAGTTATTTGGAAATGTTGCTGTTAGCTCAAGATGGGATGAAACAAAAGGAGCAGCTGCTGTACAAGAAGACTACTTCCCTTTCCCTTGGCAACGGTTTGTTGAAGACGCTACAGACTTCGTTGTTGGAGCCCAGCCTGTTCAAGAAACCCCAGCGGCAACAGAAGAGCCAACAAAACCAGCAGCCACCGTTCCCTCCGCCGAAGACGAGAAGGGCGAAGAGTTCACTCTGCGCAGAGGAAGGAAGAGAAAATCCGACGCCATTGAAAATGATGAGACGTCATCTAGTGAAGGCGAGGAGATCCAGGACGATGTTATGGATGACAACGCCGTCATTGAGATAGAGGATGAAGACGTACCCCCCGGGGCAGCTAAGAGGGCGAAGAAACTAGAGAAGAAGAGGAAGAGAGACGAAGCCAAGATGGCCGAGGAACGGCAACGCTTGGAGCTTCGTACTAAGCGACAAGGTGAAAAGCTTGCCCGTAAAGACCAGCGGAAGAATCAGCAACAGCCAGCGGGCTCGTACCAAGCTGTTCCTTTCGACTACAGCAAAGCAGCATCAGTTCTTCATGCCAAGAGGGATGAAGCCAAGGGGTCAGCTCAAGAAGACAAGAAGAAGGTGTTTGACCCATATGCGAAGACAGGCGATGATGAGATTAAACCGGCAAGACGGATGCCGCCAATTAGGGGCGAGAAAAGTGCTACATTCAAGAAGTGAAACAGACGTTCAAGTCAGATTTAGTTACATGTATAGATTAGTAGCATTGGCCATCAATTGGGAATACAGGCAGAGAACGGCGTTGTATATAGGTAACTGAATAGGGGGTAAACTATCGCAGAGCTTCCTTTTTAAGATATAATGATTCCTTGAGTAATTGCAGAGTAAAATATGGCTTCAGACGAGTGCCTGTGAACATAGCATGGAGCTGTTGCAAAGCACGCATACAAATTACGGCGATAGAGCTTTGACAACATATATGGCTGTTAAGCATGAACTCTCCTCATGCAAATTCTATAAGCTACTTTTCTACGTGTTAGTAGGCGAATATCAGGTAAATAGGAGGATTTCCAGGCACCAGGATTATTCATCTATCAGTAACCTGGCAGATGCGGCAGGGAATCACACATTACGCAGAACATCTGCATCACAACTTTGCCCGATCAAGGCTCGTGGCCTGATTGATCGTCTGACAGCAACCCTCCCTCTCCGTCTCTTCCATATTACTTGCCGCACGCGACTCCTTGCCTATGCTGTAAAACCATTAGCCTCAGCAGGCATGCAGTCCTGGTTGGTGGCTGCGGCAACCTCTAGCCACGGCTTAAACTCAATGCTGCCAACACAACCCTTTCATCGCACTGCACTGCAGCACTCGCTGCCCAGCAATTTCCGATGGCCAAGGAAGTCTTGTATCCTTGTTTCGAATCATTCGATACGGCTCAATTGACGGAGAATTTTTCCAAATGCATGGCTGATGTAACCTTCTTGCATTTTCATCAGGAGAGGTCATGTGACTCGTGAGGGGAATCGTGAGGGGAAGGCATCTCGACTGCACGTCTTTCGTTTCCTTTCTGCTAATTTGTTCATTTACCACGCATCTCCCTTTCATATGACTGGAGAGGACATGTTGAATGCTGCGATCTCAATTGTTTGAGCAGCGCCACGATGGGGAAGGACTTTGGTTCTTTAGACCGGGATGGCACGGTAGGTGATGCACGGATACCGTGACGCGTGAATGTCTGTGAGTTTTTCCTTGATTCGTCTGTAAAAGTCGCAGCCTGCTAACATTCAGTAGGAATTTCCTGCCTCCGGAAGTGAATACGGTTTCCAGAGGGAATATCGTTCGAGAAATCGAACACCAAGTCGATTGCTCTCCAGAATGTCAACATGAATGCATGAAATGTTTCAGTCAACTTGGCCCAAAACGACACCATCACATTTGGGATGATGAGAATGCAGACGCAAAAATGTAAGACTTCAATGGCAAGAGAGCCTCCGGATCCCTGATGTCCGCAGTTTTCGATTCGAGCAATCTGCGGCTAAGGCGACTATTGATGTCAACCCAGTCAACTTTCTGGCGTTTTGACTATGAGTGCGAGTTTATCAAAGCAAACTTCACACCAGCCCATGGCGATTTATCGAATTAGTCCATCCATGTGTTCAGGAGAAGCGTGACATCGAAGGCGGCGCATTTGTCATTCTTGAGAGGATGTCGGTCCTCCTATCGCACATGGCGAATTACTCAAAAGACTTCCATTCTTGGTCGGCAACACACGCCTTTTCGGAACCTGTTTCAGTCGATATATCATGCCTCAAAGAGTCAGATATACTCTTCATACCAGAACGTCTGTGGATAACTGCTGGTCAATTGGGAGTCAGCTGGTATATATGATGTCCGGCTCTACGCCTGATCCTGATCCACTATGGGGCACAAGACTCGTTCTTCTCCTTATCTCGCTTAGATCCACCAAATTACCAAAGGCCATTATTCCCCAGTCCACTCATGATACAATCACGTCAGCTTTCAGTGAAGCACAAGACCAGGACAAACCCCTCCCCCACTACCAGAGGCTTCTGCACTTTAACACCGTGTGGAGTAATTCGCCTCTTCAGTTTGTGGACACCTTGGTTGATATATCACGCACATCATAGCCCTCAGGCCTCACCAAGTCGGTGAAGGCTGAAAATTACAGCGCTGGTGTGAGCTTACTGCCTGTATAATCATAGTTGTTATGCACAGTAGGAGCTCTGCCTACAGATCTTCACCTTGCTCATCTGCTGTCTTAATGAAGCTACGTCTGAGTATGTGAGGACAACGAAAGGGAAAAAATCCCGAAACTCATACAGCAGTAACAAGTGTTACCATTTTGTCGATATTGCCGCACTCGTCCACGTCAAAGATTGAACATGTCAAAGCTCTTCATTTACTGAAGAGCAGGAATAAATTGAGGCTTTTTTTTATTTTACAATCGACTCCATGAAGGAGCGTGATGGGCTTTACCCAAGATCTATGAGACAGAGGACACCATTTTCATCGATGGCCACCTTCCCCAACCTCTAACACCGTCTATGATGCATCGTCTTCCTCGTTTTATGTGCACGTTGGCACCCCAATTGCATTTGACAAACCATCAAACTCCAAGTGGCGGACGGTCCAACGTCGTCCCCTTATATTAATTGCTCCATCCACTGGCCGGAGCTTTTCCAATCTCTCGAGAGGCAATTTAGGTCTATGGGCAATTGGTTAGAAATTGACTCAAACTCATATATCTCGGTAAACCTCGGCAAAACTTACGAACTTGGCCATCAGGGCAATCATGAGGTCGAAAAGAGCGATAGCCTCAACGAAAGCGAAACCCAGAATGGCGTAGGAGAAGAGCTGGCCACGGAGAGCGGGGTTGCGGGCAACACCGTTGATGAGGGCAGCGAAAACGACACCGATACCAACACCAGCACCGGTCAGACCGATGGCAGAAGAACCCATACCCAAGTTCTTGGAGACCTCAACCATGGCCTGGGCGATCTCGGAAGAGTAGGCGCGGCGCTGAGCCTGGAAGGCGTTGCGGCCAGCAGCCTGGATGGTCTGGCGCTTCATGGCCTGCATGGGGCTGCCTTTACACGGAATTGATGTCAGCCATTGATTCTGTCAATTGAACTGTGCTACGAGACTCTCGGAGGATCGAATTGCTCCAACCCGAGGTCGATTGCTGAGGGAAAAAAAGTTTTCTCTTGACTCACCAGTGGTGATGGTGCGCTTGGCAGCGGCGAGAGGAGCACGCATAGCAGGGCGAGCAGCCTTGGTGGCCATCTGGGAGGCCAGGCGGGAGGCGAAGACACGGGAGGCCATTGTGATGGTTTGAGGAGGGATTGGAAGGTTGGACTGGAAGGGTTGGATGGAGTGAGGTAAAGGTCAAGTCTGGAGGAAGAAGGAGAGAGAAAAAGAGAACTGGAGCTGGATGGAGGAATGGCAAGAAAAGAGGACCCACCTCGAGGATTGGCCTAGGGGCATGAGGGAGGTCAGCCGGGGCCAAGTTGGACAAACGAGTGAAATTCCCACCGCCGGAGCCACTGGATGACTGAGGCCGAAGGACCATTTGGGTTGGGAAAGTTGTGGTGCAAATCTTAGGACCGGTCAAGGCATGCCGCCAATGCTCTCTCCTCCAATCGGGGGAAGCCGGGTACGGATTCACAGCATCTGCAAACAGCCTGAGGCAAGCTCTTCGTTTGCTGCTTTGCAAGTTTTACGGCCTGAGGCGTCCGTCTTCTCGACAGATGGTTAGCCACTGTGGGAGCCGAAACCTTGGAGATGCCGGCATTCCAATGAAGAGCAAAGGGTGCTTGTCAGTGGCCATTGACATTACTGCCAAAAAAGCCATTGGCTTCCTTCAATGTCTATTGGCAGCACGGCAAAGAGTCTTTGGTGCGAACCTTAATCGAACCAAACGCATGTCAATCACTACCACCACCAACTTTCTACGACGCAACAACTCCCCCTCTTCTACATGATGCTGCGAGTGAAGCCATCCGCGGTTGGTGGTTAACCAGTGCCATGGATTATGGGCTGCCAGGAAGGCCACGAAAATTTTTCTGCTTTGTTGTTGTCTGAGGCACAAAGAAAAGATCGACTAGGCAAATTCTGATACTCCTATATGGATCGACTTATCAGATAGAGAATTTTTGCCGCGTTCAGATAGCATGAGGTTCTACGACTGGATGAGGCTTGTTGGCGCAAGCCCCCACGCCCCACTTGGCGTCATGGTTAGGAGCCGTGCAAAAAGATACGAATGCCGCCCTGTGCCTGTACAGCTCAGAACAACCCAGATGATTGGGTGCCTGACACGTGGGTGGACCTGCAAGGGTTTTCCGACTTTGATTGCATCTCTGCCTGGCTTCTTGCGGTCACGAATTATGGGAGGGGTGTGTGAAAGAGGAAAATGAAGAATGAAGTACATCAGCTCAATGTATCCCCAAGAGAGCTTACAGAGCGACGGGCAGTGTTCCGGGATCACAAGTATACTTTGAGGCCGAGTACAAGACGTGTGTTTTCGGAACCAGTTGATGCCATTGAGATAAGGATGGGGACAGGAGTCACAGCTGCTCGAGTGCTCGAGACTCAAGCTGTCGTCAGACCTGGGCTGGGGCCCCTGATGACTCTTCCATTGCTTGCAAGAAGCAAAGTTTGCGTAGCGGTATAAAAGGGAAGCCGTATTCCTGCCGCATCTCCCCGACCTTTTCTTTGAAAGTTTTGGTGAAATGCCCAACTGCCTTTGCTGCAGGCACAATGATGTGCGCCGAACCCCCCTCCCAGCAAATGCAGTGGCAGGGTGACCTTGCTCGGCTTCACAACAAAACCTCCTACCGACCGCTGCTACATGCGACGACTAATACCGAGCTCCGTCCGCCCTTCCGCCTGTCATATCTCCTGGTTCTCGACCAAGTGTCCGGCACAGGCATCGACGCACGATGATGAGACGATACTGGATAATGGATAACAGCTCAACATAACGACAGCCCGAAACCAACGGATGAAAGCAATGGTACCTGCTATAAGGCGACAAGCGGTATTCCGCAACATGCTCTGGAACGCTGACTGCCGAACCTTGCCGCACCTTCGCCGCTGCTACGGTGCAGTATGACGTGCCCTGGGAAGCTGAGGTCTCAATCAATCTCGCTGTACCCTTTCCAGCGTCGCGGTGTGTCCAATGAGAACAGGATGCCCGACACCCTCTTCAGCGCTATTGCCGCCGCTATTCTCGCCGCCGCGTTACATTGACGACGCAATAGCAGGGGTGGATGTCTGGCGGTGACCGACCAATGGTCCGGCTGCTCGGCCCAAAATTTACGGAGCACAAGCCGATGGCGGATGCGAAAATTTTTTCCATGAGCCCGAGCCTCACTGCTCAGCTGGCAAATCAGGGTCCACCCTAGCCCGACTCAGCAGACCTTGAATCCTTGAAGAGGCGGCATTATCGCATTGCTCAAAGACGAAGAAAATGTCGCAAAATGACGCATTTGAGCAGATACGCGGCTTGCTCTGGGACGGGCGGATCTGGCCGTGCACGAGCATTGCAGCTGCGCATCTCACAGAGCCGAATCCTGCAGCGAGCAATTGTATAGTGACGTGTACGAAATTTGTGCTCGTCTACTTCTTCGAGTTTTGGCCGCCTGACGAGTCAGTCCTAGCTGTTACCCAAAGCTGCCATGACTTTTACAATTCCAAGGAGGAAAAGAATGCAACGTCAGAAACAGTTGTCGGCTCACTTGCATTCGATTCGATGCAGATTGATATACCAAGTTACCTGAAAGGGAATATTCTGCGCAACCTACAGGTTAACAGAGCTCACCGTGCATAGGGGTGAGGTTGCCTTAGGCTCAAACCAAGCAGATGGATCTGTCAATCTGCCGCCTCACCTCGCTTTTCCCACACCCCCTTGTCCTCAGGCATGCATTCATCCCACGCAGCGTCTGTCGCAAGGGTTAGCTTCCCACTCTATTGCAACGTAGCGGTTCTCTTTGCTCCGATGTGGCCCTTTCTGGAAATTAGCAAGGATATGCGACAGGTGACAGGGGTGTGTCTTGTTCTGCCTGGCTCCTATCTCACGAGAATTATTCGGGTCCTAAACTATGGAGAATGATGCGTAGATTTTGCCCTGGTGAAATGTCTATATCGCGCATCGCTGTGCATGCGTATGACCGAGGCTACAAAAAAAGAGGTCTTTTTGTTTCTTGGTCTGACACGATGTGGACTCCTAGTCTTTTTCTCACATGGTGTCTAACTGTAGGTGGGTGCCATCAAGCTGGCGACAAACTTGAAGAGCCTCCTCGGAAGCTATCTCTGCTCCGTAGATGCGCTACATTTCCTATTCGAGAGAGTTACAGAGAATAGGGTTGTATCTGTAAGCTTATCCAGACCTAATTCGGCTTGTTCTGCAACCCTCTCGGGATAGAGCTAGAATCCGGCTGCGGTCTAACACCTCAAATAACATCGGATGGCCAAAGATAAAGGTTCTATCGAGAAGCCTCTAGTTCTTAAGGAGAGGCATAGTAACCTCGCAGGGGCCATTAATTAACCAGTAGCAAATCAAGACAGTAAAAATAGAAATCAAGCGAGCAAATGATGTAGAAAAAAAATCAAAAGGGGGGTATCATTGTAAGTCCCATTGCGCCAAGGCCCATCCGCATCCTTTATCCTCTATCCTCTTGCCGAAGCCTCGTCTCTAGATTCAGCACTTTCGCTGGCTGCCTTCTCCGCCGTCTTCATTGCATATCCCTCTATGAAGCCATCCGAATCACACGTCTTCTCCAAAAGCAGCCGATGAGCAGCCACGTATCGCCGCACTGCCTCCTTGTCGATTCGGACTCGCGGGACTTGCTTGACGGCTGGCTTGGGCTTTTGCTTCTCATCTTCCGCCTCGGCCGATGCTCCTTTGATGTTCTGTTTCGCCGCATCTTCCTCAGTGGCTGCTGCTGCTTGTTTCTTCTTCTTGTCTTCTTCAGATAGATGAACTTGCTGGTCTTCTAAAGGCTCTGGCTTTCCAGGCCCCACGCCAGCATCCTCCACAACACCCATGTCTCTTAACACACCCAAGCAGTCCTCTGGTGTAATCCATGTCGCTTGACTGCAGTCCTCCACGTCAACAAGCGTCTCCTGGCCTTTTTCCTGATCCGTCTGCGAAACGTCCAGGCTAAGCAGCCAGCGGGCAATCTCTCCGGCCCAGAACCGCTGATATCCCTTCTTGCCCAAATCAGATATAGGCTTCTCAGGACCGCCCATGATGCCTTCCCTTCGCGAGATTTCGTAGGAGGCGCCCATTAGGAGGGCACCGAGTCCCTTGCGTTGCCACGGAGGGAATATGAGGATGCACGCTAGGTTATTGTTGTCCCAAGACATCTTCTCTTTTGAGAAGAAGCCTGTGATTTGCGGCGTCACAGGGGGAACAGGCACACCGGATGGCGTTGCCACGCTTGGTGGTGTGTATACCAATAAGAAGTAGTTGAAGCCTGTCACGTCAAAGAAAACAGACTTGTTATCTAGGAAGAGCTTCGCAAAGAGGGACAGATTCTGGCAGAAGAGCTGAGACAAGAAAGGTTAGTTGTTTGCTAGCAAGACTCAAATCGTGAATGATAGGACTCACCACATCCTGCTCTCCATCCACCTCCCAGAGGCTCCATTCTCCCTCGTCCTGAACAACTTCCTCAACGTAGCGTATATTTCCTTCTCCTCGCCGCTTTTTCTGTCCTGGACCTCGACTGCCATCCTGCGCAACGTACACGGTCCGCCTGCCTTTGGGATGTACATATATCTTGTTCCCCGGGACATGAGCTCGCTGCTGGCACAGTTTGACGTGACCCCACCAAGCCACGAGCTCTTTGGCATACTTGAAGCAGCTAGGACAGACGTATAGCCTCTCTAGCATGGGTAGGCCGTCTTTCTCTTTCTTTGACGGCCCCTTTCCAGCGGCGTCAAGAAGCCCGTCCTTGCTGCCGCCCTTCGCATTGCCTGATGTAGCTCCTAGAACCTCTTTACCGTAGTAGCTCGGATACCACGTGCGGAAACATAGGTTCCCCAAAACAACCTTGTCGATGTTACGATCTGTCCTCGGAGGCGGCCGATCAGACACGGGCAGCGTCGGCGGCTTAGGAGGTAGCACTGGTGTGATTACCATTGGTGCCGGCCCCATCTTATCTAGTCTTGGAGGCGGCGCCGAGGGTCCGTGAGGCCTCACCAATGAAGACTGTCGGCCATGCTGATTCGCCTGAGGAACGTGGTACGTGATCTCGGGCGCAACCAGATCCGAGGGCCGCCTACGTTCCTTGGAAGGGGCACTATTGCTCATCTCGGCCATGGCAGCTGTCCGCTTGGGAGGAATTGGGGCAGCCGCCGCAACTCTGGAGCCAGGCGGGAGCGGCGAGGGTATTGCGCTGCGGGAGGCAGCTGTCGAGATGTTTGGGAGAGGCGGGAGAGGCTGAACGGCGGCAGGAGGAGGAGGAGGGAGCGTAGAGGCCTGCGCGCCAGGAGGACGAGGGCCATTGCGCGCGCCTCGCTTCAGCGGATCGGCCACGAGTATCGGAGGCAGAGGAACGGCGGTGACGGCGGGCACAGGAGCGGTCATTTTGTGCGTCGTGGTGACTGGAGGCGCAGGAGTCGGCGGCACAAGCGCAGAGGCGGGAACCGGAGGAGGCAGCACAGGAGTCTGACGCGTCGCACGGCGCGTAGAGGATTGCGGATCGGGCTGCTGGTCAGACGCAGGATCGGGCTCGTCTGGTCGTTTGCGCTTTTGCGGCATCGCTTGATGCTGGGGCCAGAGCAGCCTCTTGCTGGGATGCGAATGGTAAAAGGAGCCTCTCAAGATTATTGAGCATGGGCTGGGATGTCACGGGACGGCTGGGTGCGGACACGGATGCGACGAAGCCATCTAGGAGCAGCAGGAGCGACGGTTAAAATCAGTGTTTCAGAGCGGTATAGAGCAGTACAGCGTGGTTCGGCGTATTGAGAGCTGGCAAAGATAGCTAGATGGAAGCTGTGGTGTTTTGCGGGAGGAAGAAGCCCGCGTTTGGACCTGTCACGTGGGGTCGCGTAAAGGGCGTACATGAGCTGAGTTTCTTGTACAGCTTCTACTTTGTACCTTGATGACTTCACAAGCATCTCAATAAATGCGCATCTAATTTTTAGGATGAATTATCATGATCTGGACTTGATGCAGTCTCTTATGGTGGGTAGGTCATCATGCAGCTTTTCATGTGTTGATAGCAGCCATGATCTACGTCACACAAGCAGGCATCAGATCAAACTGGGGCATATGACCAGCGTTTACAATCGCAGTAATACTCTCACAAAGACAGCAAGCAAAAATTATAAAATTCTGGGCTTTATTCGTTTTCTAATTTTTTTTTCTCCCACTTTTCAATATTTTAGGGCAAAGACACCAAAGAGCCATCTCCAATCCATCATCACAGCATCACTTATCCCCCCTTAGCCGAGACTTGATATACATAAAAAGGTAAAGCTCATCGCAAAGAACAGCTCGGCGCCCCGTGAGCATTCATGACTCTCTGCAAAGTATCATCGCCCTCTTCCCAGTCTTTCACCAGAGTCAGCAGGCGGCGTCGTGCCAGTCCGGCATCTCGGTTGCGATACACGCTGTCGATTTTGCGCACCACTTTGTCATTGACAAGCCAGCGTTTCTCTTCAGCCATGAAATCCGCATATGACATGTCCTGTCCAAAGGTTGCTTTCACATTAGCTTCGAGATGCTCTTTTATGGCTTTGTCTGACTTGACTTGTTCTGTAGAGGGAGCATCCGGGTGAGGAAATGCCGTATCGATGGATGGTATAAAAGCTATGCTTTTCCTAGATGGATCGGCAAGGATCGATGTCGCAAAGAAATACACGATACTGGGATTCTCCAGAATTGCCGGCGTCAACTTGAGGAGACCCGGCGGAGTGGTGGCACAGTGTCCCAAGTTGAAGTACTGCAGCTGAGGCGTGCCCCTGAAGAGTTGAGTCATGGCTGGGATTGCGTCGTCTTCCACATAATTATACGCCTGGCCAAGATCTTCTGTGGCATATGCCTGGCCGATATCCAGAGACCTGATGCTAGGATGCCCGGTCAAGGCTTCACACAGCGCCATGGCACCTTGGGTGCTGACTCCAACCGATTGTACGAACAGTCGAGCCAGATACGGTGCCTTGGGTAGTGCGGTAGCCAGAGCTTGAGCACCCTCGTCGCCAAGGGGATTGCAGGACATATAGATAGACGTCACGCCAGAATGTGGTGAGGCAAGAAACTTGCCCACAGCAGCAGCGCCCTCGGTCGAGATGCCGAGGCCGTTCATGTAGATGTGTCGAAGAGGAAGCTTGCTACCATCAGGGGAAGAATGGGCGGCCAGGCGGGTGAACAACTCGGCTACACCGCGGTTTCCAAGCTCGGTCTGGTCAAGGTCCAGCGTTTGGAGGTTCTTAGTCTCAGTGATGAGACGATACACATCCTCAGCGGCGTCTGGGCCAAGAGGATTCCGCTTCAGCCAAATATTAGACACGGCCTGCGACTTAACCAATGCATTCACCAGGGTCTTGAAGCTCTCTCCTCCCTGGATGCAATTGCCAGCAAGATACCAAGTGTCCATGCGCTCTGGAAACTCGGTGATGAATCGTGAAATAGCCTCAACACCAGCTGGGCCAATGATATTATTGCCTAGCAAGAAGTGTCGGACGTGCTTGTTAGTCCGCAAACTGTACATCAGGCGGTCGATATGGTCAGGGCCGACGACCATTTTGCAGAGATCCATCCGGCCATCCTCATACACAACTCCTTTGCGGAACTCTGCGCCGCGAACGCTATAATACGGCTCTCCATGGCCGTCGTGGAGCTCGACCGCGCCCTCGACACCGTCAATTTCGTGGCTGCCGCTGTTGGACAAGTGCTCGAAGAAGGGCGCTAGTTCTGCCTCTTGAGCAACTCTCACCGGCATGGGAATTGCCTTGGGGCCATCCAACGAGATGGGCTTCTTGGCCTGATCCCACCGTCCCTGTCTGGTGATACGGCTGGCCCAAGCAGGTGCCTGGACACCGGCTTCAACACCTCCAGTCATTCCCGGAGCCATTCTACCGTTGCGCTTGGTGGCCTGCAGCAAGTCGTAGCGACGCTGCAGAGACGCCCATGCGCGGAGACGGACTCGATCGGCGTCATAACGAATAATAGCCGTAAGTGAACCATCGTGGACTGGATGCAGCAGCGAAGCAATGGCCACAGCTAGGTTGTGGCGAGTAGATTTGCGACTGGGGAGATCGTATAAGATGTCTTCGATCCTATGTTTATCAAGTGGAAGGTCGAGAATATCGTCCGCAGTGTAGCCTTGCGACGGCTTGAGCACATCAACCATGTAAGTGGTCAAGTTATTCAGAGAAGAACGGCAGAGCCCGGCCAAGTAGATTGCCTCGTTCATGGAGACGTTGGAGTCAGTGTTTGAGCCATCGTCTGGTTTGATTCGAATGACGAGAGACGGATTCGGATTGTCGAGTAGCTCGACCTGTGTAGCGGAAGCCATGGTGAAGAATGACGAGTGACGATGTACCAAGTGGTCGATTCGGAGCCAAGATCCTATCAGAGTAGACGATTGGTATTTACTTCCTCCCCCAAAACAAAGCGGCATCTAACCCTCTTATATATATACATACGTCTATATACATTCAGAGGAAGAAAGAGATCAAACACTTAAGAAAAGGAAGACAACTGATGTTCAACCAGCAACAGTCATCCGCATCGACAAATTCACCAATCAGCCCAACGCCTCCCCTCACTCCTCGCCCATTTCAGCCTCACGCAGCCTCAATCTCCCAATTTACTCCAAAAAAAAAGATACAGAATCATCACTATCGCCACACTAAAAGGCGACGACATGTCAAAAGGCGCATGCATAAACCTATGTACTCCAACCTTCTCCAACTCCAAAAGCGGCTCGCCGAGAGAACAAGGGGCTGTGCTGCGAGGTGAGTCAAAAGCCACCAACCCCCCGGCTCGATCGAATCAGATCGATGCTACGGCGTGCATTATGCATAGATTGAAATGACAGGGCATCAAATGTACTTTAAGTTTAAAGGCAACAATGTACTCCGTAGGGTCAAGAGCAAAAGGGCGTAAGGCTGCATCCCCCGTTGTCTTGGGGCTAAGGCAGAAAGAATCTCATGGAACCGATCCGACGATTATCTTTTGCCGTTTGGGCTACTGCGTGTCGGCCTCCCGCATAAACGAGCCTTTGCTCAATTCAATGAACCAGGCTAATTCCCATAAAAAATTGATTCAAAAGAAAATGAATAAACAAATACTAACACTAAGCAATGAATCTTGTGGCCCAATGACTGTTACTTGAGCCAGAAGGAAGAGCTGGCTGCTACTCTCAGCTCCGTCGGCTTCACCCCCAAGTCCGCAAAATTACAAGCGTTGCCAGCATCGCTACACTTCTTTTTCGCTGTAAAACTCTTTATATATTGTCGAAGAACTCGATATTGGTGCCGTCCTCCCCATTTACCCGCCATGTCCCTGCTGATGCACTGCTCTATACTCTTAAAAAACCCAACCCTTGCTACTTTTTACGTCTACCGACCTCTAGGTATGAGGTTAAACCAACTCACATCACTGAAATGCTCCTCTCGCCACCCATCAAAACATCTCGAGGTGGGGCACACACAAAATGCATCAAGAAAAGAAATGTCCCAAAGATCCTGATTAAAAATTTGGGGCTATTGTTTTGATGTAATGGGGAAAAAGAGGTAGCCATAGTAAACACATCAGCGGAGTGAAAGAAAAATTATTAAATGCCATCCAAATCTCCGCCAAGGTCGTCATCATCCAGGTCTCCTTCTTGAATCTCCTTGGCCATTTCCCTCTCTCGTTCGCGTGCCTCTTGGGCATTCTTGAGCTCGAGGCGATGTTGGTTCATCGGAAATCGCATGGCCTGTTACTGGTGTTAGCTCGCGTGACAATGAAAAAAAAAAAGATGTAAGAAAGGCTCACCTTGACACTCTCGTCATGAAGGGCAAGGCACGCCCGAATACGGTCGTGGAAGGCCTCTCCGGGCTCTCTTGTGGCGTACACATCACCCACTTCCTTGCTCTTCATGAATCCCTTCTCCCTGTCCAAAGTAGCCTCAATCACACCATCTCGAATGGCCTTGGCAACAATGTACTCAGCAGACTCCTCGCTGCCAAGATGCAGGCGGATGCAAATGTCACGAAGAGAGATGCGTGAGTATGACAGCGACATCATTCGAATGCCCGTCTTGATGACGTTCTGACGCAGGCGGAGGATAAGTGTGTAAGTGCCGTCCCGCTTGAAGATGTCGGCATTGTCGGCAATGGTGGTCTCAAAGTCCTCCAAGTTGCCCACTCGCACAGCTCGGACCAACAAGAAATACGGGTGGAGAGCATCCTCCAGAGACGGTTGTCGGAAGGTGGCCCTGTCAGGGATATCTCCCATCAACAGTTCGACGACCAGTAACAGCTTAGTGGCGGTTTGTGAGAAGCCCACAGCACAGCCGCTCGACGGCGCCTTACGGGTGGCGGCTGTGAGGTGCTCGTGTGCCTCCGTGTATCGCAGTTGGATAGCCCGGATCCGCCCAAGATAGTACAAGAATCGTGCCACTTGGTTGTTGGCGGCATTCTCGGGGAACTGCGTATGTGAGACAAGCAGATCGGCTTGCTTGATGTGCGACGTCAGCAGATAGTTTCTTAGGAGCAGAACAATGACCGAAGCCTGAGTGTCAATGTCCTTTCGCAAGACGGCGGTTCGGAGGACGGCTAGGAGGGTAGGTCGAATGGCGACAATGGGCGATTCGGGAGACGGCGGCAACGGGACGATGTACTCGCAGAAGAGCGAAAAGTAAAAGTAAACCTTGGCCGAGAGACTATCCAGCGTTCGGCGGTTCAGCGTCTGGATACGATCCGACAGATACTTGGAAAAGTCGGCTCCCTGCTGGTATTTTTTGGCATCGAAGAGATAGACCTGGACCAAGATTCCCAGGAACACGTCAATCTCGGGGATGATCTCCTTTACCTCCTTCTTGGAGGAGCCGTTCTTGGCAGCCTTTGCGTCGGTGTCCACCTCCATCTCAGCGCCGGTAGCCCGGCCAAGCGTAACATCCTCTCGGCCAACCGCAGCTAAAAGGCCCTTTGCAATGCTGGCGGACGCCGAGGTGGCGGGGAATGTGTCGGCAATCGCCTGTGCAATGACATCGGGCGACAGGTGTTTGCGGATGAGGGAGATGGATCGAAGGGCGCGCAGGGAGAAGCGAGCGTCGAAGAGCGTAACCGCACGGTCAAGGAGAGCAAAGTTGGCCTTGATGTCTGCAAGGAGCAATGAAACAAAGTATGCGTCAGCAAACATACTCTCACTAGATATATGTTACCACTTTCGTGTTGTTTTGCTCACCTATTACAGCTTGCACAGCCGGGTCAACCTTTTCCTCCTCCTCGGTCTTATCCACGTCCATTGCCACGTCGCCTTCCGCATCGGTCGAGGGAGCAGGCTTCTTGGAGGATTTGGATGGAGGCACAACTACAGTCATACTCTCGTCGCCATCCTTGGCAGCTTTTCGTCCTTCATCTTAGCTTCCTTGATCTTCCTAATATCAATTTCGAGGGGGGGTTCGTTACCATTGTTGTGGGGTGTTTTGCTAGGCATGGCGGGCAGAATCTAAGCTGAGGATGCCGCGAAAAGTCTAATATGCCGCCCCTAGAGGTACTAGAGGGATACGAGGAATAGCGTGTCCGATTGATTCGAAAAAGGCGGCGTGGATAGACCACCTTTGTTGTTGGGTCCGTCAGACGTCAACGGTGCGTATGTGTCTGTCCACGGCACGAGGGCGGTACAGAGACAGAGACCGAGGCCAGCAATAGAACCAGAAGACTCGAGATCGTGGGGAGCTTCTGGGAAAGCTGGGAGAGTCGTGCTGCGAACGCTGAGGCTTGTTTGTTGTGAATCTCGGCGTCTGGAGCAGGTGGAAGGTTCGAAGCTTGGGGACGTGGGAGAAGTGCTGGATTACCTATGAGGGACAAGGCTAGCGATGTCGCGGTACCGGGAGTTTCGCAGCGCTGTGGGCGGGCGCAGAGGTAGCGTTGACTTACCTAATGCCATGCATCTCTGATAAGCCGTGCGAGCTGTGGGGCTGGCCACCACCTTAGTGACGTCTGCCATCCTGGTGCCTACAAGCACGAGAGTGGCCAGCAATAACTCGACATCGGCAGTGCATAGAACATCTCCCTGCCTGTACAAAGGTAATAATAGCAAACAAACAGCAAACATATCAAGGCAAAAAGATACTTATTATCAAGGTAAAAATGATGCTTCTTTCAATACAAGCAATTTTGCTGCGTTGCCCGTCCACTGCGAGCCAAGTCAAGCAAGGCTGCTGCGCTGCGGTCTCATTATTAAAGAACTCTAATTTCACGACAAGAGCTTTGCCACATATCGGATTCAATGCTGCAATTTGTGACTATTTGTTGGCTGCTAGCCTCTATCTATATCCTCAAGCCATATCCCTCTCCGTAGCGTTGAGACGAAAAATCACAATGGTTGCCCATATCCCACAGGACTAGCCAGACCTTGACATCCGGGAATGCTGACCCTTTTTGATGAAAAGCAAAGTAAAATAGTAGACGGCCACCTAGCCAGGTATTGTCCTTTCCTGAAACGCCGTTTCGTACCCATTCTCATTACCGTCCAATCTCAAAATTCAAGAACGTTTGCAGCAGCTGCAGCAGCTGAGCTAATAATTGCGCCCAAAATCTCATCGTGAAAATGACAACAGTTGCTCAAGATCCGTTACTCGCCCTTTCCGGGCATCACCTTGGCAGCTTGCACAGCACTCATCTTCGCAATCCAGCCCGTAGAAGGCTGAACTTTGCGTACCGTACGCAGCTCATCCGAAGAGTAGCCCGGAACACGGATGTTGTAGGTCCGCTCTAGTACGAGCTGGATATCACGTATCTCAAGCACTTTGGAGCCGCGTTCCTTGGAGTTTCTGCATGCCGAGTGCAGGACATTATCCACAAACGAATCGGCTAGGTTCAGAACGCTCTATCGCGACGGTTAGTCAGGTCCACAGCGCATTTACTTCATTGAAAGAATGGGTCCTCACCTCTTCTACTTCTGGGGTCAAGAGGTTGCCATCTTGGCCCTCTGCAGATCCTCCGCAAACTTGGCGTACAAGTTCATCCAGTTTTTTCTTACTAAGAACGTGGTCACCCTCGGCGTCGTGGTTGTATGCGGGTACTCTGGGAACTGCTGGTTGATTCATGACACCTCCCACCGTTCCTCCGCCTTGGGACATGGTTGGCCGTCCGGGAACGACGCCGCCGCCAATGGCCACTCCCTGAGGCACTGCAGTAGCCTTTTCTGGTAGCTGCTTGGGGATCGGCATTCTCGGCTGCACGGTAGGCTGCTGCTGCGTAGGGTGGGCGTGGGGATGGCCCTGCTGCAGTTGAGCTCCCGATACTCCCATATTTGGGTTGGTGGTGGTAGCCGTAACGGCAGCTGTGTTGACGTTCGCAGCCTGGTTAGGCAGCGGTGCGCTTCCAGGAGTGCTTCCAGCCGCTCTCTGGTTAGCGAGAGACATTGCTGCTGAGTGGCTGAGAGCTCGTGTTGGCTGTCCCGGGCCAGTGACGGGTGTTGCAGTTTGTGGGGTTGGTACTCGCGCTGCTGCTTGAGCAGGAGATGCAGTCTGTTGAGCAACCTGGGCCTGTGCAGCAGCCGAAGCGAGGGCGGTGTTGACTGGTGCGGGCCGCGGAGGTTCCGTCTTGACTTGCACCTGTGGCTGAGGTTGTCCTTGGGGCTGCCCTTGGGGTTGCACCTGTTGTTGCATCTGTGCCTGCTGCTGCTGTTGCTGCTGCTGTTGTTGTTGCTGCATCTGCATCTGCATCTGCTGCTGTGGTTGCTGTGGTTGCTGTGGTGCCTGCATCTGTTGTTGCATCTGCGGTTGCATCTGCGGTTGGCCTTGCATCTGCTGCTGCCCTGTGACGGCCGCGTTCGGAACGGGCCGTGCTTGCGGTGTAGGTGTAGGTGTAGAGGCAACGCCATTTGGACCTGGGACTCGATTGGCACCAGCCATCTGCTGCTGGTTTTTAGCTGCCTCTGCAGCGGCATTGCTGGCCATTTGTGCGGCGTTCTGGGGCTTGTTCACAGCTGCCGCCGCCGGAGAGGCAGCTGGCATGACTGGAGTAGCGTTGCCGGGCTGGGTTGCAGCATGAGCGGCACCGGCGGCACCAGCAGTCGCCTGATTGGCATGAGCCTGTGCTTGTTGAAGGGTTCCCTGCTGCTTTCGAACGCCTTCCACCCATTTGTGAGCTTCGGCATAGAGTTTCAGTTGTTGGTCTTTTCTCAACTGAATTTGGCGTTGCTCCTCCTCCTTGAGAGGGTTTCCCTGAGCTGCCCGGTCGGTTATCAGCTTCTCCCAGCTAGCTACCTTATTCTTGGTAGTTTCCATGGTCATGAGGGCCCGAGCATATCGTTCCTTCATTTCCTCGATCCACTTGGCAGCATCGACAGACTTGTCTGCAAGCTGCACCGGAGGCCGAAATGTCATCTTATTAACGTGTTGCATAAAGGCTTCGGGTATCTTGGGACGTTGTGCCGCCGCCGCCGCTGTGGCAGCGGCCGTTGCTGTGGCTGGTGCTTGGGCATTCTGTGCCTGACCAACCGCGCCAGTAGCCGTAGCTTCGTTGTTTCCTGCACCTGGCGGCTTTTGTTGCTGTGCTTGTGACTGAGCCTGTTGAGCCTGTTGTTGAGCCTGTTGTTGAGCCTGCTGCTGAGCCTGGGCCTGGGCTTGTGCTTGTGCTTGAGCCTGAGCCTGCTGTTGAGCCTGCTGTTGAGCCTGCTGTTGAGCCTGTTGCTGGGCCTGTTGCTGGGCCTGAGCCTGAGCCTGAGCCTGGGCTTGTGCCTGGGCTTGGGCTTGGGCTTGGGCTTGGGCTTGCAGAGCGGCATTCGGGGCTGATTGCGCCTGCGCCTGTGATTGTGCTACTGAGGGCCGGGCTTGAGGTTGCTGCTGTTGCTGTTGCTGCTGCTGCTGGGCAGCATGAGTCCTTCGCTGTTGAATCTTTGTAATCAACATCCTAGAGAACTCTATAATCTTCTGTCGAGCAGCAATTTGGTCCGAGCTGTTGTTTGGAGATCCATTCATCTTAGTCCAGAGGCCCCGCAATCCTTGCTCGTACTTGGTCTTCTCGTCATCGCTTAGATATGGGAGATTCTTGATCTGGCCGGGTTGGTACATTGGAGGCCGGTTTTGAGCAGCAGGAGCCTGTACGCCCTGAGGCTGGGGCTGGCCTTGCTGGGCCATTTGGCCCGGGGCGGTATTCATTGTCGTTCGCCGATCGGGTGCGCGCTAATACTCGGTGATGGGCTAGGCCTGGCAGCTGCAAAGCACAACACGACAAGTGGTACCGATGGAATAGATTGAAACGCAATGGCACTGCAATCAAATGAGATGAGGAAGCACCGGGTGGAAGACGCGTTGTGAAGTTGAAGGTTCGCTGAGAAGGCTATCACAGTTGCCTCGCGATGCGCCACCACAGCCAATCAAGTTCGCCCCAGCAACGGGTCATCGTTTGCATCGGGACGGAGCCGGGGCTTAACCGGTGCGCGAGACAATGTCATTATATAAGCGAATATAACTCTCTGCGGACGCCGCAATATACAGACTTTGGCGCACCGAATATTGAATGAACGAATTTATTTGCTGAGTATAAATAATGTAAATCTCAGCTTGAACAGCTATATTCAATGCGCAGTTTTCTCCCCAATGGCCTTTACCTGCGATTGTGTCTATTTTCAGCATTTAGTGCGTTTTACCGTATCAGATCAAAGCTCTGAAACTCGCATTTCGCCATGTATTTGAACTTGTCCTCAGAAGAATACTGAATGATTCTTTGTCTGCCGACTTGACAAAATTACATCCATTGAGCTTTTTGGTGCCACTCCCGATGACGAAGGGGAAGAGTAGCATGATGAATTAGCGCATATCATTCCGTGGAGAAGTCTCCTGAGAGCTGCATACATAAGGCACCAGACTGGAGATGTTTTCCGCGGCAGCTCCTCCTGCTTCCGTCGGCCCTCAGCTTGCTGACTTGTCTACTATGCCTGATTCAAGCAATAGTAGTTGACGCGAGGTGGACGAAACCCCATATCAACTCCACAGACATACTGCAGCATTGGATGCCGACTAGGTACTAGTCGTGGTGGCAGCTTACGAGGGGCGCTTGTTCGTAAAGCAAAGCAGAGATCAGCACCTATTGGGCATCTATGTTACGTGGTATGCCTCATATTAGGAGGCCTGTCGTGGCCAGTGCGTCTAAGTCTATATTCAAGCCTCTTCTCATGCAAACAAACTCTCCTAACTCCTGAAGAACGAGGGCCGGTCGGTGGCTTGCCAAACTCCCCTGAGTAAGCTGTGTTGTCGAGTCAAAGCGCATCTTGTCCGTCGTAGTACATGCACTGTCCACTAACACAGGCCAATGCCCCGAACAACGAATTGATGATGTTTGCAATTACTAGGTGCTCGCCATGGCCATCCAATCAAGCAGCCCTAGCTTTGGAGACCAAGCTGCTCCTATACCTGTCCAGGCACATACGATGCCCCGTTTATTTCGGAAGCATGAGGTGGCTGCATTGTTGCAGCTGGGGACAGTCGAAGCGCACCAGCCTCAGCACCAGATAACCAGACGTAATCTCATGTTGACCCAAAGGAGAGAGAACGAGACAGACATGGGGCCAAAAGAAGAGAAGGGGAAGAAAAAATCGCATCTTTTCCTGGCGGTTTCCACCGAAAGATGGAATGTTCTCTTCCGATGGAAGCAGGTTTGGGGAGCAGTCCAAGTGGGCAATAAGGCCACCACAGGCAATTCGTCGAAGCATTGCTGCCCAATGCGAGTGACGATCCCCTGTCGCGGTGGATCATGGTCAAGGTACGAAGCACGAGGACTCGGACATCCAGATGGAGCTGTCAGAACCGCCAGGATGCCGCGCCCTTGCATCCGACAGGAGGAGGGAGCGATTTGATGGCATTTTGTCGATGCGCCAAAACAAGGAGAAGGCCAAATCCAATCAATCATAAGATTCGCTGGCGGCCGCAGTTCTCAGCGCTGGCGTCGTGCCACACCATCCGCCTCGGAAGCTAGAGCAGCCACCGCACCAATCTGACCCAAATCCCACACGGGTTTCGTTTCGCAGTGCGTTATGCAGAATGCAAATTAATCTACATGAGCATTCTGGAATTGCCAGAGAAGACGCCGTCTCTGCGATAAGCTGGGGGGCACGTGCGAGCGAGGCGTTGTCGTACACCGGATTATGCCAGATGGGTAGATAGAGTACCTCATGTAGATACACCACAGTCTACACCAGATTGCTACGACAATGGGACTTGAAATCGGGCGTCATGCTTTAGCTGTATGGATGCCATGCATGGACCACCGTTGCAGGATCCCGCACCTCTCCAGATGCTGAAACAAGGTTCAGCAGCCCGTTGACCCGACGCTTCGGCTGATGCACATGGAGTTCCATGTCCTGCGTTTTAAAAGGGCCTCGCCCATCCATTGATTTCCGTCCGCAGCGCCTCGGCCAGCCATTCACGGCCCGTCATTCGCCTGTCGCCTGCAGCTCTCGCAAAAAAGTTGGTCTGCAGCATCCAGGCAGCAGATCGCAGATCCGCCCAGGGCTGAATTTGGCCCTTTTGTTTTGGTTCTTTACATCACACCTTCTTCCTTTGTATATCCTCTTCTGTGCGCCTGGTGCCTCTCACACTCTCCTCTCTTCCTCTCCTCTCCTCTCCTCTCTCCTCTCCTCCCCCTTGAATCGCTCTCATCTCCTGCCTACACCTCCCTTTTTCCTCTCCCTCGTTTTAGCCTCCAACAAGCTACTGTACGAGTATAAGCCGTGTGGGTGCCATCAGGTGTCACCAACACGCCGACCAGCCCCAGGCCCTCCAGAAACATTATCATGCTCCCGAACACAGTCCGAGTCACTACTTCTCCGTGCTGGAGGTTCCTACTCTGGATCCTGACCCCTTGACGCATTTCGCCCTCTTCGCATCGACATCTACTGGCTATTATCTCTCTCGCTTTTTGCCTGTGTCTGTTTGTCGCCTCTCTCCACCAGATCCCCCCTCACAAATCGCCACGGGCCCCAGACTGCGCAATTACAAGGACAATCAATGTACGTGCCATGATTCCTGCTGTCTCTCCCCTGCCTCAATGCTGATGGTTGCAACCCCCGCGCAGCAACCTCTTGTTTTTTCCCTTTTTTTTTCTCATTCCAAGCGAAAACACCCCACGCAATTTCAAGACCCACGGCCAATTGATAGCAATTTCTCGCGACCCTGATCCGAGACACGAGGGTCATCGACGACCGACACAACGGACCACCCCGTGGCCAGATAAAAAGAAAGACAGACCCCCAGCGACTCATTCAGTCATACGTTTCACACGGATTGAAATTGCTCACCTACACCTTTCTGTTGCTTTAATTCCCTCGCCCTCATTGCGACCAGCCATGGCCCGACACAACAGAAGTTCCCAGAGGCGGTCATCAACGCCGAATTTAAAGCTCTCGCCAGCTCATGTGTCGGCGCTGCAGACCGCCGACCCAGCTTCACCGCCCGACACTCCCATCACCTCACCACACTTCCCTCGCAAGAATGCCCAGGCGGCATTTTATCTATTCACGAACCCCCTGGCCCAAGACCCGAACATCAGGCCATATGGAACTGGCCATCAGTTCAGCTATCGCCCGCTAGAGCAATTGAGTCCCCGATCGTCGTCGTCGTCAGAAGCTGATGAGGAGGACGCGAGCGATGATGAATCCTCCGACAGCGCTAGCGTTGTCAGCCTGCCAAACTCCTCGCGACGGTCGCGACATATCTCGACGGGAAAAAATGATTTTGATGAATTAGACGCATGTGCAGATGCGGATGCAGAGCCAGATCTGGACTCAGCCAGCTCCGAATCTGAATCTGAATCTGAATCTGAAGCGGAGCCAGACAAGCCTAAGCGAACAGGATCCGCGCACGGTCCCGCGACAAGCACCCATGACAGCTGTGGCTTTACGATTGAGGATGTCGATCCCATGGACAGCGAGTGCGATGGTCTGGATGTCCTCTATCCCATTGAAATCGAGTCCGACATCGAGTCTACTAGCAGTAGATCCACGTCTCGGCATAGGGATTTGGACAAGGACATGATGCAAGACCTCGAGAACCTCAACTGCAGCAACGAAGCATCCGATGATGAGGCGGAGCCCGAAGAAGAAGATGATGCGGAGTCGGAGTTCATGAGGAGGCAGCAGGAGCTGAAACGCATCCGGAGAGTGAGCATGTCGAGCAGCTTCGGCAAGAGGACGCACAGCGAGCTAAGTGACTCGGATGACAACGACTGTGCTCTCGATGTCAACGAAGCTGGTTCCAGTGCTCGTCGCTTTCACAAAAGAGTCCACCGCGGAAGCTTGCTCTTCCAGGATCCTCCCGCACCTCGAATTGACGAGCTGGAAGAACCCAACTCAGATGAGGATGAATACGTCAAGGAGATTCGTATCGTACGAGGTTTACCATACTCTTCAGCTGAGGTAATGGATACCGACTCGAACTAAAGAGAAGGGCAGAAGGAGAAGCAACAAGAAACAAAAAAAAATTAATTCTCATCCAACCAAAAAAAAATCGCAGCTTGGGCTGTTAAGGGGGATATGTTACAAAGCAGTTACGCGATGACGAACGATGTTACGATAAAATTAGAGGAGGCCATCGAAGCCTCAAAGCGAAGATACTACCGGACACTGACATTGATATATACTTATACGGCGCAACTATCTTGCAATCTGAACCATTGGATATCTTTTACCTGGGTTGGAGATGCGACAAAAAGACATGTATCCAGCCGAGGTGAACCCATTGCAATAAGACCCCTTTTGCATCGTCTTTGGTTTATATTTCAGCAAAGACCGGAACGGGGTTTCTTCCTTCGATACCTTTTAGATCATTGAGCCTGCATGAGTCGTTTTGTTTTCATTTTTAGACGAGCGAATATGTGGCGGTAGAGTGTTTTGATATTTTGCAGTTGATACTTGCAGACATTTGTAGAAGAAATCTCAGAGTTGATAGACAATAGAAGGACATTCCTGCCGTAAGCTGTTGTTTCAATGCTTTATATCACCTCGTCAATCATGAATCCATGGATGTTTAGCTTGAGTGGAACACAGTAGATGAGCCCCGCTGTGGACCGCCGTTGAAGCTCAAAAGCCACCTCAGATCTTGGTGGGGTGGCGCCGGCATGTGCTAAACATCAAATACTAACATCAACCTCGTGCCATCAAAACATTACCCGACTCAACGGTCTCCATAGCTATATCCTGCGCTCTGCGGACTCTCAATTTCCTGCATCACTTGGTTTCCACTACAACTCTTCGGAGCAAAGACGAATACACCATTTGATTGCTCCAATTCCTCTAGACGCGTGCCGAGATCTCACATCAACTCATGGACTCGTCATTGCTATCAGCTCACCTCGAGCAAATACAAAGCTCCTGTCAGGGAATTGACTCCCTTCCGTAAGACACAGTGTCGCACCCAAAGACGATAAGAGCTTCAAGTTGACAGCCCGGCAGTTTCCCACCTCCGAAAATCTTCACCAACGCCCTACTATCAAATCACGACATCACAGCCTTGATTCGAGATACCGAGGCCCACGAACGCGCTCTGTTTTCCGTCCCCCCACCGCCCCCTGCCACAGCCGCCGCGACCAAACCCTCAAAATCCGCCGAGAGCGAAATCAAGCCCAAGAACCGCCGACAAACAGTCTTCAATGTCGCTTCGGGAGAGGTAACGACGGGCCCTACAACCCGCGGCGCGCCACATCGACGTACCGCGGTGGCTGCCGTGCTGGGCGGCGAGATGCATGACCAGCTGCGGCGTGGGGAAACAAATCGAAAAGGGGATCTAGATGTCGAGGTATTGCTCCGCGGTGCCGAAAAGCTGTGCGGCGTGTACGAGCTGCCGGGAGCGCGCGAGCGGATCACGGCGTTGCGGGCGAGGCATCGGAATGGGAAAAACACAATGGCTTATTACGAGGCCAAGGTGGCGGAACAGGCTGAGCAGCTGGCAAGCATGAACAAGGACTGGATGGATCAGGGTGAGGACAAGGGGAAAGGACAGGATGAGCCGCAGGACGTGGGCGGGGATGAGTGGACGGAGGATGATTTGAGGAGGGAAGAGGAAGAGACGAGGCAAATGGAGGCAAAGAAGAGGGAGCTGCAAGCCAGACTGAAGTCTATGGAGAAGGATCTCGGAGCTCTGAGAAACATGTACTCGTAGGAGGCGTGATGAGTACTAGTAGACGCATTAGCAGGCAGTGAGAAATAATGATACCCCCTTGTATGAGCATGATATTGAAATAGTCTTCACAAAGCTATAGATATCCCCTCTCTATCCCTGCCTATATATGTGTGTGCTCACCAGCAAAACAGAAATAACCAAAGTCATTACCCTTGAATCTCCGTCTTCTCCTTAGCCTCTTTCGTCTTATACAGCTGCTCAAAAATGGCCGTCACATCATCAGCCCCCTCCACCACAAACTCATCATCAATAAAGATCTTGGGCACGCCCTTCATCCCCAACCTCTCCATCTCCTCCACCTCCCGATCAACCTCCTCCCCACCGCTCCCATCCTCGAGCCACCTCCGCGCCACATCCCGCTCAATGCCCGCCCTCTCCGCCGCGCCGCTCAAGTCGTCAAAGCTCGTAATGTCGCCGCCCTGCTCAAAGAACATCTTCATCATCTCCGTCTGCACTTTATCCTCCAGCTCCCACCCGCCCAGCTCGCGGCCTAGGTGCGACAGCCGGTGCGAGTCGCGCGTGTTGCCGATGCGGCCCGCGAAGGTGAAGCCGAAGCCCTCTTGGTCGCCGAGCTGCGCCATCCGCGCGCGCTTGGCGACTAGGCGGTCGGCGCCGAAGCGCTGCACGGCGATGTCCTGCACTGAGGTCGATTGGCCCTGCGGGATGGACTTGTCGAGCTGGAAGGCGTGCCAGCGGATGGTGAAGGTGGAGGATGAGGCGTTGGGCACGGTCTTCTTGAAGAGAGTGATGGCGCGGTCGATGCGGGCGCGCGCTAGGTAGCAGAAGGGGCAGACGGTGTCGGAAATGATTTTGATGTCGTAGTTTGCCATTGTGTTCTTTCTTTTGGTTGGGTATGTCTTTTGTTGTACTTGTAATCAAATTGGGGGAGATGGTGTTGAGAATTGACTCTTGTCTTGGTATATAGGGAGGTGCTGGCTGCTCTCAAACTGAACTCGTCGATACAAATCTTCGCCCTTATATAACATTTTATGCATCCTATTCTACAAGGGATAAAAAAAGCCTAAACGAGGCTGTGTTTTGCTTTTATTCTCGATTGCGCGTTCGACTCCTTCATGGCGGCGGAAGTCCCTTGATGTCGGCGGAAGTCCGCCGTAGGCAGCGACCAAACAGCAAAAATCCTGAGCGAGAAATAGGGGCGTATTCTACACAGCTCGTCCATTAGTTGCGGAGTGGCACGGCTGGCATTATAAATAAATCATATGTATAGGTACAATATTAAAACTAAGATAGTTTCATAGTGAGGCTGCCTAAATAACTCCGTGTAGAATCATCGCCGTCTAGTGGTTCTGGGGTATCATTTCCTTCTATCCGTTGTGTCCAAAGCATCGTCTTCAAATATGTCATAAGAGCCTCCGCTACCGGCACTTGGCCCTTGTCATATACTGTCGGCATCAAGCGCTCCTCTCCCTTCTTTGCCTCTCCGGCCTATAAGGCTCATGCCGCCGTTTCCGTCTATCTTCTCGGTAAGGCTGAGCGGGCCCGGGCCGGTAGTAATCTCCTCTGGGCCGGTCCAGGCCGCGCTGTGTCAGGGATGCACGCTCACACCGCCCGTGTCCCGGCTCAGGGGCCGAAGAAGAAGCAGATGACGAATCCCTAGGTACAACTGGGTCATACTGTACTGCTCGATCCCAGTCTTCTAGCCTTGTAAATGGGCTCCTAAGCCATGACCGAAGCTCGTGTAAAAACAGCCGTGCGTTGTCTCGGCCAAGAAACTCTGACAGCATGTCCTCTGCCTGGCCGGCACTGCCCATAATATCCACAGTCTTCAAGATTGCAATCAAGTACTCCAGCAAGAACTCGGCGTTGTTTGCTCTTCGCCGCGCCTGGGCTTGATTTCCATCTCCTGGTCGAGCCGTAGACGAGGAAGAGCCAGGTTCATCAGCATTGAGAAACGAGAATACTCGCAGTTCGCGGCGAATCCACATTCGTGCACGGGAAACAAGAGCTTCGTCGGTGCAGAACAGTCTCGGTGTCAGTTCTCGGTAAAGAGAAAGTCGGTTTGAACCGACATGCTTTGAGAATCTCTTGTGTAGATAAACATCGCGCCGGTGTGCTTGGATTCTTTCAGCATCCAGATCATCGGCCGTAATCCTGGGAATCCTCGCTGTCCTCCTTCGAGGACGAAGAAATGACGATCGGTGAGAGTATGTCCGTGTTGAAGATGGTTGTTCAGGTCGCTGTGGCTTGGGCTCAATGACGGTCGTTTCGCGACTTTCAGGGGGTCCTCGGTGCACCTTGGTAACTTCTCTCTTACACAAAGGGCACAGAGGTTTATCATAGAGCCAGTTCAATACGCAAACATAGTCAAAACTGTCGTGTCCACAGGGAACCAGTTCGCAAGCATCGCTAACAGCGTCTAAGCAGATGACGCAGCAGTTGCCATCGCCCAGCTGCTCTCTTGCAGCCACTTCCTGCAAGGTGTTCTGGAGGACTTTGCGCTGTAGTTCATCATTCTCATCAGCCGGTCCGCTTTCCATGGAGGCAGCGCGACGATATTGAGGCTGTCTGGAAAATGCTGCCAAAGAGCGTGGCGAGGATGCAAAAAAGACAAGATGCGAGACATCGATGATGTTGCGGAATCGCTGGATTTCGATTGGCGGGGCGCAGTAGCCCAGCTAGCACAGGGCGTTTAAGCGCCACAGGTGTCGTGATTGGCGCTTCCACAGGGGGGGGCTTTCAGTGGAGTCAGCCTGTAGTGTTTAAGTGCTTCTGCAAGACGCGCTTTTGTGCTAAATTGATGACAAGCAGCGCGCTGCCATTCGCGACTTGCAGTTCCCCACATGACGCTTTTCAACAAAGGAGCTTTCCAGTCTCTCCAACTGCTTCCCTGTCTGCCTCCCTCTTTCGTTCGGTCATTGACAATTTGTTTTCTTTTGGGGCAAAAGATATGTCACTTGTGTTACTATAATCCATCACCTCCCACTCCAGTTGGTGTATACGTTCTCTTGAATTTCCACTACCGAGACTACCATGGACGAGAACCTAAAGAAAGAGTACGAAGCTAGAGCTCAGAAAGTGCGAGCAGACCTGAAGCAATGGGAGGCAGACTGGGCAAAGTCACATGGCGGGAAGAAGCCGGGGAGAGAGGACATCAAGAATACTCCCATCATAGGTGCGTTTACAGCTCGACAATCCTTCAATATGAATTGAGGTCGCTAATCCTGCAAAAGCCCAGAAATACAAAGACTATAATAAGCTCCGCGATATAATAGCTGGGAAATTAGTCCCTCCTCCAGACACCTCTATATCCAAGCAGAAACACGAGAAGCGTATATCGGACGGCGCACCAGTTGGAACTCCTATGAAGCGAGCAAAGCATGCCGAGACCCCTTCGAAGCGATTGGCTCCAAACGGCGAGGAATATATGAACAGTCCGGCCATCTCTAGAAAGCTATTTAGCCCAGCGCCAGTAACGTCCATTGGACCGACACCTCAACGGGATGGGAAAGTACTTGGTTTATTTGATTTACTGGTGGAAAGGGAGTTCAAAAGCCCAATGAAGGGGGCGAGCAACACAACCAGTTCCCTGGCAACCCCCAGTAAGCACAGAAGCAGCTTATATGAGGATGCTGCAGCCAACCTTGGCCGTACTCCAACCTCCACGAGCAAACGAAGACTGTTTTCAACACCAATGAAGAAGAGAGATGGGCAAAATACGGTCGGAACGCCTTCGTCCGTATCGAAACTGCAATTCGACACTCCTGCGTTTCTAAAGAGACATTCACTCCCGACACTAGACGAAAACACAACGTTTGATGCCCCACCTCTAAGGCTACCGCGGAAGTCTTTGGTTCGTGGTTTGAGCGAAATAGTAGCCAGCCTTCGGAAAGTCGAAGAAGATGTGCTGGACGATGATCTCGAGGCGCTACGTGAGGCTGAGGCCGACGCTGAAGCAGAATCCAGAGGTCCAATTCAGCTTCATGTTAAGCCGCAAAAGCAAGAACCAAAGCAAGACATACTGGAACCGGATAGCCAAGCTAAACAGCTGCCATTGGGTGGATTTGATGATGAAGGAATGTACGACAGCCCTACAGAAGACGCTATAGACCGGGACGGGCGACCTTTGAAGGTATTCAAGAAGAAGGGCCAGAAGCGAACAACACGACGAGTCAACATGAGGCCAGTTCGAACCAAACGGCCGACGAACGTGGCAGAGGGCAATGAAAGCGGTGCGGAGGGGGACGAAGACGATACCGTTGCAGAAACACAGACTCAGACGGGCAGGTCAGATATCGCAGGCGAATCTGACGGCGAGTTTATAGACGGAGACGAAGACGATACCCCACACACAAAGGCTAAAAAGCCCGCCAAGGAGGAAGGAGTGGTAAAGAAGACGACCCGCAAGGTGAACCAGCTGGCACATGCAAACTTTCACAGGCTGAAGCTGCGTAACCATGGTGCCAAGGGCGGTCCAGGCTATAACAGCCGATTCAGAAGAAGGAGATGAAGCTGCAGGGAGAATGGGTGAGCAATATTTGGGATCAAACGGAAGAGTAAGATATATTATGACATGGGTTGTGGCTGGAAATGCATACCGGGCGTTCTTCAGGATGGAATCAGTAAATACGCTTGGGAGATGTTGGAATCAAGAGCGATATGTTTGTGTTTAGACGACCTATGTTGGCCTTTAGTAATCCTATTAGATAACGGATGAAGTCAAATCCTGACAATCAAGGCTAGCCTTCGCCAATCGAGTGTGAAGTTGTTGTCTTCTACTTCTTATTATAACAATCGGACGCCGAGTCACTGGAGTGCTAAGTAGCTCCTCTCCCTGTAATAATCTAGATAATCTGTCTATCCATCATTCAGCTTATTGTGATGTTGCGAACAAAAGCCCAGATATCAATGTCTTTCCAGAATGGGTACTTAGAATGAATATACTTAAAGGTTCGGCTCTTTTCATTTAATTCTTTCTTTTGTTCTATATTGAGTTTCTTTATTCTTCTTTAGTCTCCCTCATTCTTTTTTCTTCGTACTCTTTTTTCCTTTTCTTGCAAACAAAGCCCACCACCCAAAGCGCTTAGGTCCCAAACTAGGCTATAATGCAACAAAGGCACTCTCTTCCTTTTCACACAAACACAATACTGCACCTCTTTGTTCTTAAGCGCTCCTTCGTTTTCTTTTGTGCTTTCTTTATTATCAGCTTCTTTTGATACAAGACTTTCTTCACAGCCGCTTTTCTTTTTTCTGCTTCGCTTACTCATGTTGCATTCTAAGCTGTGATAGCATCCTTTTCTTTCTTCCTAGTTTTGTACGGGTTCTTGTTCTTTGCCAGAGATCTCTGTATTTCTATCTTCTCTTCTCCCCTCTTTTTTGAATATGGTTCTCCTTGATCTGTCATCTCGCTAGAGCAGTTGGTAACCAGGCCGACCTGTTATTTCGACTCGCCTCTTGTCGCCTGCCACTCAACGCAGCTGGCTGGCACTGCTGCCAACAGCTGGCAAAATTCTGCTGTGCTACGAGCTCAATATAAATTCTTCTTCTATGCCCTTCTTCTCTGCTCAAACAAAATTACCCAGTCATCCTTTGTTTGTTTACATTTTTGCCCGCGCTCATTGTTGGTGGGATTTTTGATACAACTTTAGGAGTGCGATTCACGTTTTCTTCGTTTGCTTTCCGGGTTATTCGTTGGAGTTACTTGACGACATTTGGAGTTTTGTTTGATTTCATTGGGTCATCATCGCGTCTAGACCTTAATCGATTTACCTATTTGCTAATTGTCAACAAATTTTGCTGTCTTGAGTTGCTTTTGCTACGAAACAGGATGGAGGGCGACGTATCCTCTCAAGATCCTCGGGAATTCTTTGCTCTTACGACCACCAGCACAACAACAATCCGTTCATGGCGTGCTACCGTTATGAATCTCAACGAAACCGGGCGTCCATCAACACCATCTCCTAGCTCCAAGTCAGTACAGCATACAGAGTCAACGGAAGGATCTCTCGATCAACCCACGTCTAAATTCGCATCGCCAGCATCGTTACCTTCCACCATCAAAGATTCTGAGACAACCAATTCATTGTCGAACAGCCCCTGCAGTAGTATTCGCTCAGCGTTAATTAAGTCCTTCTCTTCAACCACTCCCTTGAGTGTTGATGTACCAGAATGCGTCTTAGTTGTACCAAAATCTTGCTATGAAGACTTTCCGCCTCCTGAAGACATGCCCATTTTGTCAGAGCGGAAGGCCATTCAAGCTCTGTCTCTAATCACGGCGGAACGCGGTCAAAGTTTCTCTGAGATACAGTTGGACGAGTTTGCGATATACATCGATAGGGACAAATTCCCAGAAGAGATGCGATCTTTGCATCAACTACATACCAAAATAGGACACAGCAGTTTCTATTTTGACGGCATTATCAGCATTGGCCATACCAAATTTTATGTGCGCCGTGTCCCTGTAGCTGCTGTTCCCATTGGCAACTACAACTCAATTTCAAAACATACCGTGCGAGACAATATCTGGCTTCAATCACCTTTGAGTCATAAAATGTCGCTATTTTACAAACTGGGGAAGCCAGCCAAGGAGTATGCAAGATTCTTCTACCCCTTTCTATGGGTAGCCGATTTGGCAAAGCATTTTGTAGACTTTCTCTGCATAATGGAGGAAAACAAACGCAGCGTCTCCATTCATCATTTTCGATCGACCTTTGCCGCATGGTTGAAGGAGAGCCACGGGAGATCGCCAGATTTTACTGAGTGGCTTAATCAATACCCGAGCGATGACTACCGAACTTCAATAGCCGCCAACATAGGATTCCTCCACAAAGAGACTTTGGGCGTGTTAGATCATCACAAGGCTTACTCTCATGCCATTTGGGCCGAGATTTGGGAATTTCAGGCGTTCAAGAGGAGTCCTCCGAAGATCGAGATTGCGAATCCCCCAACTATTGTCACGCAATATATTTACGACTGTTTCAAGCACCTTGCATTTGGAGATCGCCTTCAAGTTGTTCCTTTAAGCTTAAAGACCAAGACGCTCCGAAATGGCTTAATTCGACAAAGGCATTTGGAGTTTCCGTCAAAACTTCACCAGTCGACCAAACCACTCTCTACAGCTGCAAAGGCCCGCATTGCGAATATTCGGCCAGGCGATACAATATCAACTCATCGCGATGACGCTGCATCCGGCACATTGTGGAAACGAGAGCTATCTGAAGGTTTCGCTGATGTAGACCGATGGTTTGCACTAGTACAATCTGTTCATGTAAACAAGAAAGGGATGCGAACGTTTGATGTGATTTGGTACTACCAACCCGTGGACACTCTTTGTGGTCTGATGAAGTACCCGTGGAAAAATGAGCTCTTTCTCTCGGATCACTGTTCTTGCGCCGAGACGTCAAAGATTGACGAAAGCGAAGTACTCGGCGTTCATGATGTGGATTTCTGGGGTACATCTACCACAACTGCGGAACTCTTCTGTCGACAAACATATCTCCAAGAAAGCAGAAGGTGGGTGACTCTAGACGAAACTCATCTTCAATGCTGTCATACCTCGCCGTTCCCGTTGGAAAGCCATTCGTTGAAGGTTAAATCGGGAAATACATATCTGCTTCATTTGGACTTGGAGAGTTCCTTTTCGGAACCTTGTGAGTTCATAAGCTCTGTTGGAGCAGGTGGACGCAGAGTTTATCAATTCAGGAGACTGTTGCGCCGGCATCAAGTTGACCCAAATGCTCGGGATGCTCGGCCAAACGAGCTTATATACAGCGAGCAAACTTGCAAGGTCAGCAGAGATCAAATCCTGGGCCCATGTTCTGTAAGGTTCTTTCGAGATGGCGATAAGATTCCTACGCCGTATGACCATGACGGCACGGGAAATCTCTTTTATATCACGCACCATCAAATCACCGCTGACGGAGTCTGCATACCGCTAAAGGAATCTCCAATTTCCCTACATCAAGGCTTTGATCCACTCCAAGAGTTGCAAAAGCTTCGTGGACTCGATCTGTTCTGTGGAGGGGGCAATTTTGGCAGAGGCCTTGAAGACGGCGGAGGTATCGAGATGAAATGGGCAAACGATTATGACGCCAAAGCCATACATACGTACATGGCCAATGTCAAGAAGCCTGAGAACGTTCACCCTTTCCTCGGCTCAATTGATGACTTACAGCTCTCTGCTATCCAGGGCCAGTTTGCAGATAATGTGCCTCGTATTGGAGACGTTGACTTTGTGTCGGGCGGCAGCCCCTGTCCTGGCTTCTCTCGTTTAACCAACGACAAGACTACGGCAGCACAGCGGAAGAATCAGTCTCTTGTTGCGGCCTTTGCATCATTTGTGGATCTTTATCGGCCAAAATACGGCGTCCTGGAGAATGTACTGGGGATGATACACAAGAAGGAGAGCCGAGATCAAGATGTCTTCAGCCAGCTCATTTGCTCCTTAGTTGGCCTGGGCTACCAGACGCAGTTTTTCTTTTTGGATGCATCATCCTGCGGGTCTCCGCAACCCAGACCTCGCATATTTGTTGTCTTTGCCGCTCCAGGGCTTGAACTGCCAAGAAAGCCAGTGCAAACACATTCCCATCCCCCCAAAACTCGGGCGATTGGAATTGGATGGTTGCCCAATGGCCAGCACATGGCAACTCGAGAGATGCCTGCAGCTACTCCATTCAAGTACATCTCAGCAGAAGAAGCGACGGCCGACTTGCCACCCATTCACGATGCCAAGCCTGATATATGTATTTCCTATCCTGATCACCGCTCGACCTCCAGTCTAACGAAGATGATGCGGGCTCGAATCTCGGTCATCCCAGTGCGGCCGTGGGGTATGAGTTTTGCGCAAGCTTGGTACGGGGAGGACAAAGCAAAGGCCGGCTCGGGCACGATGACTGCCGCTGAGCGCGAGCTGTTTTCTGGGACGAGTGATGAGACAGACATATCAAAGCAGCCATTGTCGATGCAGCCCCAGTCAACTGCATACGGAAGAATGTTTCCAAATAGGCTGTTTAACACGGTCACGACCAGACCGACGACGAACGATGCAAAGAACGGGCGACTATTACATTGGCGAGAAAACAGACTTATAAGCGTCATGGAGGCACGCAGAGCGCAGGGTTTCCGCGATGAAGACGTTCTACTCGGCGATCCATTGGTGCAGTATAGAATCGTCGGCAACAGTGTTGCAAGGCAAGTTGCCGTTGCGCTTGGTGTAAAGTTTCGCGAAGCGTGGGTGACGAGTCTGAAGAGGAACAGGGAACTTGAGCGTGCAAGCAGCCGAGGTGCTGAAGTTGATGACTTTACAGAGGATCGGGTCACTTTCGAGACTATTGCGATAAATGATAGAAAGGGCACATCGGCAAAACAGTTCAAGGCCTTGACGATTAGAACACAGAGCACTAGGGGCTTGACATCGTCGATAAGTAGAGATGAGATGCGAGCAAGCGGCAGAAGGGTATCTACACAGGTCCAAGAGACGCCTGCGAGGAATAAACGTTCACGTTCGACTAGCTTAGTTGTGGAGATACCCCAGTTTTCGAAAAGAAGAAAGCTGAATACGATCTGAATATTATGTGCTGGTTATTTTCTATGTAGCTTGGCGTTGGAGAATTCTGCGGTAGAGAGTTGATGAATTAATTTAGGGATATACTTTCAGGTAGCTGCTGAGGGTAACATGTACACGTCTGTATCGCACAATACGAATAATTAAGCAAAGACTCACATCTCTCCAATTATGAACGACGGAATATTCTGAACCATATGTGCTATAGCCATCACAAGCATGTTGTTGCAGGGTAATTACGAGCCGATTCAAAACACCAAACATTGATTGTACTATACAGTACAGTATGAACCTCTCGGCATCCTTTATCCTTGAGAGTATTGCCTAAATAGAATCCTTGTCCCACAAAAAACGACCTGTCAACTTGACAAACTGGATGAGATCTACGGGAATACCTCGACACGATGTGCATCGGGAAATGCTCATTTACGAGGTTGTCATTTAGCCTTGTCTGGGTTACTAAGCGCTTGGAGAGGGAGCAAGCATCAGACAAGGATGTCTGTAATTAAAGTACCGCGTGAGTAGCCTTGCCGTATTTCATCAGAGACAAGCTTACTTGTACATACATACAGAACGATACTTGTTCGTGTATGAGTGGTACACGAAGGATGCGGGCTCTCACCGGCATATCATTTTCTTACTCGTGCGTGTACAGAGTCTACGTGGTTGCATTTCTAAGCCAGTCATGTAAGACTGACCGACTCCAAACATCGTCAACATGCCCGCCAAGGGATCCTGATCATTACCGACGACGCCACGAACAACTGCATGCACGGCTCGTCCCCCTGGTAAGCAAGCCATGGGCTATTTTATTTTAAGGCACAGCCAGCCACGACTCCGAGCATCGAACCCGAGAAACCGGCTCTCGGCTCTCAAACGGGCGAAGAAAAAAGGACCGAAACTGAAGCAAGCTCTCGAGGGACGATCGACGAACGACTTGTTTCGGACGATGGCCATCTCCTTCACGGGCTTTCGTCTCATCTGCCAGTGCACTGCATGTTGAGCTAACCTCGGCGCTGCTTTGTCAATTTCCCCATCGGGGATGCTTTCGCGCTGGGATCTGGTGCTAGCTCTGACGTATCGACAGGACACCTGGTCAAACATGCGGCGGGTTGGCGATATTACCGAAGCCGTGTCTCCATATTGGACGGCAAGCAAATAGTTTCTGCTATACGCCTGGCGCGCTACATGTCTTGGCAGCCAGCCGAATAACCAAGGACGGAGGAGCATGAAGCAAAGGATGAGAAGCAAGAACAAAGAGACAGAGACAGATAAGGCAGCGAAACAGCACCTGCGAGTAGGAGCAAAAGCTACGGTGCTTACTTGGGCACTACTAACCCTCGCATGCACACACACATGGTGATTTGCAACACGCATGTCCGCATTGCATGTGCGTCCCGGACTGATGGGTAAGCTAAGCTGAGGTCTCTGCCCCTGCCCCTGCCCCTTGTCCCTTGTCCCTGTCGCTTCAGAGCTCAATCTGCGACCTCTAGCAGGAAAAAGCAATGACGGGGGTGGTCACGCATGCAAAAACTAGAAATGTCAACTCCATGGGGTAATTTGACGCGGGCCTGGGCACGAATCGGCGCCATCCTCGGTGTTGCGAGCGATGTGACTGGACATATTCAGGCTCCGCGCGACATGCCAGTACCAGTACAGCTTCACATGCTTTCTTCTTCTTTTTCTTTCCGTCTTTTTTCTTACTGTATATCGTCTTTTCGTGAATATTACCTAGCACTTATTAGCCGGCCGGTCCCGCAACGAAGAGATCCCGTCTTGTCCCCCCTGTTTGCGCCGGCGAATTGCGGAAAGTCCCTTGAGCCAACTTTTGGGGCGAGTTTCACCGAGGGCGGCACACGGGCTGTAGCTTGAAAGAGGCTGTGATTTTCTGTTACCCCTCACGACAACTTTATATGCCGCGTCGCACGAACGGTGTGTCTGAAGGAAGATGCTACCCAGGAGTGGTAGTTAATATCCTCTGGGCATGATGGTGTGCCCGGAGCAATACGACCTTGTTTGTGTGTGCAAAGTACTTTGAATACGTACTCCGGGCTCGGGATACAGATTTGAAGACTACAAAATGCTACTCTATCCGTGAACAAGTACTGTAATAAGTTGTGTCTAATAGAAAACAGAAATGGAAATCCTTAGTAGCTAAAGTGGGCGCCGGATCCGTGAGGACCCGGTGGCCGAAAGTATTGCAATCCCGCCGCCACGTGGGCGACACGGACCGGCATCGGCCTAGAAAAAAAGACAAAGAACAAGGCTATATCCGTCGGTGCGAGAAGGGGAAAAGGGAAGCCTGGCTCTTTGTGCGATTATTCCATGTTACTACCTGGTTGTACTCGTACAGTAATACTCGTAGATGACTGCCGCTAGTACTGTAGCAAACTCGTACAAGTAAGACGAAAACGAAGATGGCTTCATCGTGCCACCCCGGCCTGGCCCCATGTCAGGAACCCGAGTCGTGGTTGGCAAGCGAGCGCGCAAATCGACGTCGCCAAGTTTCCGAAAGTACCGACAGGGAGCGGAAACTACATGTACCTGACAAACCACAGGGAACCTGGCAGTGCTAATATCACAGCGCCTTGAGATGCAATTTTGTTGCCTGCATGTCAGTCAGGCTTCAAGAGGCCGCTTCTCTATGATGCCATCGGGCTGCAAGTGCATGTATACGAAGTACCCAGGTACGTAGCCGCGACAGGGGAGACAAAGATGGCATTTCGTGTATTCGATATTCTCCATTTGGTAGTCTGCATCGGTACTGCTCAGGCACTCGGAGGTACATGTGCTTGTTTTTGTTTGCTCCCCGGTCCCTCTATTTAGTCGTCTTACTGTATCACTTTAGCCTCGACTTTGGCTGTAGCTTTGCATCATCTGCTGACTTGATAGCTGCACGTACGAGTGGCAGCTTTAGTAGAAAAAGGACTTGGAACGTGGTAGAATCCTTAGTACCTTTGTACCTTATTTTGAGCTGGATATTAGCCGGCTAGATCTGCAGGTACGGGGTTTCTGTTACCGAAGGAGCGCCTGCCAGGCGTGCATGTGAGCTTCAGGCTATTGCATGGTTGACAGAGAGCCGCTACTTTAGAACACATGCACATCACGCGCTGCAGACAAGTACCGGCCAAGACCCTTCTTGTTGTTGCCTGAGGCGGAGAAAGTCGAGGAACACCGCAGAGAGAGTGTCGCAGCTCTTTTTCTCTCCCCATCTCCTCTCCCTCCTTTCTGTTTTCTGGGTTTGACTAGGGCCTGACTGAAGGCAAACACAAACACTTCCCAACGGCTCCTCTGCCTGCTTCTCCAAAAGATTGCCACAAATAACAAGTACAGAACAGACGGCGCACGAGACAGTCTCCAAAAAAAAGACGAAAAGATGGGGGCGATGGAGCCACGCTTTTGAAACCGGCAACGATTCGGGCATGGCCGACACCTCAATGCGTCGGATCGCTCTTCTTACGCCCAGAGAAGCAACGAGCACTTGTTCGTAGCACGAGCACTACTGCTAGCACCATGTGCGGGTACCATACGGAATGAAGTACCGAGTAGGCATTCATTTTACTTCCAAGTTGCTATTGAGAAGCTACAATACTCCGTACGGAAGAAAAGAACTAGCCATGTCACTCTAAAGTATTCTGTCCGCCGAAAGAAAGCTCGATACTATTACTGTCCGATGCCAAGCGTTGGGATGGAATCAAGACTTGGGGAGCCAACTGTGATCCAAAAGGCTTACACATGGGCCAGTAGCAGGGGCCCGATGCCTCCCGATGAGCCTCGAATCTTGTGAGCACTGCTCGACTGCTGCACACGGACAAGGCGAAAGTGAATCAATGCGACAATCAACTTTCTACTCGTACAAGCACAGCCTTTGATCGTGGGAAATACTCTTTGTGGCCTTCCGAACCCGACTCCGCATTGTATGGGGCAGTTAGTTGCAGGGTCTTGCTGGACCAACGGCAACTAACACTAACCTTTGGCCCTCCACTTCCTTTTCTTTCTGGAATCTGGCAAGGAACGTTTGGTACGGCGACCGGGACCTCGGGAGTAAGGAGACAGTCGCACCGTATTGCCACTAAGGCTGGCTGTACGAGTTTGGCCATCTGGCTAAAAGCATGTTGCCGGCACAGTTTCGCCTCGCACGGAGTTAATGCAGCCCGATGGAGTCGAGCTCTCTTACAGGCATGCCATGCCATGCTTCTGCCACTTCCTGTTTTTTTGCTTGCCCGTGCGTTTTGTGCGTTTTCCCGTGCCTGAGCTGGGCGGACCCCCCGGCTTCTGCCTCTTGGCCGCAGCAACTTTACTCATTGCCGTGCCCTCGCTTGCTGGTTAAACGTGTTGAATGATTACTCGATCATGCATGGCGGCTCATGAAACTCGAATCTTCTTCCAGCTACAACAAAGTATGGAGAACCGGCTGCCCTCTCATTAAATAGGGTTCAATGCAATGGCCAGATTTACCTTGGTTGGGCAAAGACGACCAAGGAGAGTTTGAGCGAAACCACACTCTGGCGCCTTTAGAGGCCGGAACGGTCCCCTACTCGGCCGTACCACCTGGGCTGGAGCAGCACAACGGTCGGTGCCGTTGTCGTGCGTCGGGCATGTGAGAGGGAACAATTACTCGCCAGAAAGGCATTGTGGAATGGGTAGAGGGGAGGAGGTTAGGTTGATGCCGGATGAGATGTCGACAGCATCGAGTATGGAGCACCAAGTCCGAGAATGGAGTGCGAGAATGGAGCACGCACATGCTGTGCCATTTGTGGGAGCTCACGCACACCATCCTGTATCCCGTCTTGAGATTCCATTGCAGGAACAAGGACCGGCTGTCGCCGCCTTGCAAGTGAGCCGGGCTGCGCCTTCTTTCCAAGCCCGGTCGGTTGATTTCGATCCGATGAGTTCGTCCTGCAAGACTGCTACTGCCGTAACTGGCCATGACCAGCATGGGTATCACCTCTCATGCAGCATCATCACTCGTGCTATACAGCAAGGCAAAGACAAGGCAAGGCAAGGCGAGGCAGGCCAGGGCCAGGATACTGCCGTCATCGTTGGCCTTGAGCTTGACAAGAAATCGAGTCGCACAAAGTACCTGCCAGGTACCCACGTCGTACCACATTCAACTTGTCGCTGCTGCGGCTTGTTTTATGGCTTGCTGCTTGTGCTTGTGGTCTCCACTGCAAGCGCCCAGACCCCGTCCCTAATCAATCAAGACTGCCGGCCCTGCTCGCACCAAAATAGCGAGCCTCCTTCAATCGAAAGGCACCGGCATCTCATTTTCTTTTTCTGCCAGTTGCTCCTGGAGAGCTCCCCAAGCTTACCGGGATCCCGTCACTCCTCTTTTTCCTTTTTCTACTTCGTCCCATCCATTCCCGTCTCTCTCTTTCTCTTCCATTGTCACATCCAACGCATTGGGCCTCGCCGGCTTCGACGGAATTGACCTCTGTTGCTTTTCTTCTAGGCCTTGGCTACTTCTTCCAGCACCCAAGCTGTCGACTCAGTTTTTTATTTTTACTTTTAATTTTTCCCGTCAACTCTCCAGGTCACGAGATTGCCGTTTTCGACGCTTCTCACACAACCCCACACACTACGCGAGACGGGGCCCTGGACGTGTGTTTGAGAAGTCTGTTTCTGTATTGAGTATCCAAGAGACCGTGTCTCAGAACAAGAGTGAGACCCAACGAAGCGGCGAAACCTGAACGGCCCTGCAGCTGGACGCACTGGGTGGCGACTGCGACTTACATCGACGCTGGCCGGGCGCTTTTTTTTTATGACCAGTTACCAATATTACAGCCTTACAAAGCACCAACGACAAGCATTGGAATTATTCATCCTGACCAGGGCCTCACCATCGAATTCTCGGGTGCGGCGATACACAAATTGCACAACGAGTACGCAAAAGGGCAGTCGACGACGAGCAGCCAGCGCAACTCCTTATCCGCACAACGCATTAGGCTCACGCGCAGGTCGTTGGGAATTCCTTGCAGACGCACCCGCAACGCTCATCTGTCACCAGCGCTGCTGCATATAATCGTGGGATACTTGCTCTACAACCATAGGCCATTTCTCACGGCTTGGGCCTTGGACGTTTTCCGCGTGGACCGCCTCTTTTTCCGTCTTCACTTTCGCCGCTCGATATCATAGTACAGCTCAACCGCGTGCGCCATGACATATATTGTAAGTCGTTTGATATCCGCATCCCAATGTCTCTGCTGCACATCACATGCATCAATCCTTCTCGCTTCCCTGCAATGCCACTTATTCACTCCCCTCTCTCTCATGCATGTTGCATGCACTCCTCACCCATGCAGCATGTACATATGCGCGACCCAACTGCAAAGCTGCATTCATTCTGCACGCTTCTCCAATAGCACCGCACCACATTCGGCACCCAACAGGTTGGCGGCTGGCATGGGCTCAGTTTCCCTTTTCTTGTTTTCGTTGCTTTTTTTCCCTGCTTCCCTTTTCCCTCTCCTTGCATTGGCTGCTTAGTTAGGCTGCCTTCTCTTCCCTTTACTTGGAGCTCCGCACCATGGCTTCGTGTTGGCGATAGGTTGTGCGTGTGCCGTCGAAAACCTTCATCATTTGCCACCATAACCGCTTCCCACTGTCAGAGCAGCTGGAGTTACCACGTCATGTCTGTTGCATCTCTCTTCAAGGACGTGCACATATCTGCACACCGCTTTCAGGCAGCCTGCCCTTCCCTCTACCTGCATGGACTCTCCCACGGGTGCTGTCCATCCAGCTGGCAGTCTCGCTGGAGTCCGCCAAGAGAGCACAAACATTTGCCTCCAAATCCTTCTATACATGGATAGTTACCCCATTGGACGAGTGTCCTAATCTGTAGTACAGCTTTCCTTTAGACAAAAAGGAAGAAGGAAAAGAAAGAACGGGAGGAGAACCACCTGCGACACGCTTGGTCGAGGCTCAAATGGCACAAGCATTCCTGTGCGTGCTGTTGTTCCGCACGCCTCTGAGCCATGCTTGATAAGGGATTGAAGGGGTACCCTTCTCAGCAATCTTCTTAACTTCACTGCGGCCCTTCATTTCATAGCAACTGCCATTCACTGAATTTTGTCCTCGTATTGATACACCCCTTCAAAAAGGCACAGTTACCCCTTCATGGTGGTAATTACTGCTTCACCCATTTTCTTACCTATCCTAACCACGGACTCATTTACTCATACCCACGGCACCTATTGGCTCACCATGGACCCCACGCGCATGCTAACCCTTCATCTGCAGCTATGTCTGGCCCATTACTGTGACATCCATGGGCCAACTCCCCTGATGGTCACCGAGGGTCTGGCAGCACCCTGTAGCGTCTGCCACGATGGTTCAGCCGCAGCAAGCGACAAGCCCCCACGCTCCGCTCCAGCTACATCGGAATCACAGCCTCGGGCGTCTTCAGCCGCTGTTACCGACGGTATTCGAGATTTGAGCTTATCACAAGATGGCCAGTCTCCTCGCCCAGCTTTGCGTCGATCTCCCGGCACCGGTGCCAGCACCGGTAATGACGGCACTTCAGTGAGCGGCCTCGACACACCTCCCGAGAGCCCGCGGCCCTTGTCGCAGCAGCCACGGCGAGACTCGAGTTACCGTAGGACTTATGACGAAACTGTAACCCGAAAACAAGGCCCTTGCGACAATTGCGCCATGACGTTGCCCCGCAGGCAGCAAAACGCAGCGGCAGCTGGGGAAGATGCCATTGATCCGCGATCACCAACCTTGCGTACCCGTGCGCCAGCTGAGCGTGTCTTTCTCCCTGTCGACCCAGCCTCGCCCCCAAATTCGCAGTCATCTAGTGACACTGATGCGGATCACGAGCTTCCAAGGCAGCCTCGCAGTAGGAGAAATGTGTCGTCTGTGAGTTCTCGGACTACATCGTGCTCCAGCAACTCTGCGACCTCGGAGCGTCATCCCAGTCATGTGCACTACGTGGATTACACATCGACTCATGAACCAATCCTACCCGACTCCTTTTCTCTGATTCGTGCCTCTTGTCTGCGAGCTCTGTCTTTTGAAACTCTTCCACGAGCTCCTTCGACCGCCACCCCAGCCTCATCCCCCCAGCACCATGGCTCGCCATCCTTTGTCACCACACAAAGTGCCGGCTCAGCCGCGTCGGGTGGTGCCATCTTCTTTGGCGATTCGTTGGCTGGGTACACAACTGCTTACATCTTTCGAATCCCTGACGTCCACGCCCGAGGCCACAAACGAGTCTATGCCTTCTTAGCTCTCAGCACCCACAAGGAGAGACTGGCCATGAAAACATTTGCCGGCGTTTCCTCTGCCTTTCGGGAGCTTGCTACTTGGATCCAAACGCTTGCCGAATCCGAGGCTGAGCGCACTGCAGAATCTTCCCCTATTGGCAGCGTCTTGCAGAGTGGTGGACCTGCCAGCCATGTGGCATCATCGTCCACCATCGACGCACCGAATGTAGACCGCAGCGGCAGTAGCTTTCTGACCGGAGGCAGCGGCTTCACCAGACGCATGGGAGGCCCTGGCGGCGTCTCCTCACTCAAGGCCCGCGGCCTTGCGGAACTTGTCGGACAGCCAGACTTCTTCATCACCCTACACAAGAAATTCGTGCAGCTGTTGTTCGAAGTAGGCGTGTCCTTGAATTCATAAATGGAGCGAGGGCTCCACGCCTCTGCGCTGCGTAATCACCCAGGTCCCCCCACTTGTACAATGTTTTTCTTTCCAATAGTTTCTACTGATACCCGCCGAACGGCACTGCGAAGCATCATTCAGGGGGGATCCGGGGATTTACACGACTTGATTTATTCCGCAACTGTCTCACGAGGCACAATCTCGTGCTTTTTGATACCGTGTTCATTGTCAGCATAGCACCGGTGTTTGTCCTTTTCTTGTTTACACGAACTGAAACGAGACGTATTGAGTAATGGTAACGCGAGCAAGCTCGACCATAACATTTTAACGTCCAAGGGGGAAGGGTGTTATTTCTTTTTTTTTTCCTTTTTTCATCCTTTCATTTCTACACCTGTATTGATTTATCCTACTGTTTGCAACGCGATGACTATGATACTGTCTTATTCTCTTAGGTCAATGGGTCGTGTGTCATTTTTAGTAGCGAGGGAAAGGATCAAGGCTGGGTGAAACAAAACGCCAAACTAATTTCATAGATGCGAATTATCGGATTGGGAAAAACATGGGAACTTACTAGGATAACCAAAAAACAATTTGCCCAAACAACAGAAAAAAAAGAACGGAGAGCGGTAGGCGCTCTCTGCTGGAAGGCTTTTACACACACGGTTTACTAGCGAGAAACGGATTCTTGATTAATTGACTCATTGATTTCTATGCTTCATAACCGTAGTACGATTTTGATTTTCTTTGTGAGGGCCGTAGTTTTTGTAGAATGATGTACTCACTTTCATTTACCTGCTTCGATATTACTCAAGCATTACTACTTGCTCAGCCAATATCTCAGCACGGGGTCAATTATTCACGGCGGCTGGCTTGTCTCGTCATGCACTCTTTTCTTTGCATATCAATGACGTTACTACAATTACAAGCAGAGAATTTCATGACAAGTGTTGCACAGCGGCCTGGACGACTAGATTCCAAACGCCGTAGATCCATTAAAGACGGCATCAACTGCTACCTTTTTTTCGGTTCATGTCCCGAAGTTTGATCAATTCCCTTCCCCTCTTCCCATTCACTGCCCAGGAACTTTTTTTCATGTTCACAGTTAGAAAAGTAGCCGCCTGTATCTAATAGTTGACAAGTTTCCCCTGTCCACCAACACCCCTCCCTTCCCCTCCTGAACATTATCCCATCTCATGTCGTCGACGATAGTCGTCATCGGATAGATAATGGTAGAGTAGTTTATTTGTAGAAGTCGAATTTGTTGTCGTCGCTGGTTCCCTTGACCTGGCTTGAGTAAGCATCTTCGAGATCGGTCTGAATAATGTTGTATCGGTTCTTGCGGACTGCGCGAAGACCGGCCTCCTGCATGATGGCAGCAATGACAGCACCGGAAAGCGGGTCATTGCGGACAATCAAGCTGTCGAGATCGACCTCGGGAGCCAGGCTCATCTTGCTGGCAATGGTACTAAAGATGAGACGACGCTCGCGGCGATCTCTCAGGGAGGGGAACTCAATCTTTCGATCGAGACGACCGGGACGCAGCAGGGCGGGATCCAGGGTGTCGGCACGGTTCGTGGCCATGATGACCTTGACGTTGGAGGTCTGATCGAAACCGTCCATCTGGTTGAGCAGCTCGAGCAGAATACGCTGGACCTCACGATCGGCACCGGTCTGGGCATCAAATCGCTTCGTGGCAATGGCGTCGATTTCGTCAATGAAGATGATGGCGGGCGAGTTCTCGCGTGCCATGCGGAAGACGTCGCGGACCATTCGGGGACCCTCTCCCAAGTACTTCTGGACGAATTCTGAGCCAACAACACGAATGAAGCTGGCAGTTGTAGAGTTGGCAACAGCCTTGACAAGCATGGTCTTGCCGGTTCCGGGCGGGCCGTACAGCAGGACACCGCGAGGAGGGTCGATACCGATCTGCTTGTACAGATCAAAGTGTGTCAGAGGCAACTCGACGGCCTCTCGAATTTCCTGCTTCTGCATGTCCAAGCCACCGACGTCGGCATATGTCACGTCAGGCTTCTCGTCGGCGCCAAGCATGGCAATGGAGGAGTCGGCTTCCGGGGGGAGGATGTCGACGAGGGCGTTGGAGTGTCTGTGCAGAGCAACTGAAGAGGAGGGCTTGAGCAGTTCGCGGTCGAGGGTGGATAGGATGCGGACAACATAGTTGGAGCCTGTGCTTGACTGGACAATGCCGGTGCTGCAGGGAGGGTTAGATGAGTAAACTTTGCAAAAGGCGGATGAGTTGGGGGAATTGGTTTACTTCTGATCGATGGCCTCCATAAACTGGCCGATGACGAGTGGTACGCTCTGGATTCGCTTGATCTCCTCCTGAGCTCGTACTAGTTCTCGCTTCAAACTCCTGCGGGGTGGAATCAGAAGAGTCAGCTTTCGTTTTGGGTCGCGGGAATAGTGGCTGGAGGTTTTCATATGGTCTAGGGGCGAAATCGAACCTTTGCTCGTCTTTAATGTACTCCTCTTGGAGCTGGATATACCTGGACAGGTAGTTAGTGGCCGTGGTTCCAAGGACGATGATATCAAGAGTGGCGCTTTGCACGGAATGCCACGGCAGGGGGGGAAGCATTACTCCAACTGCCTCTGAAGCTTCTTCAGGGTCGCATAGTCATCCTCGCCGTCGGTAGGCAGACCCTCGAAGTCATCAATGTTAGGAATGGCTGAGGGGGCGGCCTTCTTGTGAGGTGGCACCGTGGTGGCCTGGCTTTCCACGAGGACGTCGCCCATGATGCAGGTCGTGGGGCTTGGGGGCCGGTGCTGGCTGCGATTCGGAGGTACTGGGGTGGAAGAGAAGAAGAAGGGAAGTATGAGCGAGACGGCGTGAATCGAAGCGGGAGTTCGGTGGTTGGTTGTTGTGTTGAGATGCCGGGATACAAAGATTTCGGCGAGTGTTAGCCAGCTACTTCGTTACGCAACCAAAGCTCCCAGCTACCAGGCGTCAACAGCGAGACGCAGCCTTCCCTGGGGTTGCTTAGTCATGTCACGTGGTATGCACGTTATCGCGATAACAAGTTGAAGCTTGTGCTTGCTTACCTTGTACCATGTACCATGTACCTTGTACTCCGTACTCCGTACTCTGTATCAGACAAAGACGGACTCGTTGGCTGATTTCAAGCTAAGGCCCAATCCGGCACCTTGGTGAGCAAGGCGGGGCTCTATTGGCTGAATGTTAGTGCTTGCATCAATGAGTGCCTAAAACCAGCCCGATCCAGACGGCTCCAAGTACACTTGCTATGAGTTCACCACCAGGACAGTACTTGGCTTGGGATCGATGAGCTGTAAGAAAGCACAGCTAGCCACGGTGAAAAGGCAAAGGCCCCAGCCCAGCCCAGCTCAGGCGACTTCAAGCCCTCCGATTGGGCCTCAGCCATAGCGCCGTCTTGCATCGGGCGTGGGGAACACGCTCCCTGTCGAGCTACCTGGTACTTGCCATTGGTAAGGATCCGCACCAGCCGTGACAACTGGCTCTAATGCCACGAAGGTACCGCTGCCCAGCGCGCGATAAGGCATCACGGGATGATGATCCGTCCATGCCTACGGAGGAGTACCTAGGCGTGAATCAGACTCCGGCCTGTGACAGACAGCCACTGCACTGTACGGGCATGGGCATGGACCCAGCGCCAACGTCGAGGTACTGGCTACCCGCGGCACTGTGCATGACGCCCGCATTCCGCCATCGGGCAATGTAGCTGTTACTTCTCGTGCTCTTTCCCCTTCCGATCGCCCACTGTCTGGGATGTACTGCCTACATGGGGCCTACATGAGCGCTGCCTTACATGTCATGTACTCTGGCGTACAGGAACCGTCACAGCGCAGGAAAGTTCCGGAGTCGTGCACCGCCTACAAGAACAAGGTTTCCGCTACTAGGTACCGCCCAGGTAGTCTGTACGCTGGCTTGGGAGCTGCTTCACAGTGATTAAGGCTGCCGTTCTCCAAATCCTGGGATGCTCATCTCGCCTACCTTGGCCTTCTTCGTCACACTTTCGTCTTTTGGCCTCACACTACTCTCGCAACGATCACAACGCTTTTCCCACGCCGCTGTCGGCATCGCAAATCCTGTCCGCTTCCGCCTGGATACTGGTGACTGACTTGTTCATCTATTGCCTGCCCTATCGTCTATTTGCCCCTCTTGGCCCTGCTGTTCGGTTCATTCCGGTGCACTCGACTTCGTTTCATTCTTCCGACTCCCCTCCTCTGCGGCATTCAACATTCACCCAGACTTGGCCCAGCTGCCCTCGCCACCCTCGTCCTCGGCCAAGCATGTCTTCGTCAATCAAGATCCCGGCAGCACCATCGTCCATGGCTCCGAGATACAGCCTCTCAGCCGAACCGGTCGGCAGCTCGTCCGACAGTTCCTACTCCAGCTCGCCGTCGCCCTCGTCACCACCCGCCTCTCCCAGCAGTAAGGAAAAGGGCAAGGCAAAGGCCGTAGCGCTCGACAGCCGCCGTCCAAGTCTTTTGAGTACGCCTGCCTCTCACCCTCATTCTTGTGCTCCAGCAGTGCATACCATAGTCGGCCAAAAGAGCTTGCTAGTCGGCATAGCCTAATACGCCGTGTCGTCCGTCTTTGTGTTGCACCCGTTTGCTGACCACGTTGCACAGGCCCGGCTCTCTCCAAGCAAGAGTCCACCGTTATCAACATTGGGTCGCCTGATGGCCCTCCCCGACTCGTAGGTTCCCTTGCCGCCCTTTTCTAGTGTAGATGTGCTGACGCTGAGTCATTACTAGATCACCTACCTGTCGTCGGCCCAAGGCTTCATGTGGAACCCTGGTATGCTCCCCAACACCAAACGGCTTGAGCGGACGACGGGCCAAGTAAACGAGTGACTAACTTGGCATGTCCTTTGTAGAAATCTTCCTCCCCTCGTACATCGACTGCGACTACGTTCCTCTAGAGAACAGGCGAGACCCCGTACACGAGATCCACCTCACGGACGAGGAGATTGAGAATATGCTTCCGCACTGAGCATATCGTCTTGCCCTTTTATCATCACGCACCATACCCGATTTTCTCTCTTCCTCTGGGACACTGAATCATCTAGATATCCCCCTCTTTTTATCTTTATTCTCACGAGATGTTTTCTTGACTTTGTATTCACCAGTGTCGGTCTGTACCCGACGGCGTCTGGAGGTTTTGGGACTTGTTATCGGTTGGCCTGTTTTTGTTTTCTCGTATTCAGTGTACATTCCAGGCAGGAAGTGGCGTGTCGTGGAAGGTGAACAGCCTGGTATTACTATTCTTTGGAGGGCAGTGCCCCCGGGCCGCTTGGCGTTTACGATCGCATTTGGAGGAGTATGCTGCGGCATTGATACTGGTTCCGGTATGTCAATACGGTATTTACGGATTATTGGTTTTGGGCCCCTCGGCTGGATTGGAAGTTGGGGAGGCACCAGGGGTGTTTTGCACTTTGTTTCGTCATGGAAATAGGTTAGGTAGCTAGATAGGTATAATTTCTACTCATGTATTTTGCACGGCTTGTGCTAGGCTGCAACGTGCATACAGATAGGGTATGACCACGTCGACTCAAGTTACTTTTGTGATGGCGTTTGATGTTATAATTCCAACTCGAGACCTATATGAAAAGGTTATGTCCTGGTAAAACTTTGTCCTTATCTAAAAGCGCCTATGCTTTTGTGTAGATGCAGAATCAAGTCGTCCGCTGTCTTTTTGTTTAGTATACAAACTATGGATGTCACCGAAGCCCAGCAGTTTAAGCGTCGGGCTGCCCCGCATGCCGCCGGGGGACCACTAAAGCCCCTCCACTTGGTACCGCCCAGCACTGAGTGCTGCTGAAGGTACTTTGCCAGTGGGTGAAACTGGTGAGGTCCATTACCCCACAGAATTGCACCCTGTGACGGTCAAAGTACCCAGTACTTGACTCAGAGGCATTAAGGGGATCGGAAGCTTCGCTCATGCTCCGAATTCGGGTCTGGAAACGGCGGAGGTCGGCTTGTGTTACTTCTTGATGGCAAGATTTAAAGATAAGAAATTGTTATAGCACGAACGAGGCTGGGAGATGCTTTACAGTGGATGGATTGAAACCCTTTTTTTTCAACAGTGCAAAATTTGGTGTTTGAAAATGGAATCCACATAGAGCTGGAGAGCATAAGCCCACATGACTGAGACACTTTTGCGGATTGGCATTGGAAATGTCATGTGCAACGACGCGAGTAAAAGCCGCATGGGGATGAAGATTGGACTTGAGTCAGTTTTGTGGATGAGGGGAGAATTATTTTATTGTTCAGTTCATTTCCATGTACAAGATGCCCTTTTCGGTTGGATTTCGAGGGAAGATGTGTAGATAGTAGGAGAGCAGATTTGAGCGTTATACCTGCTTGCTCTTGATACCCCGTACCGCAGCAGGTTCAACAGAGTGCTAACTTATTTACCTATATCCTGTGTGAGTACCATGAGGTGGTGCCCATGCTTCTACTGTAGGAGTGTTGGTGCAAATGCAAGGGTCTTTGAGCCGATAACCTTGATGGCTGCCTTAGTCCCAGGGCTGATGCGTGTGCTACTGGTGGTTTCTGTTTGCACCCATCTAGTACGCAGTACTATCTACCTATCACGGTACATGAAACACTGATCCTGGCATCTTTTGTCTCTAGGCTGGTTGTCTACTTGGTGTCATCCAAAGATCTTGAGACAATTTAGTTGATGTTGGTAGCGGTAGTACTTATCCATACATGTACACGTTTGCACCCGATCTAACATTCCCGTTTCTATATTTATGCAAGAATAGAGGCCCTTGTTGCGATACTCTCTTAATCTTGCATCAATCCGATGAGTTGCGAGAATGCGCAGCAACAAACGGCATCAACTAACAGCCTCAATAAGCCTCGGCACTTATTCAAGGTGAAGCCCCCCACTCTTCACCGAGACATTCGGGGTACGTACCGGCTAGCTTCCAGTCACCTTAGGCGGTTTCTTTTTTGGTGGCAGCTCTCGAGATAAGATTATCGCTTTCTCGATCTCAATCCATCCCACCAACGCGACAACAACACACGCGTTTGCGCCACCATAAACGCCGCCTTATTGAACCTCTTTCGCCTATCTACGAATCCATCTACTGTTCTATTCCCCTTCCTACAAGCATTACAAAATCTTGCTGTGAGGACAGGCAAGACGACTCGGGCAGATGCTACTCCCAATGGACGCATAACACAACACAAGCAACTACGGGAAAAAAAGAAAGAAACAAAAAAAAGAAACGAGCCGCATAGCATATTTCTCGGCACATGGATTCCGAGTCGGTCGTTTCGCAGGTCCAGCGCAAGATCGAGCTCCAGAGCCCCGAGGACCTCGCCTACCTCATCACCAACGTCCGCAATGCGGCGGTAGAGCACCTCAACGAAGCGTTTCCGCCGGTCGAGGGCGCCGAGGAGGATGAGCTGCGCATCCAGATCGAGTTGCTCGTAAACGAGGTAATGAATTACTCTAGGGGAAGGTAGAGATGACACAGAAGAATCAAAAAACGCAGGATAGAGTAGAAAAAAAGAAGAAGGACAAGACAAAAGAAGAGTTGCTAACACTGCGACCAACGCCCAGTACATCAACAAAACCTTCTCGCTAGCCGCGCCCAACCTCATCATCAACGGCCTCCCCGTATCGCCCGACGTCCTCAGAGGCTCCGCGTCGACGCCAGACACCGTCTACGAGCCCTTCGACACGCGCAAGCGCCGCCAGGTCGCCGACCTCATCACGCAGGAGGAGAAGCTGCTCGAGGACGTGGCGGCGCTCAAGCGCTCCGTGCCCGCCAAAGTCGCCGCCGACCACGCCGAGCGCGTCCGCGCGGCCATGCGGCAGGACGACGACGACCTCCACGACCGGGTGGCCAGGGACGCTGCCGCGGCGCAGCGCGAGGCCGGCTCGCTGGGGGTGGCCCAGCTGCAGCGCCAGGAGGGCGTCGAGGCCGGCTTCAAGAGCGCCGTTCAGGGGCTGAACCGGCTCAAGAGGGACATGCCGGCCGTCGTGGCCAAGATGGAGCGGGCGAGGGTCGCAGGCGAGTACGTCGTCACCAAGGGGCGGTGATGATGCATCAGAAACGACAAAAAACAGGCTCTGTACGAGATCTACAGGCGGGCGTGCGGCGCTGCTGGGCTGCTTTCCTGCCCACCGCCACGTCCCATGTGCCTCCGTCCTGGTATTTGATTCGGGCATTTTTTACGACATTTTTCTTTTTTGGCTACGAGTACAGTATTAGCACCCAACTAAACCAAGTGGGATTTCTGCCGGGGGGTATGCGTTCAGGCGTCAAGGGCATAAACGACGATGTTCGAATGACTTTTGCGAAAGCAGCTGTTGGCTTAGACGATGAGCTTTTCTTGCTTCATGTTCCTCATTGCATTTCCTATTTTTCATGTTTTATCCATTTTGGATCTTTGAAATTGATTTTAAGGATGCCTTTTCTTTCTTTTCTTCCCCTTTATTAATTCGAGATGAAGGAAATTACACCGCGTAAGCAGATAATATTGTAGAAATGGGGCGGGATCTAGAATTTATTGAAATGCTCTATTGATTTCAATCAGGGGGGGGACGAGAACGAGCTGCCTTGTTCGGTACCATTCAACGAAATGGCATGTGATCTTCATCAAATGGAGGAAAATTGCAGCACGGCGAGCTTCTTCTTTCGAGGCAGCGTAGTCAACATCAAACACATCTTACAAGTATACGAAATTCTGTTGAATAATTCAAAGTGCTACCTGGTAGCTGTCCCTGCTCCCTCCTTTATGTATCCCTCTCCCTTCTCCCGTCTAAGACCCATCTTCCCTCTTTAGCCCATTGTAATAATTTTTCTTCCGTCAGATGCCTTCTGCTCCAACAACCTATTCTTGCGAGAAAAGACACAAAACGAGCCATCTGAGCTTCTCAGAGTAATGTAATGCTTCTCCCAAGCACACCCAATACAAGCGTATTAAAAAAACAAAGACCAACAAAAAACATTAAAACGCACTACCCCATCTAAGCCGCAGCAGGGGCTTCCTCAGCCTTCACCTCCCACTTAGCAGGCTTGGCCCACTGAGGGTCGTGCCATGGGCCAGCATCGCTGTTCTCGCAGCCACCCTCGCAGGTGCAGGTGCCGCCAAACTCCTTGGGGATGTTCTCGGCGGGGATGTGCTTCAACAGCTCGCTCTGGTAGCTGCTGCCGAGGATGTTGATCTTCTTGACGGTGACGGGGTCCAGCCAGCCCTTGACAACGCCCCACACGGTAGAGAAACCCCAGGGAGCGTTGATGAGGAACAGCTTGCCCAGACGCTCGGGGTAGTAGTTCTGGGAGATGACAGAGGCCTGGCGGACATAGGAGTACACCTGGGGAACCTTGGTCAGGGTGACGCCCTTGAGGTCCATGATGGTGCAGCAGGTCTCGAGGAGGTGGCCGGCCTTGCGGGAGCAGGCGGGCAGACGGGGGTCAGCCACGCGCTCGTATTCGACAGCAAGATTGGTGAGCATGCGGTCGGCGGTCGAGATCTTGTACATGGCATTCAGGTCAATGCCGCCGAGGGTCTCGATGTAAACGGGACGGCCATCCTAGTAAAGCCAGATTAGCTTCTGCGCAAAAGGGGAGCCCTGCGGTTCCTTTCGTCATCTCACATTGTCAATCTTGTGGTAGAACTGCTTGTAGTACTTGGAAATCTCAGGCTTCTCAGGGTAGTCCCAGGTGGGGAGGATCTCGTCGAGCTTGGTCTCCTTACGCCACTTCTCCGTCTCGATGAACCTGATGGCGGTCAGAATTAGACACCAGCGGCGTCGGGCGATGCGTCAGGGGGGACTCACATCTGCTTGGCGAGCTCAACATCGAACTTTCGCGCTCGGAGGAATCGCAGCTATACATCGTGGCAGGTCAGCCTTGCCCTGTTTATCCTTCTGCCATAGCCGAGCCCGGCTCAATGCCGCAGCCCAGCTTAAGGGGAGAGGAGGTTCCATACCAGAGTCAGCGTGTCCAGGCGCTCGGTGAGGCCCTCAGCCTCGAGCATCAGGCGCAGCTGGTGGACCTTAGCCTGCTGCTCGGGAGTGAGGTTTCCGGAATGACCCTCCAGAGGCTCGGCAGCCTCAATGGGGTAGTCATAGTTGTCGTATTTCTCGCTGAGTTCTACGGGCGCCATGGTGGGGGATGGTTCTGTGAGGGGTTACGGGGGCGAAGCTGGAGTATGGGATACGGGATATAGAATATGGTCTGAAGGGAAGAGGAAGAGGAGAGGAAAAGTTCCAGACGCCCGGCGAGCAAGGTGGAAATTATATAAAAAGGGGAGGAGGTTGAAGGAGAATCCCTGGCTGAATGGGGTTGGCAACGTAACTTGTAATTACCACTGCCTTTACGGCGTGGCGGTATAAATGCTAGCGACGGGTGAGCTGGCGCGTGGAGACTTTGCCGGCGTCAAGGCGGTGTCCCGAAGCGGGCTAGCGCAGGTAAGTCGCAGAGAGCAGCCCAGGCGCCAGCCCAGCAACGGGCAGCCTGTACTGCAGAATGTAGATGCATGTGACTTGTCACATGGCGATAACAGATCTTCGACATTCCACATCTAGAACCTGCAGGCCCAGCGCCAGCATCTTCCGTCTTGACTGATCCCTGCACTCCGGCGTCATTAACCAACGGCAATCCCAAAAGCAAGGGCCCTTCGACTCGCTCGCTTTTTTCTTCTCTTCCATGGCGAGCAAACCACCTCCGCCATGAGGACTTCTCCGCTGCGAATCAGCGTCAATGTCGCTGCCCGCCAGATTCACAGCCTCGTCCCTGCACCACGCCCTCGCCGGTCGTTCCACCTCACCACGCCCGCCAGCTTGCCCCGGAAGCGCAACTTTTTCACGTCGAATCCATACCTCTCCTCGCAGCCCAGTAGTGACGATGCGAAGCCCTACCCGTACCAAGGCCAGGGCCACGATCAGGACAAGCCCGGCCCTGCCAATGCCTCTCCGGTAGCCAAACGGAAGCCCACAAGGGCCACGCCGACCAAAAATTCGCTGCGCCGAGTCGCCATCATCGCCCAGCAGCCGAAGCGGGGCAGTCAGGGCAGCCCCGGCATCGACGCCGCAGAAGCCGATCCGTCCAACATGGTCAGCGCGACATGCATCGCCGAGGCCTTCAACATGCCCATGGTGCTGGAGATTCTCTCGTCGCATGGCTTCGCTATTGATCCCGACGGCACTCGTTTCGATGCCGCAGAGGTTGTCCATGCGCGAGGCGTCAATGGCGGCGACATCTTTGTCTTCCCCTCGGGCACCATTGTAACGTGGTCGCTGCCCCCCGACGTCGTGACGAAGCAGATCCTGCGAGCCGCCGAAGAGCCCCACGCTGAATCGCTGCGCGAAGTCGAGGACCTCGAGTTCACCACTGACAACGGCCGGGAGACGAGCACGCTCAAGGGCGACGTCGTCGTGTTGGGGACCCGCAAGGAGCACAAGGACGGCGACTTTCTCGACACGACGCTCGCCAAGATTGCCTTTTCGTCGGGCCTCGCTCGCAGCACAAAGCTGGCCGTCCTCGAGTCTGCCCTCACCTCGTACTTTGAGAGCACCAGGAACATCCCGGCCCTCCTCTCCCAGGGGACCGGCGTCCCGCTCAGCCGCAAGTTCATCCTGCAAAAGACTGGCGAGCTGCTCAGCCTCCGCGCCAAGCTCAACCACTACTCGGAGCTCACGGATAACCTGCCCGATATCTTCTGGGACAGCAAGTCGGAGCTGGGGCTCGAGGGCTACTACGACCAGGTTGGCCGCGCTCTCGACGTCAACGTGCGCATCCGTGCTCTCAACCAGAAGATGGACTACGCTCAGGAGATTGCCACGGTCTTACGCGAGATGTCTAGCGAGCAGCATGGCACCCGGCTAGAGTGGATCATCATTGTCCTCATTGCCGTCGAGGTCGTCTTCGAGCTGAGGAGGATTGTCATTGAGTATAAGGAGAGGGCTTTAGCCAGGGAGCTGGGCACTGAGATATAATCGCATCTCTCTCTTCAAATTTCGAGTAATACTTGATACACCCGTAGATGACTTCTCTCTCCTCCTCCCCCCCCCCCTTTTTTTTTCTCACTGCCTCCCCGCCCCTTTTTTTCTTCCCTCTCCCTTTTAGCTTGTATTAGTACCACCTCTTTTTGTATATGCGAATCTCGCACATCATTATTTTACGACACTTAAAATTGTTGATCAGAAGGAAAAAGATCATCTGGGATAGAAAAAACGACATGGATTACGAAACGATACCCCCCTCAACTCTGTTATAGACAAAATTCATCTCACGCCACCACATTTTTGCCATATCCACACAACGTCCTTTAATGCGAAACACAGCTCATTATTTTTAAAACAAAATTCTCTTCCATCGTTACTATACAGCCTCGCAAGAAAAAGAAAAAGTTAAAGTAAAAAGTAAAATTCGTCCCAGGCCCACTAAAACATGATATTCTGCTTGTGAAGCAAAAAAAAAAAAATCCCTCCTTTCTGGTGTCTATTGAACCCCAATATTTGTCCAACAATATTTCATACACTACAGTTAAGAAAGAAGAAAAAACAAATCCATATCCTTCCCTGGCCGCTTTTTGTTGTTGTAGTGGTGCGTTTGCCTCCCGTCTCCAGCGGAGCAAAATTCCTCTCTTCCTAATCCCCTGCCCTTTTCTCTCGTGTCGTGCAGTCCCATAAAAGCGAAGGAGAGAGAGAGAATAATGATCAATGATAGAACATGTCTAGAAGCCCTCCGTCCCCTCTGACTAGTATTAGTTAGATGGGCTTCATGGAGCTATGCGCAACCATGCATGACCTTGCACTCAAGTCTCATATCATAAGTGCCCAAGTCTACATGACGTTTTTTCAAGGTTCATCCAGCCTCATAAACGGCATCATTCCTCATAGGCTGCCTCTTTGTCTCCCCCACCGCCGTCATCTCATCACTTCCCGTAGAAAAAAGAATAAAAAAAGGAGGATAAAAAAGGTATTAAAATAAGTCAAGCCATTTCTCCCATATCAACACCCCACATTCCCCCAAGGTGCCTTTGCATTATCGTCTTCGAAAGCGTGCCATCATTCTCTTCAAGTTCTTTTGCCGAAAACTCCTTTATACGAACCCTAGCCCTCTTAACGCCGTTCAACAACGCCAAAGGTGTTGCCAGTCACAAAGCGTAATTGCCCCTTCCATATCCGAGACGTTTCATTTCATGACTTTTTTACCTAAATTATGAAGTCGGTTTGCGCTGCAAAGTAGGGATGACGGGCACAGGCACAGGAGTCACCTTGTAAGGCACATGTCCCGTTCCTGAGTTACCGTTCACCCCAGACTTTGGAGGCGGGGGCGTCTGTGGTTTGTTCTGGTTAGCCACGGTCGCCCGGATGGCCGCGAGCCGACTAGCATCGACTCCCATGCCTGCGAGGCCCGAGGGGACGCCACCTTGCGACAGCCTGTCAGTGAACATGGCTGATCTTTCCTGGGCTGCCACACGAGCCTTGGCCTGGTCCAGTATCCGCTGTTGCTGAGCCTCAGGGATGACGGTATGGTATCCAGTCAAGCCGGGACTCTGGGTGTGGGTCCCGGTCTGGCTCGAGCCGCTTGGAAACCTGTTCATCTGGCTGGCCATGGTTGGGGCTGGAGCCGAATATCCCTGGTTCTGCGGCACGACAGGCGATGGGCTGAATGTTTGCCGGTTTCCCACCTGAGGGGACATGGTCCTGGCTGGGATCGCACCCGGACTATTAGTGTATGCGCCGTAGTTTGGGGGCACTGGCGAGGCTGGCTGATGCTGGTAGTTTGGCTGGAAGGTGTATCTAGCATTCGGGGTGCCTTGCTGTGGCATCTGTCCATAATTTGGTCTCTGCTGGGTCGCATACTGTTGCGGCAAGCTTTGATGGCCGTATGGGGTTTGGGCTTTGGCAAGCTGGGTGGCATATTGATTAGGATAGCCATTGGTACGAGTATACTGGTTCGGCTGTGGCCTTTGCTGGTGAGGAGCTGGCGGCCCCAGGTTGCGAGGCTGCTGGTAGTTGGGGGCTGGTGTAGGGCGGTAATACTGAGGGGGTGGAGGGGGTGCAGCCCGATTCGGCGTGACATACTGGTTCGCCGCCGCCGCCGCCGCATACTGGTTGGGATACGGAACGGCGGAGATACTGGGCGTACGTTGCTGTGGAGGTCTGACGTTGGCTTGTGCTGCTTGGGCAGCCTGCTGTTGCGCTTTGAGTCGGGCTTGCGCGCTCGCCTCGTCTTCATCCATCGTGCCCTTGTATTGGTCGGTGTGAACCATGATCTTGGTGCTGATGAGGAGATCGTCTAGCTGGTCGCCGTTAAGCTTGGCCACTGCGTAGGGTGGAAGCGTCTTGATGATAAGTGCCAATTGAGCCTTGAGCATGTAGTAAGTAGCATGTTCTTCTTCCGAAGGCTGAGGCCCGGCATTGGCCAGCATGTCCCCATTGACAGGGTCGCTGGACTGGCGGTTTTGTGAGTTGGGCAGTGTTAGGTTGCGGATGCGTTGGTAAGAGGCCAGAGTCTCAATCAAATCGCTGACTTCTTCAAGGATTTCGTCGGCCTCCTTGTCCTGCTCGTCGTGCTTGGATCCCATGATGTCCTCTAAGGAGGGATCAATGACTGTCTCATCCCAGTTGTCAATTGCGTCTTGCACCGCTGATTCGTCCACCTCCATTGATTGGGTTTCATCGACGGGTTCTGCCTCTTGAAGGTCACCATAATATTCTACCTCAATCATTCTCTGGAAGCTCTGCTTGCCGCTGCGCTGCCACCAAATCCGGCCGGCAACGCTGGACGGCACTACTGCAGCGGCATCATCCTTGCACGGTGCAAATGTGGAAAAGGCCCCTCGGAAAAGAGTTTCCATCTCCGACATTTCTAGCTCGGAAAGTGAGGGTTTTCGACCGGCAAGGCTTTGCGCACGTTCATGCTGCTTCGTCTTTGTCTGCCACGAAGGCGTCGCCTGGCTGTAGTCCAGATAGTATCCGGTAGACAGTTTTGTGTTAAAGTATGAATTGCCCCGATACCGGGAGCTGTCGGTCAAGTGGGGATGATAGAAATCCAACCGATTTCCCTTGGCCTGTGTTTTCGGTTGCTTTGGCGGCTGAAGAGGCGGGAGAGGACGCGGCGGAGCAAACAGCTCGCCGAGAGTTTGCGTCCGGTCCTGAGGATTGGAGGGAACAACTCGGGTGATGGACACGCCCGGCGGGAGGTTAACGTCGGACAAATCGACATCTTTAGACAGCGGTAAGCTAGAAAACAAGCGCCTTTCTTGAGGCGCATAGCCGACAAGCGATAAAACCATTTCGCTCTTTTCCGAGGCAGTATGCGATTCAGCCTCTCCATTTGTAGGCTCCTGTCGCGTTTTCGGATATGCTTTTTCGCGGCGGACGAGGTCCGAGGCTCTCTCCCAAAATTCGTTGATCTGCGCCGCCCTCTTGATAGTCATAGCTCTCGCACCAGGGTTCGAGGAGGAGGAGTCCATTTCAGACAACGATGATTGAACGGCAGAGGAGATGTCCGCTGCGATGGCATCGAGGGAGGCGTAAGCGTCTGCCGTCACCTTGTCGGCAATGGTCTGTTTGATGGGCGGCTCGACCGATTTCTGGCGCTTTGCCTGGGGTTCATCTTGAGAAGCCGGCTCTGGCGCCGGTAGCGGGCGGTCGAGGATGGAGGGGCTGATGTCGAAACTGATGCCGATGGTCAGCCTTGGATGACTTTGACTTGAAAATTGGGTGGCTGTTTGCAGGCAGTGGTGAGTAATGGGTGCAATCCGTACCTTCGCAGAGCCTCAAAGAAGGCCTTGACAAGCTCCCTGTTTTTGGCCTTGTCCTCGTGCGGCTCCGGCGTCGGGTCGCTCTGGTTGTCGTCCTGGCCGTCGTCAAGAACCTTGTCTACGTCGACATCCATGCCGTCGCCGGTGTCGTCGCCATTGTCGCGCTTTCGCTTGCCCGACGCAACAAGCTGCCCGCTGGCAGGGCTGTCGGGAAGCGAGACGCCATTCGCATCGTCGGGCGTGGGCTGCGCCATTTTGGCTGGATGCCTCGTGTGCGTCGTCGTGGTGCTGGCCGCGCCCCGTCGCGATACGCGGTTGTAGAGGGCTGACTGGTGCTGGTGCGACTCCAAAACCTTTTCATCAAGACCCGGGTAGAGCGTCTGCATCCACCAGACGCAGTGCAATCAAACGCCGCGCCTGCAAATCGCCACGACAGGCAGCCGGAGTCGATGGTGAGCAAATTTCCGCGAATTTCTAGGCGGCTGCACGATGGATTGCCGTTGTTGAGCCTGCTGAGGAAGAATGTGTCCTGGATCGCCAAGTACTTCCCTGGGCCAGGATCACGCTAACTCTCTCGAGGGAAAAGTCTAAAATTGCCTGCACGTGATTTCATCGAATTCCCCCCAAGCAAGCGCCGCGCCCCTCCTGTGATGCCTCTGTGTGATGGCCGCTGACCCGCTGCGGCTCCGCTGAAAGAGAGAATCAGAGCTACCCTATGGAGAGATGGCTGCCATTGTGATTTCATTGTGAAACCGATTTATTGCTGCTCGTGTGTACATACATATAAAGCGATCAATATCTCAATAGGTTAGTAGGTGTTACTGCTCCCTAATGCATGGAACTATTTAGTCTCTTACATGCATTGTCTCTTTATTGAACGGATGAATGAATGGTGACATCAATACATGGCACTCACTAAAAATCCGCCTAGATAAGTTGCATGCGTCAGTAGGGGCAAAGCACCAAAAAGGTAATGGATGAAATATTCAACAGACATTGGTCCTCTGTTCATGGAGAGCGCATAGTATCTAGCCTGCTCGCACAAGGTTTCTGTTTAGCCCAAGATTGTTCTAGTTTACCGCATGGCTCCCGTTTCCCGGCCTTACCACACCAGCCCAGCCTCATGTCTTTGACGTCTCGATGATCAAAGTTGTCAATGTTCGGCAGTAATGCAGGGTAATGGATCCCATGCGGACTCTACTCTGCTGTACCAACCAAGCTACTTATTTAGTATGGTGCTAGTGATGCATAGGATCTTGCATCTTGATTACTACTACTCCTAGCAGGGAGTTCTTACGTATACAGACGCGGTAGCATTAGATCTGTCTGGCTGTTCCCAAGACAATACCCTACAAGACATCCCGCAATGAATAGCGTGCATACGCACAGCCGCTCACAACACCCTTCAATACGAAATCAACATTCACTTGTCACTCAAAGAGTAGCATCATGCAAGAGTTTAATGGCATCGGATTAAAGCGTAGCAGCAAACTGGAGCTAATAGTATCCATTATATTACATAAATGACGTTGCAGTCTTGATCCATACTCCCAGCAATACTGTATTGCTGCACTCAAAGCTGCCCAAAATAACCAAAACTGGCTTCTGCCAACACACAAGCAGTGCTCATCTTAGATACACCCTATTCCAGCACGTCCTGTTGATTTATTTGGCCTTGGCAAGACCGACGGCGTTCTTGCCGAGATCGTAGACAGAGTAGTAGCGGCGCAAGAAAGCATCGCCAAGAATAACAAGAGGGCCAACGGGGGCGGGGAAATCCATGCCCTGGAAGGAAGAAATGCAGTTACCTTGCATCTCAATGATGTAGTCGGTAGCAGGGAGGCTGTACTTGGAACCGGCCAGGGTGAAGCTGATGTCGGGAAGGGAATCACGCTTGGAGCAGTCGACAGTGTACTGACCGCCGAAGCCCTTCTTGGCACCGATCTGGGCATTGAGGAGCTCGGCAAGGTCAGAGGGAAGAACGTTGAGAGAAGTACCAGTGTCGAGGATGGCACCGGTGTTCTCAAGCTCAGCTTCCTGGTCACCGAAAGAAATGGCATTGAGGTCCACCTCCCAGTAGGCCTTGCGGCGGAGAGGAATGTACTCAATCTTTCCCTCGTAGTGAGATTCATCGACACCACCGAAGACGGCCTCGGAACCCTCGTCGCTGCTTCCCAAGTAGAAAGCAAAGACGGGCTCGTCAATAAGCTTCTGCTTGACCATCTGGTAGAAGGGGGGGACGATGCCATTCACGGAAATGGTATCGTAACCAAGGCCAAGAATGCCATCGAAGCGGCCGAAAGCAAAGGCAAGACCGGGCTCGCTGGTAGCCTCGGCAAAGTCCTGCTTCTCAATCTTGAGGTCACCGATGGTGACGACATCATTGGAGATGAAGCCAGTCAAGCTGCCTGATCCGTAGTGGATCTCAAAGTCGGATCCATTCTGCTTGTACGTCTTTGAAGAGGACGAATCGTACGTGGAGTGCAGGAAGCAGGCAATGCTGTTGCACGACTGGGAGGGAACCCAAAGGTTGGAGCTTCCAGTGTCAAGGACCACCTTGAAGGTCTGAGGGGGAGTACCGATGGTAATCTCGGAGAAGTCTAACCGACGTGAGTTAGCAAACGCAGACTCTATTTGGGAAATTTTGTCGCGGTGTGCAGGTTGACTTACATTGGGCATTCATGAAGTTGGTGACGGGCACTGGGTGACCGCCCTGGACCTTGGGCACCTTGTCATTGAACATGACATCGGCACGGCTAGTAGGGCGGATGCCCATGTACTTCTGGCCGAGCTGCTGGACCTGGGACTCGATGGTTGAACCCTCCTAATGAAAAGCGAAATGTCAGTCAGTGCTCATGCTCGTGCTTGGGCCAGTTCGTTCACTGCGAGTTGGGCCTGTCGTACCAGCTGCTGCTCGAGGGAAACCTTCTGCAGCTTCATCTTGTGGACGCCAGCTTGGGCGGAGCCAACAAGCGCCGCGGCGGCAATCAAAGCGCTCTTCATATTGGGCGACGCTCAGAGATTGATGATGTGGTTTGGAAGATGGGATGGGATGGATGGAGGATGGATGAAAGATTGATTGCTGCCAGAGGAGAGAAAGGATGACGAAGCTGCCTTTGTAGTGGCAGTAGCGGGCATTAGATAAGAGGGTGGCAGGCAGCTTAGTACTGGACCAGCTGGCCAGCGTGCTCCAGGTACCAAGGTAGCATTGGTGGCTGCGATAATCAAGAGGTCACTGGACTTGGGCTAATCAAAACAGGGCGGGCTTCTGGCCTCGTGCCACCGTTTGCGTGCTGGCCGCGCCTATTGGTGCCTGTGCTGACGACCCGATGACGCACAAGCTCCCTGCAAGGGGCGCTACCAGACGGCCGCGGAAGTTCCCTTGCACCTTAAAAGACTGGTGGAGGTACATAGGCTTTACCCCAACTTTGTCCAGGGCCGAGCCTAACTGGCTGATGGGGCAACCGAGATCAACAAACGGTGGTCGCTGCCTCAGGCCGCGCCAGCTTCAACGCAAGATTGAAGGTATTACTGCCAATGCTACGGAGTACGATATTAGGTACCTTTTACCAGCGTCTCAGGCTTGTGCAGTATTGCTTCTCATGTTCTACTACTTGGTCCTATCGGGCGTTTGAGGCATGGCATTTGACGGCGCTATGAAATCCTGCGCTGGCTTTGCTTCGAAACTGTATCAGAAGATGTCTCCATCGGGTACATGTCCCTATCTACAGTACCCAGTAGTGAGTTTCGACTGCAAAGTGTAAAGTAGCCCTGCGAATGAGTAAGTGCCTGAACGGAATTGGAAGTCAACTTCGTGCTACTACTACAGAGTTTTGGCTATTGGTACAGGTACTACCTGTGGCGGTCAAATAATTTCGTACTCAGATTCTTGTCCCTTGCATCCAGTACCTGCGTAATGACTCACCAAGGCGCCAAACAATAGGTCTGGCTCAAGTACCTACGTGCACATGTACACCCGTGAATCTCAATAGCTCAAATCCGATATGTGGCATTAAGGGCGCAGAGGAAAATCACCCTGAGCGCATCTGCTACGTATTTGGTGTTTCAGACGTATGAGTAAGGCTCGCAAGTATATGGCAAGGGTTACGAATGTGGCAAAACTGTGCTCACCGCACCCATGCAGTAACGGCAGAATCAAGCAAGACACTTCTGTTTCTGCAAATGTCGCCGGTCATTTGTGCATGTACGAGTATGCATCATCAAAAGTCTGGCCTAGCAAGTAGAGTTGAAGGAAAAGATGAGGTTAAAAAGACCCATAGCTTTACTTGATGTCTGTATGGCTTCATCACCATTGGCGGCCTCCTTTATGGCAATGGCCCAAGCGTGTATAATGATTGGGGAATCTTGTTTGTCACATGGGTACTTTGTCTTAAATACCTAAAATGCAGCAGCATCTGCTCAGTATCTAACCGGTAGCTTGAATCACCAGATTTCGCATTGTTGATGTGTCTGGGGGTTGCTCGCCAGTATTGTAGTGCTCATATGAATGACTATTCTCCATGTTAGAATGACTACGAGTTGATTCGCGTGTGAAGTCAAATATGACAGGCGTCGAGTAAATCCCATCAACATAGTACTTTAATCGGCTAGAGGTATGTAAGTCATGTCCAAGCGAGCGCGAATTGACCCTGATATGTGCAATACTTGGCATACTATCAGCCAAGCCTCACTCAATTCTAGCCTATAACATTGCTTGTTTCAATAGATGTATCATATGAGAGGACCCAATATAATTAAGCCACTTCCGCTGTTTCTTTGATTACTATCGTCTGTTCAACAACGAGTTGCCCTAAGAATATATACATGTTAAAGACGTCACCAATCAGCACCACTGTGAGAGCAAGTGTCGTCGAAACGTGTTCTAGAAACGATAGTATGGTAGCTTGAGCTAGCTATCATATTACGATTCCATCATGTACGAGTAGATATGTTATATTCCAAATAATTTGGGCCCTCCGACTTAGTCATGACGCTCTCTTCAGGTTGTCTGGGGGCACCTCCGTGAGTAATGCACTCAGCAGAGTACCAAGAATGAGAGACATCGCAATCCTGCAATGAGGGTGATATCATCCAGTTCAACATCAAAGAAGCAACACATATGTTGTGGATGAAGAATAATCACAACACCGAGTGTCATGAGAAGGGGCTCTTTCGATGACGACTTGGCTCTAGCCCAAGACGAGTTGCGGCTCGGTTCATGCCTCGTAGACCATGCTGTGCATTTCCCTCTTACACCATAAAGTTTCTTCTCCAGATTGGATATTTAGTTAGGGATGTTGTCTATATAGTCCCAAGACTCGATTTGTATGGATTCTGAGAGTATCATGATTGACTTCAAACGGGTGGCCACTCTCAGATATATAAGGCAGCGTATCTTGTAATGCCATCTACTTCTTCGGGTACGTATTGTAGTAAATTGCTCTCCATTTGCTGGCAATGACAGAGTCCCTGAGCTTTAAGCCACCTCCCTGTTTAACCCGTCTTGGTGATATCTTGCAAAGTACGTACGTGGATTCTGTTCGCAGAAAAGGAGTTGTGGTGGTTTTAGAGCTATCCAACACATGTACTTCACATATCCGCACGGAGTGCATAGAACGCCGAATGCCTTTGTACATTTACGTGATAGAAACGTTGACTCTCCAGGTGGCCAATGCGAAAATGGCTCAGGCCAGGAGCTGCCGAGTTTGCCCGGGCAATGGCCAAGGCTCCATCCTTCACCGATGACAGATGTCAATAATTCACGGAACGCCCGGGATTTATCACGGAAAATGGAGTATTCCCATGGGCTGGGAAACATCGGCACTACAAAGCAGTGCTACTTGTGCTAGTACGAGCCTCGGACGGCATCACATCTTGCCAACTACCTGGTCGACCCCGTAACTGTCATCGGTTTAGGATGCCGCCCGGACACCGAGCTGAAGGGCAAGCCCTACCTGTACACATGATGGTTCATGTAAGCATTGATGTCTTTGATGATGAGGCAAATGGGTGGCGCTCGGAACACGCGAGTTGTGATGCCACGCGTAAAAGTCCCCGAGGCATTCTGCCGGAGAACAAAGCCCCGGCAGCTTTTTCAGAACCATCTGCTACTATTAATGGCTCAAGTTCGTCTTTGAGAGTTCCCGCGTAGGTACATGTTAAACTTGCGCTGTATGGGGCGCAGAAAACAGGTTTTTCTGCTGCATTGATTCAAGCTACAAGTGTCACCACCTATCTTAGCACTCTCCATCTGAGACGTACGTGTATGATACAGACACTCCGTATCAGTTCTACTTGCCTATGCACGGCACAAACCAGAATGCGGTGAGAGGTGAGATTGTGGCTTCATCGAGCAAAATGCCGTGGACAGGATCCTTGTGGCCGTGCCAACCTGGGGATAGAGGACCCGCAGCTCTGCTTTCTGTTAGCAAAGGAGGATTTACCGGCACAAATGCGAAAGTCCAGATCGTTCGAGAAGACGATGAGTAAGGAGGCCGGAGAATAAGGAAGAAAAAGGAAGACAAAAAAAAAAAAAAAAAAAAAAAAAAAAAAAAGAACGCGCAAAACAGGGAACAGGGCATTGTCTCTTTGATGATACCCAGACTACTAGCGGAGACAGACACGTGTTGGACGCTGGAGCAAAGGATGAAGCATCGGCCTCCAATCATTCGGGACAAACATCTCGATCGCTGCCTCGCCACGGTGATGTGCAGCGGGATTCTGCAAATCAGGCACGGATAGACGATGACATGAAGCGGCCAAGGAACACATCGTCGTCGCAAGTTGGCACAAAGGAGGGTCACTCTGTCTCAGTTTTGCGGCCATCACGACGCCAACTCCGACGTGGCTGCGGCAGGATGAACCAAGTGGCACTTGTCACATGTACTCGCCGAGTTATGCAGGCTTGCACACGCCGGGATCAACGAGGATTATGGCCTTTGTGTGACGTGGATAAAATAATACACGACATGAAACACACTGCTCTCCTGTTATTATGGAGCCAACGGGACTCTGCCAGTTCCCTTTTCGCTAGGCGGAACGCGAATTTGTGGCCTTGGTCGCACGACGACGCATCAGCAGCCGACTCTGTGCCTTTAATATCAACCTTGCATCCAGGCAAATCCCTGTCGAGACCAAGCGGCCGTTGGAGAGGCCGGGCTGTGCGCGATAACGGGCCGCCATTTCCTCATTCGCTCTGCTTCGCGTCTCGACATGACACAGCGTCATGGCCGTGTCTTCCGGATCACACTCGAGCGCGGCTACAAACCCGGAAAGTTTAGGCACGACGGACGAGCTTGGTAACAGGTACAGGCACTGTTACGATGCGGTGCGATGCGATGCTCGGGCCCGTGATCGTTATTATTGGAATGTCTGATGGAGGGTCGCATTGAGTGGACGAGCTTTTGATTGAGGTGGAGTTGGGAAATGGGACGGAACGCCACTCGGACGCTGTCTGCAGGAGCTTGGGAATGTATTCGCGACACCGATAGCTTGTTCAATTCAGGGACGCAGTTAGGGCTCGTGCGCACAGTTTGGCGCCGAGGATTAACAAAGCGCAGACACAGCCCCCGTATCCGCTACCTCGAGCGCTCTGGAGCTCCACGCGTCCCCTTGTTCCCCAGCCAGTAGCGCAGCGGTTCCTGAAGTTTTTTTTCCTCCCTCTGGCAGTACCTGCGCTGCGTCTTTGGGCGCCACCGCGACAGGTTCGGGCCTTGCAAGCCTAGCCTGGGAGAGGCCTAGCGGGCGGGTGTGGACGCGCTGGCCAGCCCAATAGGCCTGCTACATTCCAGCATGGTGGCTGGGATTGGCTGGGCGATGCAAACGGACAGGGGTTGACAGCCAAGCACAAGACTTTTAGCCAGGGGGCTGGCGGTCCAGGAACGAGCATCACAGCCAGCTGTTTTTGATGCATGTACCCAGCGGTACTCGCATAGACGACATGTACCGTGCACGGCTGCGCTGGCGGTGGCAGTACCTGCAAGAAATAGGTACGGGTACCTCGCCTGGAGTTGTTGTCATCCATGCTTTCGATCTTCCCCCCTACATTTTAGCAGCAGTCTGTAGTTTTACCTCCATATCGATGAATGGATTGAAGGCAATAATATTGGATACATTGCTGGATATCGCTACCTGTAGGAGAGTATTAGCTTGCTGCCATGATATTCTCCAGTACAAGCTGTTAGTGACCATTTGAACAAAGGCATCCACGGATCAATATCAATATATGAGTTCACGGAGCTCATGCGTGCCATCCATCCAAGCAAAGTACCGGCGTGACGAGCATGTACAAGTACACGTACGCGCACCGGTACCTCGCCGTCGCTGCAGCTCTTCGTATCCCAACCCGGTACCTGACGGCGTGCAGCGACCTGCATTAGCACCAGCAGCTTCCTTCATTGGCCACACCCGCACCAGCCAGCACACTAATTTCCCCTTAACCACACCAACTGGCTTAATCCCAGCTCCCTGATCCGGTAGTATAGTACGTACCTCTGCTCTCTTGTTGCCTTTGCCCATCCACCCCCCGTCCTGCCTGTCGACCGCCCCCCCAAATCTGTCGTTTCTCCTTCTCGTCTCCTCTCCCTTTCAACAAAACAAGTCACGCCTTCAGGACGCTCGTTCCAGTCCCTCCTTCTTCCGACGACACCGATTCCCTACAGCGTTTCTCAAAGCCCATCGGGTCCAAGGAATCAGATGCTGTCGGCCTTTGCTCTGGCATCTTGAGAAAAGCTCACTTTCCATCAGACCGGCGTCTGTCGAGTCCCTCGTTCAGCAATCTAGGCCTCGCTCGCCGCTATTCGCAACCGAAGCAGGCCCATCGAATTTTAGACCAAAACCTCACTTCTTAGAGTACGCAGAATCGCCCAGCAAAGGCAACAGCGACGCCTCATCGAACAACTCGTTTCTCTTGCCGAAAAGCTCGTCTCGTCTCTTTTCTTCGTTCATTGACAAAACTCCCCGGCGGAGCCAGCTTGATATTTAATCGTTCATTTTCTTTGCTTGTTTCAAGCCAACGTTCAAGCAACAGCCTCGACTTTGTAGGCCTCATTTGTTTTCACTCGAATCGACGATTTCTTCAAACGCCTTTTTTTCTCCTTCATACGCTCGCTATATCAATATGAAATCGTCAACACTTGTTTCCGGCGCCTTCGTGGTCGCAGCCCAGGTGTACACGGCGCTTGCCGGAACCGCCGTGAGAGGATCTCACGATATTACTCATGTCATTCGAGGCAACCTCCAGTTGCCATCACAACCGCCCGTGCCAAATGCCGTTCGATCACAGGGCTGCTGGAGCTCCAAGGGTAATATGACGCAAGCCACCGCCGTCGTGAGCACGAAAGTTTCATCCGGATCATGCACCGGTTATTGCTCAACAAATAAATTCCCTGTTGCCGCCCTGCAAGGCGATGAATGTTTCTGCGGATTCGCCTATCCTCCCGATGGCGATCAGGTCGAAGATACCAAATGCGCTTTCCCTTGCCCAGCCTATCCCCAGGAGGCTTGTGGTCAAATTGGACATCCAGGATTTTTCTCCGTTTTCAACACCGGTGTCAACATCAACCCTCCTTACTATGAGCCCCCCTCGTCATCAACATCCTCTTCTTCATCATCTTCTACTTCCACGACATCGTCTGGCTCTGAGAAGTCCTCGTCCGCAGCATCTCCTTCGGGCCCTGCCAGCCAGTCTGCGGAAGCCACCCCTACAGATGCACCGACCGACAACAAGAAGAAGACCAACGTTGCCGGTATCGCTGCAGGCACTGTCGTCGGTGTTGTCGTCTTAGGTGGTCTTCTCGGAGCTGCCTTCTTCACTATGAGGCGGAGACGGAATGCCGAAATCGAAGAGGAGCATCGCCGGAATGCCGCCGTCAATGCCTTCATCAACGGCTCCAAGCCGCCATCCACCAGCGGTAGCATTTCCATGACCGACTCCCGTCTCGACCCCATCATGGCCCACCGCAGGCTTAGTGACGGCAGTATTGCGGATAATGAGGATTACTCTCGCCGCATCTTGAGGGTATGTAGTTGTGTCGCTAGTGGCTCGTTTATAAGAATCTTGATCTGATTAGCTAACCATCTTCTAGGTCACCAACGCATGAGCAAATGGCCATATATCCACTTAACGACAAGCGAATTTGCCTATACTCAACTTACAAACATCTCCTTCAATCATGGGCATTTACGGCGTTATCGGGATGGTAGCTCATGTCCATTTGGTTGACTCCCGGGCCAGATGGCCGAGCGGCGTTTTGACTTCTTTTCTTTTTTCTCTCTTATTTCTGGCGTAGGGATAGACTTTTTGATACGGAGGGAAATGAATGAGTTTGGCCATCTTCAACATCATACCCCGGCTTCCCTACGCCGTCCACTCCTTACGTGTCCGATTGAACCTTACAATTTAATTTTGGCGATTAGAGAGCGAGGAATGCAGCGGCCTTGGCTCCTCATCTTCACAACCCTTTTACGAAGCAACAGGGTGCCGCAAGGCTATCTGACTGACACGCTTTGTGTATTCAGCCTGGCGAGTTATTTTTTTTCATTTTTTTATTTGCAATTCCCATTTCCAGGAACCTCCTGTGTATAAACCTGTTGGCGTGGGGAAAAGGCATTGACCGAGCTGTTGGCACGATCCACGCTTCGGGTGTATGTATGAAAGGGATAAAGGCTAGGGGGCGCGTGCGGGTGTGAGAGACACGGGGCTAGAAGAAGATAAAATATGGTTGCTACCTGTGTTGTTTACTTCCTATTTCTTTTCGGACGTGGGCGATGGATCTTGGGCGGAATTGTGTATGTAGGGATTGCGCATAGTAACCAAGCACGTCATGTCAAAAACAAAACAAAAAAAAGATCCACATCCAGATTGCGAGTGCTATTGATTTCCTTTGTTCAAAAAGAGAGCGAGGGAAGACCACTTTCCGGTGAAAACAGTGTCTTTCATCATTTTCCTTTCATCTTGTTGCTGCATCTCTGTGATTTTGAGGACATCTCCGGGACTTTGAGTTTTCTGCTATGCTGGCGTTGTGGTAATCATTAAGTCTGTCGGCGCATTGTTGTTCCCTAGTTGTACTATATCTTTTTATTATGATGCATTTTATATAGTCTATTCTCAGCTTACGATTCAGTCTGTTGGTGACGGTGTTGGTACAGATTCAACTCTCGTCTCTTTGATGAGTGATGTTCATCGGTCTGTTCCCTAGCGATGATGGAAAAAGGGTTGTGAGTAAATGTCTCAGTAAATGGACCCTTTCCGTATTGACATAATCGTCATTTGATGTCGTCAATGCTAGATTTCTGTTGATATGAAATGAATACGTTGGCTATTACAGATCGACGTTTATCTAGAGATGTTGGTGGACTCGAGGTGTCGGTCAACCCCGGGCGTATGCTTTCTCAAGAGGCCCTCATTTTATGCAAATCCATTAAAATTATTCTACATGTTGATTAACTACATAGCAATAATACATGTAATTAGTCACCTAATACTACAAGAATCTCAAAAGACGTAGCGAATGCGTCAAGGCAAAAAGGTGCCCTCTCCACGAAATAGTTAGTCGCCCGCCATCAAAGTCCAGCATATCACGTGACATGAATTTTCCTGAGCTTCAGCTTGCTGTTGGCAAGTCGCGTCAAGAAAAGTTCCCCATACAAAACGCCTGAAACTATTGAGATCCCGCCAATTCATCCTCCAACCACAAATAATGCACCAGAATCGTTGAGCGCCAACAACTAGAGCTTTGCAAATTACTGCTCTCACCTTAGGGTGTGTAGCAGCTACATATCTTTTCGCCATGGCCCCAACAACTACACCCAGAATCCGTCGCACGGCGCAGAATACCCAGTTTACGTGAGTTTGCAAGTTTGAATGCTTGCCTCTCTTACAGTATGGAGCTAATGCCGCGACTCCAGATACAATCTGTCGCGCCGCGTAAACGATGTCCAAACATACCCCATCCAATCTCCTCAAGGAGCTACCATTCTAATCTACGGGCACGACAATGGTGTGACCTTGGTTTGGCGAGGCGGCCGACGATTCAAAGCTTCCAAGGAGGCAGCGCCACCACAGACAAACCAGAAGGAGCAGAGAAACGGAGCTAGTGATGATGCTGTTATGATCATCGATTCGGACGACGATGAGCCGCCGGCCAAGTCACAAGCTGCCCAAGGCTATGTCGACAAGCCTGAATTCGAGGATGCCCTTGAAAAGACACCCTACCCTGAGATTGTCCAGACACTGGACCTGGCATTTGGAACAGCTGTATTGAAGGTTGCTGTGATGCCTCTGGTGCCCTGCTCGTCAGCCGAGGCGGGCTCCAACGGCGAGCCGATTTTGGCTGAAAGGATGGTATTTGCGGTTTCTTGCGCCACAAACGATGTCTATCTTGTCACACTACCTCTGACCCCCCCATCGCCCGAAAGTAAGGCGCGGCCAGAGTTGAGAGCGGACCTCTTGGCTGGAAAAGCTGGCTCTGGTTCCTGGGGTGAGTCGCTGACTCTTCTTGGCGGCCAAACAAAACACAGCGAGGGATTGGCCATCACCATGGTTGCCCCAAAGTCTATTGATTCATCAAAGAAACCGCTTAGGGCAGTGGTGGCCGCCTTCTCAAGGCAGGCATCGGGTGTTTTACATCTGTGGGACTTTGCACTGGATGACAGGTCACCCTCCCAGCGGCCAGTCGAGCCCTTCCAAAGCGAATTTTTACCTGCTCCCCTGACAAGCATCTCATTCAACCCGACAAATACATCCCAGCTCCTTGCGGTGTCGTCGCCACATGCTGTAAGGATATATGACTTTGCGCAGTCTTCGCTGCCCTCCGACCCAGATGCCCGAGGCCCCTTCCCCACCCAAGGCTCGTGGTTGCTCTCGTTATATCAGCCATTTACTAAAACATCTTCCTCACGAAAACCGATACTGGATGCTGCATGGATAGCACATGGCCGAGCAGTCTTTGCTCTATTGGCGGATGGCATGTGGGGTATCTGGGATATTGAAGGAGCGAAACCGCTACAATCGGGAGCTGCATTGTCAAACAAATTGAAGTCGGGTGTTCAGGGGGCTGCATTGACTGCTTTTAGTGTCTCGGGATACGTCGAAGGAACTGGCTCCCTTCGTACCATCGCGACACAGCAAAAGGAGAAGCATGCCGGTGAATTTGCACCCATGACACCACATACCCGCAAGCAAGCGGCCGCATCCCTGACAAGCACCACTGCTGCAAGTGTTGATCGTCTATTCGCGGTCCGCGGTGGTGTAAAGTCTATTGGACTTCCTTACACTCCCGGCAAGGCACTCCAAGACGAAAGTCTGGCTCTATGGATAGGAGGCTTAGAGAATGTCTGCGTCATTCCGGGTGTTTTAAGATTCTGGGATTCACAACTCCGAAGAGGATCTGGCGGTGGAGTTAATTTGTTCAGCGGTGCTCAGCCTACCAGAATGCTGAAGCTGGTTGACCTCTCTACAGGACTTTTGGGAGAAAGATGCCGTGGAGTTGGTCTGATCCCAGACTCGTCAAAGAATGATGAGGACATTCCTGATGATGGCGGCCTCCCAGTGGACGTCTTGATTCAAGGAGAGTCGAGGATAGTCATTGTGCGAGAGGGAGAAGACGGCCCTGGAAGAAAGATCGGCGCCGTTGTCGCTAGCCACAGGAAACGTCTGTTCTCGAGGAGTGACAAGGAGGCCATCATTGTTCACGGGAAGCAAGACAAATCGGCAGGCCTGTCGTTCAACCTGAGTACGGTGAAGCCCGGAACGCTGAGGCAGAAGCCGTCTGCCAGAGACGAGCTTGATGGAAACGGAAACGGGAACGGAAACGGAGCCAGTGATAGGTCGGATGATGTGCCAACCCCGACAACCCGGGCGCGTGCTGGCTTTGGATTCACCGACACCTTGAGCGCAGCGGCAGACGTCACCGCTGACTTCACTACTCGAGATGTGGAGGCGGAAATGCTCGATATCATGGAGATTGACCAAGCCTTGAACAACATGGAAGATTACAGAGGCAGCGGGAGGAAGAAGGTGTTTTTCGAGGAGGACTGATTTTATTTAGACATTTTCAGGTGACTGATGAGAACAGGAATACCAGCGGCATTGTCAAATGACATTTATGAGAATGCGCCAGGATGACGCAGTGTACGATAACCCCCGAACTAATAGGATATTTAGGAGCCCGAGGCATACAAGATTGTGCCTAGCCCCTGACTTTTACACTCGACTTGGTTTGAGGTCTTCCAAATTCTGTGCCGCGCATGTGTCCTCGCATATTTCCCCTACATGTGACTGAACGGGTGCTCCTCAACGGGGCAATCCTACTTTCCGCACGGCAAGGTGGAGCGCAAGGCGAGACTCATCCTTGACAGCTCTGTATTCCGAGCGGTATATCAAACATTTCAACTCGATGGCATCTACACGGGAGGGAGAGGAAGGGATTTATCAAATGACCATTTGCTTTCCTGACCTGAGTGATGTCCTGCTATCTGCTGTCCGCTCAAGGCTGACGGTTCCTTGGGACTGCTGGCTGTTGAAGATGGCGGGGGGCGTGTTGCCTTGGTTAGGGGGTGGTGACCGTCGAGACATTTTAATAGGAACCAAGTGCCTGTTATATGTGTATTAGAATAGGTATATGTATGTGCATGTGCTGTTTTTTATCTTTTGCAACCACTTTGATTTCAGTTATGAAATGGACTACTGTTGTTTAGAGTTTGAATGTGAAATTGGACCCGAGAAGAATGGCATGTTATAATGAAATATTTGGATTTACACGCAATCCTTTCAGGCCTTATGTAACACAAGGCTGTCCCAGCATACGTAATCGGATAACCTTTGCTACAGCTTTCTTTCTTATGTCTCTTTATAATTGCTTCCTTTATTGCCTAATCCTACAAAATTGAGTGTTGCTTTGGATCTTGGAAAAGGACGGCAAAGTGACGCGCTGGCTCGGAAAAAGTGGAAACCACTTAACATCCCAGCTATCGATATCGCGAAAGGGCGCGTCATTCACTTTCTTCAGCGCGTCCCTCACCTGCTGTTAATCGACTTCGTCTTCTCCATTTATTCAGGCAGCCGCACGACCGCCAAAGGAAGGCTTTAAAATACTTGTCG